TGGGTACGTGCTGGTCTTTTTCTTACACAAATGCGCTACTTATGTACTTTACATAACCACCCACTTAAAGGGCACTGGCTCAGAGACAATTACCTCCTGCTTGTTACCTAGGTACCGCCCCATTGCAAAGATAAAGTTACTTAACCTATTTACCAATTAGAATACTCTATGAATTTAAGAGACCTTGAAGCGAAAAATATGCTAATATGGACTTCATCACCCATCGTCTCATCGAAGAGACTAGAATGATCAATGAACTAGAGAATCTTAAAACAATTGCAACTTCAAGCTGTTGTCTGTCGTTTGATGAGAGTAAGGCGGTTGTTTCATATGGGTACATCAAAATCAATTGATAAAAGAAAATAAAAAGGAATTGGCTGATTCAACAATCTCAGCTTCAAGCCAGACAAGCGGCCAATTTTAGACTGCAGTGAGCGGTAAGTTTATTTTTTTCGCATTGACCTGCATAATATATTGATACGCTTATACCCGTATTAGTGCTGTGTCACTTGTCGAAAGATGAATTTGTTGGAAGATGAGGAAAGTTATGTTTTATTTAAGAATGCCCTTTCACAGCTGCCGTTTTTGAAATGTTTTGCTTTTATTGAAAATGATAACGGCAACTGCTTGTGGGCAAAATAATGCCTGATTCTGTCATTGTTTACCAAAGAAATGCTTCCTATCAAGAAGTTTCACATATTCGCGTTGAAAGTCCAAGGAGAGGGGAGAGGATTACTGAGCCTTGATTGTTTTTTCTTCTCTTCGTATGTGATAAGACTTAAACCTCATTTAGAACGATCATCCGCTTTCATCGTAATTTATTTATCTGTCTTTGCTTCAATTTATCTTGTTGTTGTGCTGCTTTCAATTGGTTTTTTCTTTTTTCTTTGGAAACCAACCGAGATTTGTGATCATATCGCTGTTTCGCGTGAGTCTATCAATGAGATTTATCTTCAGCCAAGCTTAGGAAAGCACTTTGAGGTTTTGTGTTTATCGTGTGAAGCATAGATAATGGTAAAAACAGCTCACGGCGATGTAATATTTAAGTGAAACCCCGTTCTGCCGACAATCCTTTTAATTTCCTACTTGAAGAGCTAGCACTCTGTTGTAAGTTTATCATAGATCAGGATTACCTAAATCCGAACTGACAAATTTCACAACAACTTTCAAGCTTTTCTTAAAGCGATCTTTACGGTGTTAATCTCTGGTTCTTTGTTTTGTTTTAAGCTGCTGTTTTAAACATGTAGATGGTGACAGAAATTAACAAATGAATCTTAGAAGCATGTACACCCATCACTTAGTCTTTCTTATTACGAGTGGCTAGTTAAGGTTGATTTGAATAGCTACAAAACTACTTGCCGAACTTTGCCTCAATTAATTCTGTCAAATTTTCGGCTGTTTGATGCATGAAAGATTTCTTTCCCTCTTGGAAGTAATTGTTGATTCTTTCAAATAAGATAAGAATGTAAGTTTCATTGAAATGACCTGCCATAAAACTCTGTGTAACGTGATGAATTCTTCGCCTTTATCTCGTTGCCAGTAGTCACCATCTATATTATGAGTTTAATTGAACACTGTGCCACTTGCAAGGCTCAAAGCCTGCTTCATGACTCATTATTCCGTGCTTGAACTAAACAATGGAAATTATTCTGTCTACCGAGTTTTGCTCAGGTATGCCATAATTTTACATGAAACAACGGCTTTTCCATTACGACTTTTAACGACTTTATTCAAATAATCATCTGCAGCATGCAGAGCTCAGAACGTCAACTTGATTTCAGTCTGCTCAACCGAGAGCTCAAGCTGTGAAATAATAGTGCAAAATACATTTTATCATCCTGCCTGAGGTATTTGCATTAATCAAGATAGATGGACTGATTCAAGGAAAAGCAAATACGACAGCTTTGCCAGCAGAAGTTAGAAATACAATTTAAACGACAACCAACAGAGACAATCAGTAATACACACCGTTTCTTCGAAAATATTTGATTAACCCGCTGTTTAATTACCACCGTGACCGCAAACGGTCTTGATAATTACTTCAGCCTCAGCTGTCTTACCGAAACACTATTTGACGGATCGTTTGTAAGACTGCCGTAGTTTATTTAGGCCTTATTTCAGTCCTTACTCAACTCAGTGTTAATACTCTTTGTGTTGCTGGAGTTTGTAGGCAATTGAATTCACATTTACAAAAAAAATGATTAAGAGGCTATTAGCACATGTTGTTTTGAAGTCTCACGGGAGATTTGTTTACTTAGAGAACATTATCTTTAAACATTATGTCTCTGTTTATCAACGAAACTAGAGAAAGTAAATTATTCCTTTGTTCGACTCCGAGCTTTTACAATGATAAAATCAAGCTTCATGCGGTTTCTGTTCGGTACATTCAACTTCAACTAGATATATCAGAACCCAAAATACTAAATGAACTTTTTTAAAGCCTCAGGCGCTCTATTCTTTTGTTTTACTGCTGAAAAAACGCTATATTTAAGTACCAAATAATAATGATTTTTTTAATTTGTCACCGTTATCATCATTATTATTATTATTATAGTCATTGATATATTTACAAAGAGTCGTAAAACGACTGAAAAAGTTAGCCTTTAAGCGTATAAACCGACAAATGTTAACCGATAGTCGTGAAATATTTAACCATAAAAAAAATTCTGGTGACAATAATGGAATGATATTAACCGTAATCCGTAAAGTGGCCAAAATTTTAACCGTCAGCCGTGAAAACCATCACCTATTTATGCAGTTGTCGTCAGTGTTAATGTCGATGATGTGATAATAATAATGATGACGAATACGCTTGCGTCTTTGTTTTATGGATCGGTTTTATTCCTTTTCTTGCCTTTGCTGCCATTTGTCGACGCCACAGACGTGATTCAGAAAGTTTTGTTGGAGAGAGGAGGGAGGATCCTAACTTTGATACAGAAATAAGCTATGAAATATTTTTAAGACAACTAATTTTAAATACTTTACATTAATAGTGACATAGAATATTTTCTTTGCAAGATAATGGTTTTAGGCCATCAATAAAAAGACCCACAGGTCTACTGAGAGGAGTGAGGGGGAGATTCAGACTTCTCTGGACTCACCACTGCGTAAAGATTTCTTTTTATCGATGTTCTGCTTTTTTTTTAGGCAGCCATTTTCCGTGATACTTAGGGTTAGGCTTATTGTAGATCAACACTGCTTCTGTTGCATAACCCCTTCATATGGAAATGAGTTTTGCTGACAACTGTCTTGGTATGCAAATCAAAGTTGTCAATTTTATGAATGAATCCCTGCTGAGATGTGGTTTGAAAATTAGTTGAAATACACATGGAAACGTACTGTTTACTTTCTGTGGAGCTAATATATTGTAATTAAAGTTCGACTCAGCTATTGGATAGTTTAAAACATTTCATGGCAGAGTGACAATTCTGACATCGTTTGAAGATATGAAATCTATCAACCTTCATCAGATAAAACGGTGTGTATGAAAGGATAGACGAACATCACTTTTGCCGAATATTTTGAAAAAATTCTGTTTATGCATTATGATTATAAAAACTGTGTCGGTGTTACACAACTAAACGATGGATAGCTGAGTAGAATAATTAAACTCCACGCCATATTTATTAGGGTAAGTGTCATACTGGAACTAATTTCATTGATGGGCCTTGCAAGTGGTCTGACAGTCGCATGATCATCGAAGGGTCTCAACTTTATGTTGATAGCGAGCTGATTAAACAATTCAGAGTATTATTAAAGAACGAATGGAAGGCTGACATTTGAAATTCGGCGGAAAAATCATAAGTTGGAGAACTCGCTCGGTGTGTTTAATCTCTTCGTTGATTACAAACCATGGAAAACAAACACTCTACCGAAACGTGACGATCGTGAAATAAATAAGTTTCTAATATGTGAGTTGTTTTATTACTTACCATAACTTTGTTTGACTGAATTTCAAACTCGATATACTTATATATAGGGAGACCTAAAAAACTTTATTAAAACGAAAATTTTCCATATCTTTCTCTTCATAAAGTAACGGAACTTTCTGTAAGACCTTACTTAAGTGCACAATGGTTTCCTTCAAGTGATTCAGTCTAATTTCATTAAAATTTATTCAAATAATTTTCTTTATCCTGTTAGGTGCACAAAATTAAGACCGGATCGCCGCTGCATTAGGCTGGTTGTATGTTCTGGCCTTCTTTCCTTTTACTTTCTTCCTCAACGTTTTTTTGCGTTTCGTTATTTCTTACTGCGGACGTCAGGGGTCCATTTGAAGGTTACCCTCAGCCGGTAAGGTTTAACACTTATGGGGTTATAATTTTTCACAATAGAAATTATATCATTTGAGAATAAAGCAAGTTGATTATTAGTTAATTCATCGAGTTTCTTGCTTTTTTGACAAGCAAGATTGATTAAAATTCGGTGCAAAAAGAGGCCTTCCGCATGCGTAAGAAGCAGCAACACGTACGGACGTTTCGAGGCTACGCCAAATCTTTGTCAGTAACTATTTTACTTCCAAGAAAAATAGAAAAAAGGCTTTTAAATTTGCAAACAATCCGAAAATGTATTTGGTGTGTCTTGCTTTGTCGTTCCCAATCATGCAATCAGAACCATTTATTTCCCTTCATCAGAGAAAAAACTAAACCAATCATAACTTAGCCAATCACACTTCACACCCTGCACACATCTTGCTTGTTTCTTATTTTGAGTTCTCTTTGTCTCCTAGTGATGTTTACCTGGTACTTATTAGCTGATGTGATTTCTTTAGTTGTGGTTTAACACCACCTAATAGAAAATCATTTGATTCATTAGTCGCGATAATCGCCCTTAACCGAACAAATATATCCACTGTGAAAAACCTCCCACCGGACAATGGATAATGTGATAAGTTTTTCCGTTTAGACAGGCAAGCTTTTAACAAACCCTTTAGTTAGTAATGGCATTTTTTCCATTTTGCTTTCTTTCGAACAGAATATTAAACTAGACCTGTGTTTATCATGGGGAGCCGCCTATTCTTGGCCTGTTTATTAATTGATTGCGTTGTGTCGAAGAAAATTCACTTTGGTGTCATGTTACCAACGTCAAGACCTGGATTTTACGAGCTTGGTAAGGCGTTGGAACTAGCTGTTCAGCCTGCCATTCAAGACATTTACGATTTCAACAGGTTATCACGTGATTGGAACATAACTTACTCAGTCGAAGACAGTGGATGTCACAAACTGAAGGCAGTAGGTAAAACTTATGAACTTCGCAATGCCGATGTCTTCATCGGGCCTGCGTGCGGTGATGAGTGTTTGTCAGCGGGTTTACTGACTACATATTGGAATAAGCCAATGATCTCATATTCGTGTTCCCCAACGGAACTCAGTAATCGCTTTTTTTACTCCACATTCGCGCGGACACAACCCTACAGTAGGACATACCTCCTGGAAACCCCAAAGTTTCTTTACGAAGTAGTAAAATTCTTCAGTTGGACACGCACCGCCATAATTTCCACTGAGGACCCAACTTGGGCGCCAATAGCCATCGCCTTGTCGCAGTATTTGTCCCAAAGGAATATCACAATACCTTTCAGTAGATCTTACATGCTCAGTTCGACATTTTCTTACAAGGAATTTCTGAAGCCAGTCAAAGAAGTCGCACGAAGTAGGTATTCTTTGTTTGTTTGCCTGTTCTCTTGGTTGCTTGTCTCTGATAAGTAATCACCGAGGGAGTGCTTGAATGAGTGTGCGGTAGCTCAGAGGAACAATAAGGTCAACAGTCAAATATCTGAGATCAAAGTTTATTGAAACGCATTTTTATCACGGTGCTCATCGAGATTTGAGCTTACTTGATCTTCCAATGAGTAGCCAATCAAGTTTCTCTTGTGACCATATTATTAATGATTAATATTAGCGAAACATATCCGTATTAATAAATTATTCGGGGAAAAGAGGAAAATGAGTGAAAGCACAGCAAATGATTGAGAAGAGTGAACAAGAAGCTGTCTGACAGGGAAACTTCGCCAAGCACCCTTTATTTCTTTTTTTCAGAGAGCGATTCAGAGTAAAGGTCGTTGAAGACTGAACAACGCCCACCCCCCTTTTTAGCACCCACTTATCCCATCCCTCTCTTAGACAAATGAATAAAGGGGGTAAGTTTCTAAAGAAACTATGGTGCTGCGTCGGTGGGAGAGTGTAACAGGTAATTTAGTGTTAACAACTGAGTTGAAAACGTAAATTGGCCACCGTAAAGAATGTAAAGTCTAAACACTTAAAGGTTACACACTTACACTCTTTACGGTGGCCAATGTACTTTTTCAACTCAGTTTTTGACACAAAGTTACCTCTCTCAGACACGTGACTTTGGAACAATTTCGTCCCTAGGGTCTCTCTTCGTTCTCTTCGTACCACCAAATGACGCAAGAGGAAGGGTCTCTCTCTTGCTCCCGAGGGGGGGGAAGAAGAAAAGAGTTCCTGGAAACCAGGAGGTTTTCTTCTTTTCTGGACGTAATCGTGTATTTGGGTTCATTTGACGTACTTCATGTTGTTTTCTTTTCTCTCAGTAATCTTCCTCCTTTCCTTCAATAACGAGGTAGCCAGGCTTCTCGAGACCGCCAATGAGCTGGGAATGATGAATGGCGAGTATGCCTTCGTCACGCTTGATTTCACCATCGACAGTCATTGGATCTATGAGTCTTGGGCTGGTGGAAGGAGCAGAGAAGAGTTCACCGCACTATTTGATGGTATTGTAAATCTGTCGGTAAAGGGGCCGCATGGTGATCGTTATGACAAGTTTGTAAAGGAGTTCAGAGAGAAGCTTAAGGCCAATAATGTATCTGAAATAGCAGTTGTAAGTATTGCAATGAATTGCTATCAGATATGTAGAATGATACACGGTTATTTGCAATTTAGAATTCAGGAATACTGGCGAATAATGATCGATCCATGATGTAGCTAGAAAAAATATACGAAGCTTTTCTTTGCAGCCAAGGTTAAGAAGTTTTTGGTATATAACAAATCAGTTCGCTGCCATATTTTAGGATTTTCACCTGGAATGTCCTAGCAGGGCTTGTTGCCGGAATATGTTCCTCTTATAAGCGATCCTTGTATAAGAAGCACGAATTTGTCGCATGGGTCGACCTAGTGTGAGAATGAAGCCTTTAATTTCAGTTCTAGCGGTCGCTTATTCAAATTTTCGGCCAAAAGGGGAGGGGGGAAGTGCTTATTGGAAGGAGGGTACTTAATCGAGGGGGCGCTTATCATTCTCTTGTACTGATTCAGCTGTAGTGAAGTTGAGACAAAAAAAAAAGTGGCGACAGAAAGAGGTTTTCCATGTATACCTACTCTTTAAGAAATTAAGGGAGGAGGAGGGATGTTTGAAATTATTGGGGTAGGAGTAGGTGCATGTTCGGGGGTAGACGCTCACTAGAGCGTGGGCGCTTTTTCGAGGAAATACGGTGATCACTCTCATGATAACAGACCCAATGGGACTCCATCCGGTCCTATTAAGGGACCTATAAGTTTTATACATTGCACCCTACTAAGTGCTTCTGTACCTTTATTATCTGGTAGAACTTGTTTGAATACGTTATTCTTACACTCAACCAGCGTGAGTAATTCAATTGCACATTTTTTCGTGTACTTTCAGACGTATTCATTCTCTGCATATCTTCACGATGCAATACAAGTTTACGCCATTGGTCTAAACCGATCGCTGAGTTACGGAGGGAATATCTCTGACGGGCTGTCAATCATAGGAAACGTAACCAACAGTGGTGTACTATTCAAAGGTATCTTTCTTCTTCGTATAACAGTTTTTACGAAATGGCCCGACACGAGTTCGATATGTTTGGACGCGGCAAGGAAACTGGGTCTAGTCACAAGGTCGAGGCTCAAAGGAAGACTTTCCGTGAAAAATAGTGTGAAATAACAAAGTCTCCTTTGTTTTAATTCAGGTGTGTCGGGAGATGTTGCCATCAACAACGAAGGTAACCGTGTACCAGTGTTCGTTTTCAGCAACAGGCAAAATGGAAGCGCTGTTCCTATCGTGGAGATCGAAGAAACGAACCCAGGCAACCAAAATATAACATCTTTCAACGTGACGACAATTTGGCCGGGCGGAACAACCGTTGTACCACGTGATGCACCCGTTTGTGGATTCCGAGGAGAAGAGTGCGTGTCATCTCCAGAGGGTATGTACAATAGAACGTGATTAATACCCCTTTCACACCAGCAGAACAAATTTCAGTCAACCTATGTTTAACTGAGTGAATAGGTGAGCTGAAAAGCTGACTTTTACGTTGGGTTCAAGTAGTCACTGAATTTTAATTTCAGTGTATTAAATTTGAAGTCGAAAAAGATTGGTTTAAGCTGCTTCGAAGTAGAAAACAGTTTTGAACCATGTTGAACAAAATAGCTTTAATACATGTTTAACCTTTGGTGCGGATGGAGTTTTAGTCGATCATAAAAATATGGTCATGGTACAAAAGCAAAAGAGAAAGAAAACCGAAATGGCAAGAACCTAAAGAAAGTTTCGAGGCCACTGATAAGAAAGTAAGTAGGATTCTACTGTAATTTCAGTGTTTTATAAACTAGCATGGTTTGTTGGGAAAAAATCTGCTGGACGGAGGATCCATTTTTTGCCTTAGTTGTTTTCATATTTGCTCTTTTTAATTAAAATACGCTTCAACTCGGGGAAGGAGAGTTGGGGGGGGGGGGGGAGAGAAACGAACGAGACATGATCCTCATAAGATATCGAGCTATTTCATGTTGCTGAATGTAACTGCTTCCGAATTTTAATAGCATCTATTTTTCTTCTCGTTTTTCTGTAGAAAAAGAAGAATCATTCAACTATCTTTGGCTTTTGACCCTGATTCTGGTGGTGCTGGTCATAGTTCTTCTCTTTGGCTTCCTGTACTACAAGTAAATCAACATGAATTTCATAACACTATCGATCACATTCACATTCCGGGCAAACGGTGTTCTTCTTAGTACCCATTTGATTGCCCAGATCATCCTTATCCTGTGGCGAATTCAGAGGATGGGTCCAAAGGGATTCCACCCCACTCCTCCCCCCTTACTTCAGACCTGTCGTTTTCTTTACGATTTGACAGACAATAAAATCCTTGCAACGACAGGATCGCATATCATCACTTGGCAGGCAGATTTACTTCTTTCACTATTATAAAACACGCCTAGTGTGAAATACAACTTACAAAGCAGAAGCATCGAGTGACCGGCGTTCACATAAAAGTTAGCTCAGCTCCGCTTTCTGAAGATAAATCGAAATGTCGACAACTTGGCCCTTAGCATCGATAATTCCAATCATTTAAAAAGAGGCTCTCGTAAAAAAAAACAACCACAAAAATATAGAAATAAACAAAAACACGTGACAGTTTTCATCAATTATCCTTGCTAAGTTTTCTGGACAATAAGAGCAATAACCATTTCGTTCATTCAGAGAATGCCTTAGTTGACTAACAAACACGACCTTTTAAACTTTCAAATGCCCCGAATATAACTCTTTCTAGATTCTTGCGGCCCTTGCCCTCAGTCTATCAAGTCTAATAAGTTCATCATTGACTTCAATCTTTCTGTTTATAGGAAAAAAGTTTACGAAAGGGATCTCATGAATACTTCGTGGATTATTGATTACAAAGACATCGTGTTATGTAATCCGGGAAGCCGAATGTCCAGCAAAGTAAGTTTGTACAGTATAACTATCTTTTTTATTGACTTACAGTATCCTATTTTTCTCCCCTTTTTTTTAAACCTACCTAAATTATAAAACTGTATCATGAGGTAATTTTGGCTTGAAATCGCATCTGCCTTTATTTAAAAACTCACACGCTAGAATTTGAACCTCAAACACCTCTTTAGACGAGAACCACATGATCACCCTTGAATTTATTCAGCGATTAATAATGAAGATTGTTTAGAAAACCTGACATTTTTCCTACACATACACGCGCAAGATGCAATGTGAATGAGACAAAACATTCTTTTGTTTGAATCAAGTCTTCTAGATCTGCGGGGTATTTTAGAACATAAGTACGAGATAAACCGGAATATATTTGTTTTACTGTAAAGGAAATTGTAGTCTTCCCCCTAGCCGTTTTTTGGTCCCGTCATGAAACTGCTCTCTACAAAGGACAAAACGCGCTGCGTGACGGGGCCGAACAACGCCGTCGAAGGAAACTGTAGCTGTTAATACATCACGAAAACTTCAGCTCCAAAATTTGAACTAATCTCAGGTTAGCTGAGTTTAAAGCCTGGTTAAGAAGCTGTTTGTCTATGAATGAGCGCACCCGTTGCCTGTTGGGGTAATGTGTGATTCTTAATTCACTGTTCCTCTCTGTTTAACCATTCCCAGATAAGAGCAGGCCCTGCTGCCACTGGCTCGGTCATTAGTAACGTGGGAGGTGAATATAGCTTTAGCCTCGCAAATGTTGGCCGATACAAGGTAAACGGGGTTGCTCAGGGTTTCACATGATGCCCGAAGCAAAATCAATCATAAACCTTTATGCCCTGAGTATCATGGATTGTCATGTGACTGAGTTATATTAAATCGAAGAGAAGGAAAACCGGTGTATCGTCAAGTAATGGAAGATGTTATACATGTGTTGCGAGACAAATGTGTAACACCTTTTCACAAATGAAAAAAAACTAGCTGCCGCACGTTTCCTTGTAAATTTGTTAGGAGAATTTGGTGTTAGATCAAGGTAATAACCTCTGCCTGATAAGTTTAAGTATTCTCATCACCGTTTGTTGGATATTATAAGGAGAAGTTAAATGTCAATCACTTCTGGGAGTCAAAGGGTTCAAATTTTTGTGTATACTTCCAAATTCTTTTCCAGGCTGAGTTGGTGGCTTTGAAGCGAATAAGGAAGAACAACATAGAACTGAAACGAGAAGTTTTCGTAGAAATGAAGCAGGTATGTATACTTGGTCTATTACCGAGCTTCTGGGCTTTTCGGTGGCTGGGGGACGAGAGGGTGGCAAGGAGACTGGAGAGGAGTGTAACTGCGATCCAGAGCTTGCGAAGTACTCTTCACACGACCCTGCTGCAATCCTGCTAATTTAGGAATTTATGCATAATGAACAATAATGTCTTTCCTTATTTATTCCACCATCAATCTTACAAACTTCACAATCAAAATACAGTCCGGTATCGTGCACTTCAAAGAGCTATACAGTTTCATTCAACACTAGCGTCATGTTCTTTCGCCCTCATTTTTATTATAACTTTCTCTTCCGATTTTTTGCAGGTCCGCGATCTTATGCACGAAAACATCAATCAGTATATTGGAATGTGTGTTGAATCTCCAAATGTATGTATTGTGTCTATGTTCTGCAGCAGAGGAAGTCTTCAGGTAACTGATATAAAATGTAAACTAAGTTATGTACTATTTTTGTATTCGGATGCCACCTTCGTGAACCCAACTATTATTGGTTAAAAAAATTGAATTAACGAAAAAAAAAAAACTCTAAATATCATAAGGAAGTTACTTCGCGGGAGGCTTCGCAGATTTTCCTAAGGTTTACATCTGCAATCCTTGTTAACCTTCTACATACATAAGTTAAATATCCATGCTTTCATGTGCTTTTCTACTTTTTACTTTATACGTCGATTTTAAGTGACATGTCTTATCAGATGTAGTAAGTTTCTGTTCGACACAACCTTCCCTAATCTGCATCATGACTTGAAATTGTGAGGTTTTTAATTTTCTGACTTTTTACATGGAAACTAGGGCCTAACATGGTTTTGCAAGTGACCATAGATGTACCTTTATACCCACACAGCTCCGCGTGGTTACTTCCTCTAGAATAGAGGCTTGTTTCAGAACAAAATCGACTGATAAATAATCGAAAATCACTTTAAAACGTTGAAAATACTGCATTTAATGTAAATTCTAGTTAAAATCTCAGCTGGACGATCAAACCTCAACAACGTCCTGTACTTTCCTTTTATCTTTTTATCTTTGTTTGGTAATTGTATCATTATCATTCACAGGATCTTTTGGCAAACGATGATATCAAGATCGATTGGCTATTCAGGATGTCATTTGCTTATGATATAGCAAAGGTATGTAACCTTGTAAAATAAGTAAGGTTACGGAATTGACTTATCCACATTTGTAATTGAAGGGAAATTGTTACTCTTCCTCTTAGATGAGTTTGACATATAATGGCAATTTGTTTTCTATAGGGAATGATCGCGCTGCATAACAGCCCAATCCACGTTCATGGAAGCCTCAAGTCATCCAAATGTTTGATTGACGGTCGCTGGGTCTGTAAAGTTTCCGATCATGGTTTGGATACAGTCAAAGCCAATCAGACAGAAGAAGATTTAGGAGAACATGCCAAGTACAGAGGTAAGCCTATAAAATCCTTATTCGGTGAATTAAAAATTTTAAATCTATCTTTCCTAACTTAATGTCCTCACTGTATAGATCATTGATATTTACTTGTTCAGAGAATGTTTCTACTGCCAAACTGATATACGACTTCAAGCAATGTTATGTAGTTATGATGATTGACCGATTTCCCAGTAAAGAAGAATTTCAATGACTAATGTTGTGCTTTGTTAAGGATGCATTAGCTGTTGCTATTTTTCCTGATATTGAATTGGCCATACTCTGTCTTAATTTAGCTCGATTTACTTTCTGTTCCCTTGCCTTTTAAATGACTTTTTCTCATTTCACAGATCTTTATTGGACTGCTCCGGAATTGCTACATACTATGGATGGCATTAAAAGTCAATTTACAAAGACTCAAATTGGCGATGTATACAGTTATGGAATCATTCTTCACGAAATTCTTTCTCGGGACGAGCCTTATTTCCAAATGGAACCAAAAGGTACACTCGATCGGAAAATAATATTTCTCTAAATGAAACGAAAAAAATAATCTTCTAGGCATTACATCTATTTCCAAGTTCGTTCACCAGTAAAAGTAGTGCTTTAAATAATTTGATTAGGAGAAAGCAACGAAAGGGAAATTTTCGACTGAGTATCGGAGGCGAGCGCGAAGTGCGAGTCGCGCGCGGGGGTAGGAAATCAAAGAAAAATAACTTTTTTAGCTCGCTCGGTCTTACCATCGCGCGTGACTCGCGCTTCGCGTTCGCCTTGTGCTTGCCTATGTTCGACTGAAAAACGCTAAAAAATTACGCCGGTTCTGCAAGCGAAGACCCAGTTGGGATCGTCTTGCAAAAATATACCGATATCTTATGGTATTTTTTTTTGCTTTATTTCTATCAGATGTCTTAGTTAAGCTACGAAAGACTCTCTCTCCACCGTTTAGACCTGAAATACCAAAGGATTTGGAAGAATGTGATAAAAGATATATCCAGCTTATGAAGCAGTGTTGGGACAACGAGCCAGCAGTCAGACCAAATTTCACTGACATAAAACTCCAACTAAGGATCATGAATGGAAGAAAGTTAGTGTTACTGATGGACAAATGCATTAAACATTGGTTAAGTTTGTTGGTAAGAACAAAGAAGTCGTAAACGAGGCGCAGCCGAGTGTATAACGGATGTTCTTATCACATTTTGGCGTCATCTGCGATGTATTACTGAACAGACGCACGGCAAAGCAAAATGTTGTAATGGTGACGTCAGTTATGCGTCCGTCCTCCAATAGATCATTAGTAAGAACCAATCAAATTGCGCGCGTAATTCAGCTTTTTACATAAAATAAAACAGATTACCCCTAGCAAAGAAAGGTTGCTGTCGTGATTATTTATTTCATGGAATCTCTGGTTTTCAGAAACACAGACATTGTTGATAACATGCTACAGATGATGGAGAAATACACAGACCAACTAGAGGAATTAGTCGACCAAAGAACTCGTCAGTTAGAGATCGAAAAAGCCAAAACAGAAGAGCTTCTTTACAAGATGTTACCCAAGTAAGTATGCAAGGCTTTTAAAATTCAAAGGTGTACGATATTATCAACATTTAACTTTGAAAGACATTCTCAAAACACTTACGTCAAGGATGGAAGGCAAGTAATTATTGATGGGTACTTCTGGTAGCTTCATATCCAACTGGGTTTATATTTACTTAATCTTCGTGGAATTTCATCACTGAGAACACTTGTGATGCTTATCATTCAGAGTGTGAAACCCATTAATAGTCAAACTTGGTCATCCTTCTTCCTGTCCACTGAGGTAAAGGAGAACCCTGAAAACGAGGTCTGCTCTCCTGCGCCTTCATTATATATGCAGACCGGCGGGAATGTTCATCACTAAGTAATGTTTTTGGCGGATCGAGATGTTGTTTGTTTTTGTTTTAATAGGTCGATAGCTGACGAACTGAAAACTGGAAAGCCTGTGCAGGCTGAGAGTTTTTCAAGTGTTACAATTTTCTTCAGTGATATAGTTGGGTTCACAAAGGTGGCATCCGAAAGTACACCTTTCCAGGTGAAGCTGAACAGATAATCATCGATAGTTTACCTCATTTGTATTAGTTTATAAATCTGTATAAAAATTAAATCGATTTCATTTCTTTTTTGTGTAAAAAGACAAGAGATTTACCAAAATTTGTGTGGTAAAATAAAAGTAGAAGCAAGTAAGCTTCGGTAAACTCCCTATAAAACCTTTGCTTTTTCTCTAGAAAGTCCCTGTCTCCAACAAGCTCCCTGTTTCGAAGTCGTGGAGATGTTTGTTAGGTCTCCCAGAAATAAGTTCAATATGGCAACCTTTGTGCCTTACACAACGACCCTTTTACAGACATGCGCCTCCCATGAAAACAAAATACTTCAGCTTTCCTTTTTAATCTTTTATTCGTCATTAACATTTTTGCAACTCTTTAAAGAGCATGCTGACAACTGTTTCTTAATCGTTCAGGTAGTGAATCTTCTGAATGAGCTCTACACATGTTTTGACAACGTGATTGACAGTTACGACGTTTACAAGGTAACAAACATCCACTACTTGTACCTTTATCTCAGGTAACGTGTTTCATTATGATGTTAGAACTATTTTTGACTTCTTAAATCCAGTCCAAGTGCTGTAAGAAGTTACTTCGAAGGAAAAATTTTCTCAAATAGATTCCTACGCATGGAAACTTTAATGGATAGAATGGCTGTGGTGAAGCATATCAGTTTTGGTGAATTTCCCGCTGGGCATTCTTTGCAAAAATAGACAACGTGGAACAACCAAATTTGGCATCCATCGGAGTAGAGGACAGCAATAGCTAAAATTCCAGATTTCGTTTGACATGAAACCTAGTCGTTTAACAATCAGCTGAAAAAATTCTTACACCGATACCAAAACGGTATCGATCGAAATAGCTGCGTGTGACATCCTTTTCAAAAAGATTTGTCAAACAAAAAATATCATGGAAATTTCAACGACACTTTCACCTCTCTATATTGTTTAAGGTCTCAATTGTTAAATAAATCGCAATTCACTAGGTAGAGACTATTGGTGACGCCTACATGGTAGTGTCTGGCCTTCCTGTTCGCAATGGTGATCGGCATGCTGGGGAAATTGCAACCATGGCACTTAGTTTGTTGAGCTCTGTTAAAGACTTCACTATCCCTCATATGAAATGCAAGAAAGTGCAGCTTCGGATTGGTATCCACACAGGTAAATATTACCACCCCTTCTTATTTAAAAACTAATAAACACAAACCGCTTATGGTTGCGAATTTTGAGTCTTGCATAATGTGAAGAAACTTCTTTAGTACTTACACTTTCCATTAGTGATAAAATTAGAGAGCTTCAGAGAGATTCTCCTCTCTAAATTTATCCTTTTATTTTATAGTATTTATCAACTTTATTTTTACGTATACACCCGATTTTATCTTCACCTGTTTAACAACTACAAGGTCATGAACAAAGCAATATGTAATTTTTATGCTCAGTGAACTGTAAGACATGTTCCTTTAGCATTTTACAAGGTATTCTGACATGAACGATTGAAATCGTGAGACGAAACGAACTGAGTCTACATGAAATTTCACTTCCAAGTAATTACTGATCAGTTTCTAGCTTTTAGTTTTCCCATGGCTCTATTCTCAAAACGACTACTATTTGCATGGGTTAGTTTCCAAGAGTGTAGATAAAATTTCACGAAAACCATATCATTTAATTTTGATTTCATGGCAAAGGTCCGTGTGTAGCTGGAGTTGTGGGCCTCAAAATGCCTCGCTACTGCTTGTTTGGGGACACTGTGAACTACGCCTCGAGGATGGAGTCAAGTGGACTTGGTGAGTGCACTGTTAAGTATTCATTTTTTTGTATGTTTTTAAATAATTTATGTATGTTTTTAAATATTGTGTAGATGTTAACTGACTCATGAGATAACCATAGCGAAGTGATGTTTGTAGCGAAGTTAAAAATCTCCCGCACTCACTCTGCATTCTCGAAAACGGTATTTTGTCGTCCAATAGAAACCATTGTCTGCTTCATCAATCCCTCCAAACATGTCTAGAAACGGCTAGTGTTCATGTGGAAACATTTGCATCCAGCGGATCATTTCTCGGGAAGTTCCTCCCTGCATAAGCTATGTCTGACAGTCCTAAAGCACATGACTTTTCATCCGTTTTGTCTTCAAAATGGCTGAACAACATCTAATCAGTTATGGTTTTCGAGAAAACCACGAGAGCATATCATTTCGGGGGAGTTTTATCAGCACCTGACTAATTCATTGATGTTATGCTTGACAAGGCATTTAAATTATACAAGATCGATAGAAGTCAGGTATAAAAACGGGTATGGATTTTAGAGGCCTTTCCTGACAACGGGAGTCAAAAATGGCATGTTCTAGTCTAAAATATACGAAATCAGGATTTAAAGAAGAGGTCGGTTAATCTCGGCCACGAATTCTACGCTGTCCCCTTGCCTCACTGTCCCATTTGTCCTTATTTACATCTGATATATACGATGATATTTCACAGCACTTCGAATCCATGTTAGTCCAGATTGTAAAGCTGTGCTAGACACTCTCGGAGGATTCTATTTAGTAGAAAGAGGCCCAGTCACGCTGAAGGTAGGGCATCAATATCGGCTTTCTCCTTATTAGCCATCACTACTGCTTTGCATTTTACCTTGTGGTAAAATTTGCACAGATTTACCTTTGAATAAGCTGTAAAGTATCTCCGAAGTGCATATTGGAAACAATTTTGAGAGTATATTCTAAGAATTCATTTTGAAAATTCACCAGTTAGGTTTTTGCCTTTATCACTTGCTTTGCTAATAGGAGCATTGATGTTTTGCAGGGAAAAGGCACAATAGTTAGCTTCTTTCTGTGCGGCAAAGAAGGCTTCGACAAGCCTTTACCTAACCTCGAAGAGGCTGCTTCACTTGAAGAACACGAGTTTAAATGATACTCCTTACAACCTGAATGGGGAAATGGAGTGTACGTGTTAGTAGAGACGTCATGCACTAAGTGTATAAAATGTAATCCAAGTTGCATATTTGATACAAGAGCAGAGGTGTGCGTTGAACAACAGTAGCAGTTGTGAAATGTGAATAATGAGCCATAGGGTATAATTATCAAAAAAGCCTAAAAAAAGATGTCTCTCTTGACTCACGTGGTTGGCGAATGTTTGGTTGCCCGATGAAAGTAAAAGCGGCAAAGCGAAGACGAGCAGCAGACATCCAATTTTTTTCGTTCCAGACCTCTTCGTTTTCCTGGTCTCACAGTGTGAAGCTCACTGGACACCGCTTACTACACAGGCTGACCATTCCTTGGAAAATTTAACAACCCTCCACCAGATGATCGTGATTGGAAGACCAGCTTAAACTTTGTTGTTTTTTTTCTGTCAAGCGTACACTTACAGTAGCACTACTGTGAACAAGGTCACTGCAAAACTAGCCGATCACACCGCAGGATTGGCTAGATCTCGTTTCATTTAGTATGACCTAATCTTACATGCACTTCACACTGATCACATGATCTACGCAACAGTACGTATCTTCGCTCTTTAAAGCGTGGCAAGTGAGAGGGTAAAGACATAACTCTCAACGTTTTTCCTCTGACAATCACCTGAACAACTTAACTAGGACGATTAATCGCCTAGCCTAATAATTTCCCTGGATTTCGTTTCAGGGATTACCAAAAAAAATTCATTCCGCCTTCGGCCAATGAATGATAAGTATGCGTTTCAGATTTACCATCTGTTTCTTTGTGTTAATAGACGAACAAAGAGGAAGAAATTTTATATTTTTGGGTATGGCTTACGGCAATAGAAAATAATATTTCATTCGATCTTAAGAAGGTCATAAAATGTAATCGAAAGTATTTTAATAACGAGAACTGGATCATATAAAAACCTTTTATTTATTACAAAATACTCTTTAACAACTTTTTGATTTGGTGATCATTGGCCATTGTTGCATTATATTAAGTAAGGTGGAAAGTTCGAACTGCAAGATATAATCAGATGCAATAAAACTCAAGAAACTGATGACTGAATTTAAGTTATAACATAGAGAAAGATAGCAACAGAGAAAAAACGAAAGCTAAGGGAAGGCATATATGGGCTCGAATTCAATCGATCAGTTACATAAGGAAAAAAAACCAGACTATGAGGCAAGGGGAGTTATCGATCAGTCGAACTTTTGTTTGGCCGCAATGTGAGTCATTTTGCATGTGATTACGGAATATTTCCACAATTATCCTATTCTGTGCAACATATCCACCATTTCCTCTTGCAGTCATATCGTAAAATCGCAATTCATTCTGCTGACATGATATGAAAATTGCACCGTAACTTTCGTCGTCACCAATGACAGGCTTCCTTGCTCTTGCATGCCATCAATCACGTCTTCCGTCGTTTAAATTCTAATAATTCTACGTCATAATTTTCTCTTTTATATACAAGTATGCTCTGGTTCATTCAGGATTCAAAAAAGGAAAACTATTCAAGACTTAAAAAATTCGATCTTTAACTACTATTACATTTTACAGAGATAAGCTGGTTGTCATTCGAATTAGTACGTCAGTTCTAAAAGAACATCTGCTAATCAGCCTAGTGGTAGATTCTATGTGAAAACCATATTCCTAGGTGCACAGTAGAGATGTTAAATCAGGATCTCAGGAAACATAATTAAAAAAATTAAAGAAAAACCGTACAGTAACATGATGAAAATAAGAAAAAAAAAAAGATTGAAAATGATAAAGTCGACACTGCCCAGTAAGGAAGTTTACGAAAGCAACGTCAGAATCAATCCACTAATTTAACCCTAACTGAATTATGCATGAAGCAAAATCTTTTTCAGCTCTGTTCCAAACTAAAAAAATCATTTGAGACGAGCACGACTGCGCGCAAGTGACAGTTGGCAGTTTTCTGGAGGAAAGAAAAAAAAAATCGCCCACCACTGGGCACATGCTTAATACATTTTCGGTATTTTGGGTCGTCTCACCTTATCATCAATACGCATATTCCTACAAGGATATGTATGACTATCAGTTGGGAGGGTAACCGATTGGATCCGGGGAGTTACAGGGTTAAATAGATTACAACCTCGGAAGAATTCTTCCCTAAGACAGGCAAACACCAAAGAGGTTAGAAAAGAACCAAAGGAATGAGAATTTGCTGAGGATACTGACTCTTATAAAAGACTGTACGAGACGAACATTGAGAAAAATTGAGGGAAAATTTCTCAACATGGACAAACAGTGAAGTAGCTACCTAAAGCAGTTAGAACACTTCCTTCAAGGAGACCACTTCATCTTCCCCCGGAAAAACAAATCTCTGTCATAATCTGACGCAAGACCTGAATAGGAGATTACTACTGACCGCTCTTACAAACAAATCAAACACATTTCACTTACATTGATACAAAATACGATCAACGATAGGTCGTAATTTAGAATATATTAATAAATATCAAAAATAAATTTGGAATCTAAAAAAAAAAAAATAGAATAAAGGCAGGTGCAGGGTTAGCTGGCAATGGGGGCAAATGACAGCATTAACTTTTTTCCTTGAAAATATTTCTCACGTGTCACCCCTGTATTAACCAACAACACGTGAGATGCACTTAATGTAAGTCACGTAGTCTGCCGTTGACTTCATCTTGTCACTGATTGTGGTAATTCACACCAATTTTTCCGTTCTGTTTGTTAAGCTTAAGTTTTCCTGCAGAAATTGTTCTTCTCGTTGTCGCAATGTTTCTGTAACAGCTACAAGCTTTTTGAGCCCCGGCTGAAATAAACACACAAGAATGCGTTTTAAATAGACCCTTTCATTTCAGCTCATACGTTGCAAAAAACCAACTAAGAACGTAAACAGCTTGTGAATGACCAACTGGCGGTTGCTTTTAGTTTTGAATCTTATTGGTTGAGAGGATAGAGCGAGTTTGCAAGACCAATCACAGAGCGAAATAAAGCAAAACCAATGCAATCCCGCAGTACTCTCGAAACTCAACTGAAATTGCTATAAATGGGAACAAACGTTAAAAACGCCTCCCGTTGGAACTTGAGTACCTATTTATAAGTGCAGACAAGTAAACATTAGCATCACTCCACACAATATTCACCTCATAAAAGAGTGACATGAATCCCGAACCTCCTAATTAAAAGTCTGGCGAACCGTCGGAGCCATTCGACCACGCCCCCCTTCACAATGAGATGCAGAACTTTTACATTTCTAAAAAATCGAGGCGTCCCTTTTTTGAAGGTAACAGACAAAAGGTTAAAGGAGCACTTTTTGAAGTCGGGACCATCGTGTATGTCCTTTGAAGAAAGGTATTCCCTGAAAAGAGGTGTCCCGCGCAAGAGAGGTTCTACTTTTACTTCAATATATAAGATGGAACTATGGGAGTGCATGATACCCTTTTAGAAGACCTCCATTCCAGGGACATTATATTAACTGTGGTTCCGAGTGTTCAAAAAAAGAAGATTCCTTGTGAACTTCGTCAGTTGAGCGGACACTTTTTCTAGCTCCGCGGGAGGTTGGAGCATCCATAATATTACCTGTGTTTGGCTCAGCTGTTGTAGCTCTGACATGTATGTCCAACATATATCGTAAAGAGCGGCAAGATCACGCGATGGATCTGAAGACACTTGCTCCGTGATCGGAGGAGTTTGCGTCACGTTCTGGAAAATTCAATAGAAATATCATGGGCAACGTGATTATTGAACAAGTAATGGCATCGTTGACAGTACAAACATCAGTTTTGTACCAAGTAAACCTTAATTATAGTGATATGTGTTTGGTAAAGGGACGGATTCGAACGAACACAGTTGTGAAGTCTGCCAACCTATTATAAGAAGTCAACATTTCATGTTATCAATGCGAATTTGGAAAATTGCACGAGTCACTTTCATTTTTGTCAGCATTTACTTCTGCGTCATTAACTAGATGGATCTTAACTCTTCATTATTTCTGCTCCGAACTAACAATATACGTTTGACATTTTGAACTAAAAAGAAATAGTAGCGAAAGCGTTTTGCCATCGGGTCGGAGATCTACCAATGTTAAATTCGTCCCGCACGTGTAGGGAATTTTCCACAGACAATGTTTACAATTGCGGAGTTGTCACTTTAAGTGTTACGGTAAATTCACTACTTTTCGTCTCCTTAAGCTAATTTCACTCATTTTGAAATGGCAGCATCTCTTTCGCGTTTATTACGTTTACTGGAAGGTTGTTTCTCCTTTCATTTGCGTAAATCTAAGTCGCATTAAATTCAAGCATTTAAATTTAAGTGAACGTTCATTTCCCAGGGCAGAGTAATCGTTTCTTGCAAGAAGCACATGGCCTGTTCCAAACGTTCCGTTTAGTGAAACAAAGCGCGATAGTAGCGGAGGAGGAAAAAGTAGGGAAAGGTTTGGGTCTGAGCCCTACGCGACCCGATCCAAACCTTTCTCGCTTCGCTCGGCCGCTAATCTCGCTCCTTTTACTAACTGAAGGCCTGGAACAGGCGAAGATACATATAGTGTTAGCCCAGAGTAACAGAAAAGCCATAAAGACTCTTCGAACATACGACGAAACGAAAGCCCCTTTAATACACCATCAATTCCTAGCGTTAACCCCGCCTACTACAAATACGCAACTACTCAACACCCACCCAAATAGTTTGGGGAGTGCCTAAAGTAAATTGACAACATTGGAAATGTGTGATATGGATCTTATTGACTTACCGCCAACTCGTCCAAAAAATTTATCATTTTTTCCTTGTTTCTCAAAATGAAAGGATTTACTGGGGTCATGAATGATTCCTGCAACAGATAAAACATAAAAAGCTCTGTCAGCGAAACAGGGGAAAAAAAGTTCCTGGTATTTTTAGGCGTTACTGACCTTGACGCCAAATTCAACCAAGTTTGCTAAGTTTTGAAGACACTTCGCTACAAGTGTCAGAGTCCGAGCAGCACACAATGACGGAGATTCTGACAAAATAGAAAGCATACGTATGAACGATTACTCCATTTTACGTAAGTTTATGTAATACAAAACAATTAAAAAAAATATATAAAATTTCCGCTCACCTGACATCATGTTGCATATTCTTGGGTTCATTATGGCGGGACAAATTAACCGCAAGAAGAGAAAACCACTGAAGCAGGAAAAAGAGTACAAAGAAAGGAATCGTTTTAGAATAATTTTCTACGCAGGTGGACCTGCGAACTTCATTTTGAGTATAAGTTTAATCAACATCCCTCAAACGTTTCTTCACGCGCACGATTGGTCTGAATGCGTCACGTGACCGAATATGTCCAAGGTTCCAACCTCAATGTCAATACGAAAAAAGTCTTTGTTTAAAATTTACTTCAAGATGAGAGAGCATTTGTTAAAAAACAAAGTTAATTAACAAGGAGTTTATTGCTAGTAACCATTTCAACTCTATTCTTTGAAGAACGACTCGAAAATGAGTAAACATAATGACACCAACTAACCGCTAAGTTTCCACATTGAGCTGCAAATGATTTCTCCATGCAACCAAAAGTCAAAGTTCTACGCATTTTGGAGATCAAACTTGAATAAAAGGAGTCTTTTTTCCCGAAGATACTCAGTTTGGTTGCTGAGGTAGAACGTGCTCGGTTTTATAAAGGGTCAACATTTCTGAATGAAGCAATATGGATGGATAAGGAAAAAAACAGAAAAAAATTCGGACGACGGACAACATGCAGAAGACGATAGTCGAGGACGGTGGACGTTCGACGGTGTATGAGGATAGGCCGATGTACGACGACCGATTTCGGAAAGTCGATAGCCGATTACGAAAGTACGACGACCGATTGCGGAAAGTCGATAGTCGATTGCGGATGGCGAAAGATGGATGACAAAAAATCCTTTTTTTCCTCTATTTGTATCATTTGCCTCTTACCTGCACATTTTAAAATCATGCACGCCGAAGGCAACGCACTTACCTAACAACACGGCTTCTAACTATTTCATTGTCGGACCATCTATCTTTGACATTTTGCTGCAGACAGCAAAACAGATAACGCAAAGTTCTGCAAAATTAACAGAAAATACTTGATGATGCAGCAAATTCAGATCTACTACGGTGCTACTCCTGTTAACTATGTTTAACTATTCAAGACTATTATAACATCACACGTTGACTTTGGAAGATGGATTCCTGACAGCTTCGGCGAGATCAAAATGGGCTGATAAGTGATCAACGAGATTTTAGGAGTTTGCAATGCCAAGTGTCTATTATTTTAATTTTTGATATATCTTCTCAAATCTCGACAAAACCTTAGATCTGAAATCATCATAATCCATAATGGACACGATCCTTTATTCAAAACCACAACTTAGTGAACATTTTTCTTTACGACTTCGTCAACGGGTTTTACAAACAATGTGCCAAGAGTAACAAGATAGACACTAATTTGAGAGAGAGTGACAACAAAGTGATTTTGTTTCGATGGCAGCTTTCTCACCTAGGACAGTCGTCAGGTGACCTGACAATCGCATCAACCCCTTCAAATAAAAACTCCAGAAGTTGTTTAAGATTTACTACAGTGTCTGCACCTTTCTCAAGTTTAGCTGGATTTAACTGCAACGCAACAAAAATAGCAAACAATTACTATAAATGCCTGGATCACCACCTGCGATCTTTCCGGCATGAGATAAAACAGAACCTCTACTTTAGGACACCGGTCATACCTCGCAAGACTGTTTACACTCCACAATTTTTGCTACGACATCACCGATTGTTTTCTGTAGATAGGGAATAGCGACCATTTTCATGTACTGGTCCATGAGTGTCGTGGTTAACGAAGTTCCGCGAAACAACGTTGATACTTCCTCTGCAATCAACAAAGACAGATGAACTATATCACTGCGATACTCACCCGTAAAATCAGGGAATAGTTGGGAGTTTGAGCAGCGGCTAAAGCCAGCAAAAAGTGAACTTCATTCTGTTAGTCTTCGGTCGTTTTTACAATAAAGTCGGAAACAAATTCATGTTTCCTGTGAACGAGATTTTTCTAGCATTTTTGCACTGCGTTGACGTCAAGATTGTACAAAAAGTGAATAAATTCAGACTTCATTTAGATGTAGCCCCAAAAGTCATGATCAAACTCACCTATGTCGTTCTGATCCTAATGAATTGACAAAAGATACGACAAGAACGGAAGGGATGAGGCGAGTTGGGCGCGAACCGAATGTTGTTAGATCGCCCCTGAATCTTCAGCACTTTGAAGCATTCTGGTCCAACAAGAAATTTATCACAGCTGACGTTCCTTTTCGTTTGTAACCATCAAGGAGCATTCATTTTTGGACATTTCTATCTCTTTAAAGGGCTTATATTCGTAGAGGACTCTAATATACAAAAACGCTGTATTTCTATTTCTAATTAATTCATCGTAGCTGACGTTAGTTTTCGTTTGTCACCATCATGCAGCATTCTTTTTTTTGGACATTTTTTACCTCTTTAAAGGGCTAATATTCGAAGAGGACTCACCTTGATTTTCTATTTCTAATGAGTTCATCGTTTTTAGTAGGAAGATTTCTTCCCTTTCATGACGGAATATTTTAAGCAGAGTGGAGGCCAGGCCCACTCGGTCCTTGCACACCTGACCGAGGCTCTTCACAGCTTGTAAATCCTTGTCCAGAATGATCTACAAGAGGTGAACAGGTTACAATGTAAAAGGCTACACAGCTACCCAATAGTTCATCTTGTAGGAGCAAACGCTCAACCTCGTGTTGGGCATGAAAGCAGGTTTAAAACGAAAGTGATCCGTTTGCTCTCTGTGCAATGAGCTACAATGAGCTTTTCCGAAAATTCGGAAGCAATATCGACATATCACGAAGATTACTGATTCATATGGCAACTTCTTTTAGGGAAAGACCAATGGATGCCTTGAGCATTCAGCGGTGTTCATCCACAGGCCTTTTTTTTAGTGTATGTATCTTTTTCCTTTTTCCTTTTTCCTTTTTTTTAGGCGAGCACAGGGAAGTGTGAGGCGAGCGTGAGGGTGAGACACGCGCGAGGGGAGGATCGCGAAAATAGGCTGCGACATGACCGCCTATGGCCACCTAAAGAAGCAAAAAAATGACGTCTGTTCCACAGGCTATCCTTAAATATTTTAAAAACCACTCTTAAATACTAGCAAGTTTACCATTATCAGCTAAAGACCATCCTTAAATACTAATCAGTTCTATGACTTGAAGCCTTCGTGGGTAGATTCGTAAATTAACCTCAACAAACTAAATGCATTGCGGTCCAATGTACGCTACAATTTGCTTTCAGCAAAGATTGATGCTATAAACATACTCACCTCTTTGAGTGAATTATACTCTTCAACCGGCATAATAATCTCATGCTGAAAAACATAAAGTTCACAGAGTTTCAGTTTTCAAGCTGTTAAGCTTGGGGCGCTTAATATGAATCAGAATTTTCCGGCCAGATCTAAATTATTGACCAGAACTGACTGACCATGTCAGTGATTTTTACACTGTATCCCATGTCATGATTATATTTTCAATCACTATCTTCACTATCAAAAGAAATAAGCGTTCGGTGACCACCTCTTATTTATCACGGGGGGGGGGAAAATTCTGGGGATCACATGGTTTTCAAGGGGGTCAACCGTCGCAAATAGAGTATGAAAGGGGGAGTATAGAAAATTGACTGAAAAAAACTGGAAGAAACACTACAGCCGCCCCCCCCCCTCACCCCCCGCGGCGAGAAGAATGACCGGTCTCTTCTTATCAAATTGTCCAATTCGATTACTTCTGGCTTATCAATTCAGGCTCCTGGTAAACACCCTTAAAATTCAACGTCCCGATTTTGGGAGGTATCCTACGTTCGGTCTCTTAACTCCGCCAAGTTAAGAAATCATTTACGTATAGCTGATGGTAAATTTCTCACCGTGAATTTACTCCGGACGCGAATGCTGCCGACCTCCATTTTGGAGTGAGAAGGCGAAAGAAGTGGGTACCACTCATCCAGTACATTTCCTTTGGGTAAACGGTTAAGTGGGACCATTGCACTTCCTGTTGACGACACCAGAACACAACCAATCAAAAATTATCAAAATTAAACTTGGCATCTAAAAGGCTAACGTCTTGTGGAAGTTTATCACACAGTAGGGCACAACTGAACGCAAAAAAAAAACAACAACAACAAAAACAACAGCAACAAAAAAAACCAGGCTGTCTGCAAATCTGTAAATTAGGCTCGATAACCATGCTTTCTGTTTTTAGAGAGCGCGGCACCTACCTACTTGACCATCTCTGGAGCGTTTGTTGCGATTGTAGAGATCAACTGAGTAATAAGACACATCGGAGGGCAAGTCACTAAAATAAAAACAAAATTTTCAATAAAACGGTCATATAATACCTCACAATACGCCGGCAACGCCTAATACCTTTGTACCTGTGCCATCTAATCAACAGTATTTATGATATAAAGGCGGTTAATTGGTTTTGTAATACAGGACACACTTCATTAACATCATTTAAAAATTATGGAGTTGGGTATAACAATCTTTTATTGACGATTATATTGAATTCACACTACGCAACATTGCATAAATATACACCATTAAACCTTATTTTTTTTCAATAGGAGACCACAGTTACATGTATGCTTAATCATTGCAATAAAACGCCCGGAAAGCATGCGATGACTTAAAATCCAAAATATAATTTTATTAGGCACTCACTTGAACTTAAATTCTTCGTTCCATATGGGCGAATGTCCCTCCTGTGTCTTCGTACGGCAAGTTTTGACTTCGTTCAAGGAAATCATGCAGTAAGGGTGAGAAACTTTGTTGGAATTCAATTTATGGGCCTCTACTATAGTAACTTCCAAGCTTCGTAGCTGCTTCACATCCCTTTCGCCTAGGTTGGTGATCATTGGTTTCCCACAAAACTTCTTAATCGCCTCCATCCAATCCTAAAAATTCAACAAGAAAAAAATTTTTAAATGGCACATCTAAAATGGAAGTGAAAAAAGAATTAAAAAGAAAAAGGTCACCAATTAAAATAATACAAACCAGAAGAAAAAACAGGGAAGAAAAAAAAAATTATACGTCAAAACAAGAGCATGATATCTCCACCCGACATTGGTTGTTCGATGAATGGACAACATTGTCCATTAAGAAAATTTCTATCCATGGATAGCGTAGTTTGTTCTTTACATGGTTCTCTAGTGGATGGCAATTCATCTGGTCGGTAGCAATATGCCTACTTCGGACAACCCATACGTGAGTGGCACGAAATGCACGCCGCTACTGCCTCCAATTTCGTGAAACAAAGACACCGCACATGGAAAATTTTCTTGAAAACAAACGCTCACAAAATGTTCATCTTACACACACTGTTACTTCGAAAATCAATTCCAAAATCCAGCAAAATTTTCAAAGTTTCGTCCCAACGGCTTCGACATATACGGAAAAATTATCTTCGGAAATAAAATTAAAGAAGAACAAGAAAGCCTTACGTTTGCCAGATCCTGTGTGTCGGCGCAAAGGTAGAACATTCGTAACTCATTAAACGCTCGCACCACCACTTGAAAACAATTCGGCCTTTGAGAAAAAGAACCAGAACATAAAAATAAGAGAAATCGATAATTTGAGCCATAACACTCTGCACGACTGTTTGCCTAGTGATATTTACCTTCTGAGACATTACCAGGAAATACCACGGATCATTGCGCAATATTTATTGCACAACCCTTTACGTAACAGTGAATCTAAAATTTCTCAACTTCTGGTCAGTGTTTGCAGAACTATATCACCCCTGCATGACCCGGTGAGTCTCACGCAAACCTGAAAAATCAATTCCAAACCCGCTATTTTGCGATACAAAAATTGTTATATCACTGGCGAGAACTCTGGGCCTTAGCTCTTGAAAATTACGTAGTTTTCTTCACATATTTTGATTGGTTCTTAAATATAAGATATCACAGCGCAGACGCCAAGATAATGTTCACAATAGATGTTTGTTCCTGTACGTCAAACGACCGATAGGTTTTACCTTACGGTATGCCCGTTCAGATGACGATCAAAGAAGACGAAAAATGTGATGAGATCATTAGTAATACTTTCGCCTATGGCAAACGTGCTACTTGAAGTTTGTTGGTACCACATTTGGAGATAAACTTTTCATTAAGTTTGAAAATGCATTGGTTAGAGGGCGCACAACGAAAACAGCGAGGCACGAGTGGAAAGCTATAAGGTAACCAGGAAAAAAAATGGATAAAATTATTTCGTTTCTCACCTGCCGAAAAAGCTTTGATGAACCTCGTAAACCATAGAAAAGCTAAGATCCATCATGCCTTTGGGTTTAGTTCTCTGAGAACGGAAAACCAAGGGCGAGTTAGAGAGGATTGAAGAATTTTAAGAGTGATAATCGATATTGAGTTTGTACTTTACAATGATCTTATCATTATTATTACTATCATCATTATTATTACTAACATTAATAAGATCATTAGTACTATTGTCATTATCATTATTTTGCCTCAATAAACGTGTTCGTGATTTGTTTCTGAAAATGTAGGTTTCAATGCTTTGGAGTCTAATTCAATTTTAGTTCTGCAGTTTTCCTCATAAAGGTGCCGTAATAGCAAAGACGTAATAGCAAATCGAACCGACCAAAAAATATAAATCATTGATGATAAAACTTTAATCTTTCCCCTAATTTGTTTCATTTTTACTCATTGCTTCCGCGACTGACTTAGTTGTTTTTTGTATGTGTTTTGGATTTTTATTCCATAATCCATTTTCATGTCGAATGACAGTTCAGGGTTTTGTTACAAAAATGCGGGAAATATATTCAATTCAGACCTTTTCATTTTCAAAGAAATAGAAATGTTGTTCATCTTGATCAAGAACGAAGAACATTCGCTTCCATTTGTTGCGATGCCCTGCAAACGGAGAAAAAAAGAAAAAACATCAAAATCCGCAGTGTGAAAATAAAGACCATACAGGGCCTGTGAGTCATTCAAAAGCCGGTTCAATTTAGGTTCCACAATTGTAATCCAAGTCAGTATTCAGTATCCTTCAGAATATTCGTCTCTTTTGTTTTTATTACTGTAGTCTTTCTAAACATTGTGTAGCTGTTGGGTTCAATGAGACACTGAAATCAAGAAACCATTATTAACTTAACGGATTTTTTTTTATCGTTGAATTGATCGTGCATGTCGTTGTTGAAATTACACCAATAATAGATCGCACTTTCCATCGGTTTACCAGCGTAACAATCCATTTGGGATGTAAAAAAAACTCGAGAAAAGTTCGCAAATCTCTTGCCTCTAGCTCGTGATTTACAACCTTTTCCCAAGTGAGTTATTACGTTGATAAACCGATAGAAAGCGCAGTCCTCTGCTTCCATAAAATAAATTTCAACTTCTCTAAGTGAACCAGTACAATAAACCATAGGATTTTGACCAATCAGGGCGCTCCTCGTATTTCAGTTCCTTCACAAGTTATATTAAATACTGATGACAAATGAAAAACGTTTTGCCGATCCTTTCCATTTTTTTCTTCCTATCCTCTCCTTCTCCATCCCAATTAATCCTAATAATCTTCTTTTTCACAGTAATCGCATCTTTTTGTCTTTACCTTAACAAAATTCTGCTGGAGAAAGATAGTTCATTCAGAGATATATTTAAAAACTCAAGAGATCGAAAATCGTCCGCTCAACAGAAGAGTTGAAAAAGATAAGCGAGAAGAAAGCAATATTCCAATGGTGTGGAGAAAAATAAACAGTGGATCCTGAGCACTGTTACGCACGCGGGTTTACTTTAAGCGCAAGGTACTTCTTCTTTTCTTAATCAAATGGAGGTGCCTATTGGAAAATGACGCTCACTTTTTTTTCAAATTTCAGCCTGGATATCACAATTTCGACAAGTTTGGACATTTTCACACTTTCTTTAAAACCATAAAAACACTTTTGGAAACTTTTCGAGGTATCGTTGTTATTGACAATATCTCTCCTACTTAGCCGCACAAGTAGTCAATAAGTACCTTTCTTTACTAAAAATCCTCTCTTGAAAGCAGGCTGAGTTCGATTTAAAATGACTGGTCCTGGTGTTTCCGATCTAAGTACAAATGACGAGCCATTTCTACTCGGTGTCATGGGTCTATGTGGAAGATCCCATTCCTGGGCCTGGAACCAAACCAAAATACAATTAACTGGACAGAGTTTCAAGGTATGTTAAATTAATCTTCTTATTCCCTCTTCAAACCTCTCCTACGCAGAAAGATCGGTGATAAACAAACAGTTTTCTCTTTAGACAATTTGGTTTGTCAACTGAGTCGAGAATGTAAATTGCCCATCGTAAAGGGTTTGTAAAGCTCACGTGTCGAGAGTCCCTCGTCAGCCCTATCAGGCTTTCGCACAAAGCCTTACGAATTGTTTTTTATGTCTTAAAATCATCACGGACCTTGAAGATTCACTCGACAGAAAAAAAGAGAAATATTTCAATGAACTTTTGACTGTAAGTGTATTACGTTGGGCAAGAGGAAGTCGCGCATGCCCGATAAACTTTCAGTGGGGTTCATCTGTCACTCGGCTATGAAGAAACCAATTGTTCAGGATGTCCTTTTTCTTCAGGAAAAGAACTGAACTTTAAATCAGACCCTGCATCTCGTTACAACATCACTCGTGAATCGCACATGAAGAAAACAAAACGAAAAAAAGCAAAAACGTCAATCTACATCTATGCCCCGCTCAGGTGGCACGATCCAAACACTGAATGCTGGTCACTACTGCTAGGGAAACACTCCCAGTTTCTTTGTAAGCAAAATTAACCCAACCGGTAAAACCAAAATAAGAACTGTGAGTCGACATACGGAAACTAACACACGTCACATTTAAATTCAGTTTAACTTGCAATTTTGACGCATTTTTCCTGAATAGACAAAACATCCCAGAGAGTGGGATTATCATAGCAAAATGTTTTCAAGCTAAAAAATAAGTCAATCGATGGAGTACAACTAACAAAATACATCAGAAAATCGATCAAAAGTAAAAAAAAACAACAACCAAATGTGGTGAAAAAATTGAAAAAGTATATGACAAATCTCTTCAGAATATACAGCTACTCAAACGCTAAGGGATGGGAGGGAAACAACTCTTTCAGAGTAGCTAAGCAAATGGAGGCACCTGGCAATTCACCTGGCAATCCATCTGAAAACATTCCCTGCACGCTTCTATCTATCACTGAAACTGCTAAACTGACTTAGTTTTAAACCTTGCTTAAACTACATTTCGCCTCATGAAACTCACAAAAAGTGCTAACAATAACCTGTTCAGTGGTTTCCAAATGGATCACTCGATAAACAAGCGAATAATACTCGACCGCGTGAAAAAAAAAAAAAAAAAAAAAGGCGAAAACTTTTCTTACTCATCTAAACAATGATTTCCTCGTGTAATCTTCTTTCCACATTTCAAGGTCAATAGAATTTTCAGCGACAAAAATTGAAAGAAAGAAAAGCTCACGAAAATGCACCCACATGTTCAGGAAATGCAGAAACAGCTGAAGGATGTGTCAGAGACTCCCACAACAATTCGTAGACAAAACAATCCCACTCGAAAACAGTTCAAAAAACAAAACTTGACCTTATCGAATAGAGTTTATTCGTAAATGAAAAAAACCAGGACAGTTTTTAAGTATGAAATATAACATAAATTCGATCATTGGTTAATTCAAAACTCCCAAGTCTTTTTCATTATTATCACTTTTCCCAAGCAGACTCTCATTGGCGCTGAAGCACGAGCGGCGATGCCCGTGAGAGGTCTGGCAACAACAACGACAGCCTACGAACACCTAACACACTAGTATTAGTAGTGAGTAAATATTCTGCACATGCAAACGGTTCAGTTGGACATAGCAGGGGGAAAAAACTTACCCTGGATACAGGTTCCTTTAACGAAAGATTCTCCACAATGTGCTCGTGCTTGTACCTTGCTACCACAGCATCCACACTAAAACGAAAAGAAAAGTATTCATACACAGATATATATATATTTTTTTTCCTGAACAAAAACTGTACATCTCCAGCCTCGTTAACAATTTCAACCCTAGACTGAAGCATTCGGAATGGAGATTGTAATGTTTGGAATATTACTGCATAATTCAATACTAACTATGAGACCGTGTGTATATCCTTCCCCACGGAAAAACTGTTCTGAGCAATCCCCAGAAAATGTAATCGAAATAGTGAGAAATACAAATTGACCTAATCGTTAATATTCCCAAACATTTCTCTTTAATCAACTGACATACTGTCAGAATTGTTTTTGGTCTATATTTATAGCTCTCTAAATGCATTCATGTACTGCGTCTCTAAACTCACCCGAAATTGCCGCGTTGCCACTTAGCAAAACAGACAAACGCCCTTAAATTACTGCCTGACGTTAAGCCAAGAGTTTCATTAGTAAACGGCGGAGTTGATTAGACAAAACTAAATGAGATTAAGGCTGGTACGTTGGATGAAAAGCATCACGCAGAAAGAACTCCGAAATACCGTATCCTGCAGGTGCTACACCCCTAATTTGACGTCTGTCCCCTCAAACTCAAACGAAAGGAAAAAAATAGGGAATTTGAAACCGACCCATGTTTCAAGTTAAAATAGTGAGAGGATTGCTTTGGAACGATGAGGCAGAAAAAAAAGTCTTGGAATATTATCTTCGGCTGAATTACTGCCGCTCAAGTTTTAACAGTTGCCCTCGAAGCTTCGCTGATCACAGCCAACTTTAAAAAATCTCTCAAATACATCATCCGATGTAGGGATGTATTTACTACATCAATCGCAAACAAGATACATTTTCTTATAATTCAAAACGTTCGCTAAAATGTTTTGCTCTATTGAGGTTCTTTCGGCTTGCATTTTGTAAAGCACATAACTAAGACACTATTAGGGCATGGAAATAACCAAAGTAAAGAATAAAATCTCCATTTTAGCCCGAAAAATGCACCACAGTTTCCGAAAAAGTGATGATTATGGCAAGTAATCAGCATGCTACATAAATCCAAACCCGTAGTCTTAAATGACAACCAACACCTCAGCAGTCGCAACCTTCAGTTGATAGTCTAATCCTAAAATTTTCAGTGACTCCACAACATGCGACAAACATGGCCTTGATCATATCATCACTACAACGATTCTAAAGTTTACCTGTCAAAATTTCTCCCTCCCAAGGAATACTGCATCCCTTGCTTTCTTATCAGGAAGCGAGTGATACCATCTGGTCCTCTATAAAACATTGAAAATTTTAGTTAAAAATGCCAAAGAAAGAAAAATTAATACACAGCTGTGACAAGTCTAGTTCACACATAAACAACAGAATTCAAGTGCCACTCGTTTAAATGAAGTTCATTTTGGACTGCTGTTTTAACAGTAACTGAACCTTCAGATTTCTCTTTAAGTAAGTTAGTTGAAAAAAGTTTCATTTTTGCTTGGATGTTGGTTTTAACCCTTACACCCTTGCATCAGTATAAATATTCTCCACACTGCTTTCTTTACGTTTCCAACTGTACCAACAAGGAGAATTTGTTTAATAATCAGGAGCTTTTTAAATAGTGATCATTTACTAACCACATTCTCTGATTGAATCAGATACTACAACGAAAATTTTACAACAGTTGCAGTCTGGCTTAAAAGAAGCATATTAATTTGTATTCTTTCTCACCTGAGGGAGAGGGAATAATCTCCTGGAGATTTATCACTTGGCCTTATGAGGAAACTCCCAATAACACCATCTGTCACATTGAAAACACCAAAACAATTTGGTAGTGCTTAACATCTGGTAGGCAAATAGATGCGATTGCCTAATGGGTCAAGAAGTCTGGAACCCAGAACCAGCCAACTTGCGTTCTATTCTTGTTCAAGACACTTAACCCTTTAACTCCCAGAAGTGATTAACAAGTAACTTCTCGTAATAGTCTCCATGCATTATCCGCCAAATGTACAGCAATTATCCAGCAAATATTCTCACCATTGGTAGTGAGAATATTTAAACTTGTGCGGTATAAGATATTATATTGATCCACCACCAAATTCAAGTAACAATTCTACAAGGAAATGTGTGGCAGCTGGAGGGAAGAATTGACGATCAAATCTTGGGAATTAAAGGGTTAACTCTTACAGTGCCTTTATCCACCCAGGAGTATAAATGGGTATGAGCAAATTATTTACTATAATGTGATAGGTTAAAAATTTGTTTAAGTAGTGGCAGAAGCAAAGTCATTCTAATCAATCATTGTAATGGTTACTTTAACATAGACTGGGTCTTGGAGGGCAGTGCTTACTCTCAGTTTCTGTATCATTTAACTCCCATTGAGTGACCAAGACAGAATTTCTCCTTATAATATCAATGCAACATCAAGCAAACAAGTGATGAAAATAAAGGAAAAGATCAGTCAGAGGATTGTTAGTTGATCCAATACCAACTTCTCCCAACTACCTTAAAATCATAAGAATAGTATGACAAACAGTAGGGAGAATTACTGACAAGATCTTGGGAGTGAAAGGATTAAGGTTGTTTGGATGGAATGTAAGTCCATCCCAGGTTACCTCCCAGCATTTCACCAGGCTTTCCTGACATTTTGCCGCACCACATTTTTACTCCTAGTTTACAAGAGGCACTGCGATGGTGAAGTGTATTGGCAACTAAGAAGTAGTATTTAAAAAACGAGTGTGAGGGTTTCATTATGGTATCCAAATATCAAGAAACAAATGAAAGCAGGAGGCCACCTCGGCCAAGTGCTGTTATTTGTTTTGAGATGTTTTTGATTTTGAGATGTTTTTTAGGATATCACCTAAATCATAACACTATTGTTACATTCTATTGGTTGCATAATTTTGGACATCATTATCAGCTACCATTCATCTGTTGTCTCTTTGGGGTTTCTTTGAGGAATTCAGCTTATTTTGCTTATTTAGATTGTAGCTCCATGGTTAGTTGGAGCTCGATTATGGCAGAAAGTAATGCAATTAATTGTTTTACTGTTCCATAAAGTGGTGAAGAGGAAAGTAAACTTCTAAAGGAAAGTGTTCCCTAATGAACCATTACAGTAGTTTTTCTTATTTGCATTTCATGCTATGCATGAATCTAGATATCCAATAAAAACACATATCCAGATCACTATTGATCTAGATATGCATTTTTATTATATAGCTAGATTCATGCATATGATGAAATATGGATATGTGTTTTTATCGAGTATCTAGATTCATGCATTTGATGAAATACTTTTCCCTCATTGGCTGATAACCTCATGAATAATTAGTGAGTTTGAGAACAAAATATAATGACCCAGCCAGGGTGTGGATTTTGATTCCAATGTAGTAGGCAAGTGATGACTTACCAAACACACACTTAAAAAAAAGGAAAAGCTAAACATATGTAAATGTGCATCAACCATAATACAGAAATAAAATTAACAGAAGAATTCATAATTAAAGAAGTTACCTCTATGAAGAATCTCCTGTGCTTCTTCTCTTGAAATGTTTGCAAAGAACCACCTTAACATAAAAATTAAATTATACATATTGAAATGATGAGATGAATTATACACACATTTTGAGTGGTTCTTAATTATGATCTATGGGAGGACAGTCAATAATAATAATAATAATAATAATAATAATAATAATAATAATAATAATAATAATAATAATAATAATAATAATAATAATAATAATAATAATAGTCACATAGATGACATCATCATTAACCCAAAACATCAGTATGCATATTCTCCATACTGTTCTCTATACATTTCCAAAGAGGCTGACAAGGAGAATTTGTTCCACAATCAAGAGCTGCTTTAGTTGGTGATCATTTCCTCCATTCCCATCCCTTTAATGTTTGATTCAGGGGTGATATTGTAAGGAGAAATTAGAAGCTAGTCACTCTTAGGATTTAAAGGGTTAACAGCATTTTTCTGTGCCATGAGCCACTTTTTTGTTCTTAACACATTTCAATGTCATCTGTGATCTATAACTGAACAGATGCACTTGTAACAACATGGAATATTTTTATAAAATAGTTACATTTCAAAATTGCATATAGCCACAATGACAAGATCAACTACCCCTGAAGAGAAAGAACTTACGGCTTTCCTGCACAAGGATCAAGATCTTTTTTCTAGAAAAACAAACAGAACAGTTTACTTAGCAAGCAAAAAAATCATCACTGGTTTGATGCTCAATAGTTGAGTATTTCAACCATACCTGTTTGCATTAGGATCTGTTCATTATGTGGTGAACTTACGAAACACTGATTTGAATGAAAATATTATTTTCAAGAATATTTTCAATCAAGTGAAAGTTTTACAATTGATTGCTAATTAAAAAACTCAAGCCCGACTCTCTGTTGTGAGATCACCTTGAGTACCTGACTGTGTCAGGTTTTTAAAGCCAAACTGCTTCTGTAGCTAGAACACTGATATGGTTAACAACTCACCGCATCCTCCACAAGGGCAGCAGGCACCAAACCTGTTTCCCTGTTTTTCTGAGCCGTCACCCAGAGCCAGTCCATGTCAATAACATCATCTACTACAAATACATCTCCCTGGAAAAAACTTAACGTGAAAAAAAAAAAAAAGAACGGATGAATATTCATGCATTTACTGTGGAAAGCAGGGTGGCTAAGATGAGGCCCCCAGTTCAAGACTTTCTCTTGTCATTCTATTCAGTGACACAAATTTGTTCTTTGCTTCCAAACAGTCTACTCAAATTCACTTTCTGCCCATTTTTAATCATCATATATCTCATTTCCATTACTTTTTGACCACCTTTGATTATCTCTTACTACATGTAATGCAGGGGTTTCAAAATGCTTTGAAGTACGCATCAGACTCAGCAAAGTAGGTGACATTAAAAAGTTCATTGAAGGCCAAAACGTAATTATTTTGATGAGAGTAACTGGTGACATGTTATCAAGGAGCCAACAGAACTCCAGCAGTCATGGGCTTGATTTGAAATCCCTGCTAACTATGCTGGAAGTCTGCATTGTAAGTTACAGAGCAAGTTTTTTTTACTCAGATTTATAGCCCAAACACAAAATGACATTCCATAACTTACATTACAGACAGCAAACAGGGTTTGTAAGATGTTTGTTGAATCTTTGGGCTCAAATGGAGGAGGAAGATTTCAACTCAAATCAAACTTCAATGGGCCATGCAGCAATATATGACCTGCTATTAACCAATCATAGGGCATGTACCAACTGAGAGTATAATAATAAAGTGGAGTGCTTGAAAACTAACTGGGGTAGAAAAGTATTAGACAAGCATAAAATTTCAGTGCTGCTTGCAAATTTCAAACCTCTGGTGACCCCCTACCTAAGTTCATCAGTATCTGGTACTTTGCTGTAAGTGTACTTGGCTATTACTCTTTTTTTGACAAGAACTGGTTCTGGAGGTGAGACAGGAAACTTAAGGTGTTCATCCTTTAGCAAACAAGACCAAGCTGTGTAGTAACCAATCAGATCATTCAGAGAACAGAACTGTCGTCCTCCAATATAATAGTCTCCACACACGCCTGTTACACGGAAGTGACTGATGCCATTTCGACCAAGGTAAGAAAGAGAATATGTCCCTGGTCGTCGATCACTTTCACGAACAAGGTATGAGCCAACTTGTCCACTGTTTGTGAGTCTCTTTTCAGCATCTGCTCTGTCAAGCTTTCCATGAAACCATCTGAGAAAAACACAAGGAAAATTTAAAGAAAAATAATTATTGACAGTTCCTTTGGTGTTTCTGAAAAATCCAGTGAAGAATTGCCAACACACTGGTGGTTGAATACGAATCAAGGAGTTACAGCATTTTCAGTTATGAAGATCTCTGACCACCTTCCCAAATTCTCAGTGACATGCAAACATTCTTATGAATAAGTAAGTATGAATGTTTATACCCAAGTATGAATTTCTCTCCTTAGTACCTTTAGGGGCTGCTGATGACCAATCATTAATCATTCATAATTTTGTTACAGTTTTGATTAACCTTGTAATTAGCTTATGTTATACTCGAAATGTGGATGAATAAATAACACATAACACTTTTTTTTCTGTGAATAATTTACGGACGTGTAGGAATGGGAACACACTCGGTTAGCAGGTTAGGAAGCTAAAGATTCAAACACAGAAAAGTCGAAACCAAACTACGCGCCATTATAGCAGTGATCTACTGTTTGAGTAGTGTAAGCTGCTAGTGAAAACGAATTATTTCCCAACTGAAAACCGATCCCTTATATGTCAAGCATCACAAAATCGATTATGAATTATCTATTATTATACAGTTTAGAAAATGGAAGTAATTTTCCTTGATTTTTCTCTTGTGAATACCAACTATTAAAGTGCGTTCTATCGTTAAGATTCATCAGGTAACAGCAGGAAATGAAGCATCGGTTCTGATTTCTATTTTCATTACCGCACAGTATCGGTAAAGTTCACTCCTTCAGCCAATAAATAATAAATGTCAATTTGAAAAGTGCAGAATAGTCATGTAAGACCCTTCCTCGATTTTGTGATTTAGGTTTTGTCCGAAAGCCACAGAATATTTTTCAAAAGTACCTCACAATACAGAATTAGAAACATAAACACTGACAGCTTGACGACATAGCTTATGAATCATGAACTGTATGGGAGAACTTACTTATCGTCCGATGGAGCGTGAATACCAAGGTCTATTTCTTCTTCTTCTTCTGGACACGGGTCTGGGTCGTCTTCAAAATTGTCATCTGGCTCGTTTTCACTTATCAAATTGACTTCAGAGCCAGAGGAACAAAAGCGATCCCTGAACGCCATATTTTCCTCTCTCCTTCTCTTCAGCAGTGCGTGCGGGCTCAAAAACCATTTCGCAATAAATCACGGGGAGGGAGGGGGGAGAGGAGGCGTAACACTGTCAAATTAACCTTTGCCTCCAGTTCAGAAGCACATTGCGCCATGTACAATTTAGACTTAAAAAATCTGTTTGATGATATCTTTAGTCCTTAGGGCCAGTAACAACGAAATTTCTGCTCTGTGAAAAAATTTATGGTGGGGGAGGTGAGGGGGTCTGGCTCGGTGTAATTTCCTGGGGTTTCTACGAAAAAGAATCCACAAGATCAATTATTGCGCTCATATATAGTACCACGAATCGTTTCCTGCTTCAGCCTTCTTGTTTTTTAATTTTATCTATGAACAATGGAGGTCCGAGATTATGCGTATGACTAAAGTGCAATCCAGCTGTAATCTAATCTACAAATAAACATTTTAGCTGCTCGAAGCCGATGTCTCCGAGAATGGGATTTTTTCCCTTCCCTTTCCGCGAAAAATCTGTAACCCCACCAACTTAAACAGGACGAGTTTGACCTGATGGCTGTAATGAAAGATTTTGATCCCGCTTTCAACAAAATGATTAAATTTCAGAAATACCCTCCAAACTACCGCTGTGTTCATAAACTTGTGTAGTCTTTCACTTTGTCAAACGGTGCCATCAGACGTTTACTAGTACTTGCGACTGACAAACATACATAATAGGAAATTTCATTCTTCAACAGAACTTTCAATGATAAATTATAACCGCTGTTCTGGTGAAAATTGGAAGATAAATATATCATGAGGAAAACTCCTCGGTAAGTCGTTTTTATTTATGAATTGACCAGTATGCTGGTCGGTTTCAACAAATTTCCTTCAGTTCGGAAAACATTTTTTCAATTTAAACGGATAACAGCACCTTTCAAACATGCCATCCTAACAGAAATATGAACACAGGACAGTTGGATTCGCACTAATTACGTTCTTGTTTCATATTCAGCAATTCAAGGGAAAAATTATTTTGCTTTGGTTCACACAAAACAATCATTAATTTGTTATTTAGAAGATATATATATATATATATATATATATATATATATATATATATATATATATATATATATATATATATATATATATATATATATATAAAATATGTCCTCAGGTGGAGTATCAGCTGCGGCTTATGGCCGATAAATGTTCAATCGTGGACAAAAAGTATGCTAAAACGGAAAAAGGTGACTAAAGTTACTTTATTTATGTCGAGTCTTGAAAGCCGATTGACGGCCTGAGACGAAAATTGTGCGAGGAACTTTCGGTATCTCAGGATATTGAGAATTATAATATCAAAGTAAAATACTATATACAACGAACATGCATGTACAAAATTTCCCGAATTTAGCCATAGGGAAAAAATAATCAAGATCGTCAAGTATGTAGCTTGAGTCGTTTCCTTAAAGGGCGAGCAATCGGTGCCTCCTGATCATCAGTGTAGGACACCGACATACCGGCTTCTCTGTTGTCGGACACATCATCAAATTTTCTCCGATTGCGCTTTGGATAATTTGGAGACACATCGGAGTAACCTCCAGTTCGAGGTGAAAGTGCTGGTGAAAGTTTACTGTCAAGAAGTATGGGAGATTCTTGCAAAACTTTGATACTGCTCGCTGATATAGGGGTCTTGTTCACATGTCGACGCATCAGACGAGAAGCTAACATTCCAGGACTCTGAAACACTTCGTCATCATCCTCGTAGCTGGCGTCGCTGCTTCGAGAAGAATCAACGTTTTTACCCCTAGGTTTTTTACCACTCCCTTTTCTGGTGCGCCTTCCCCCAAAGACAACAGACTTGTGTATTCGTCGCTTCTTGGTTGCAGGTGACTTTTGAGTCTCATTTGAATTCGCTACACTACGGTCAAACTCTTTCTCTATTTCACTAAGCCAGTCATCTGCCTCCTCGGACGACCTAGAGTTGTCCTCAACAAGTGAACAAGATTCATTAGCCGAGCTGAGTTTCACAGAAACTCCACAACAAATCGACATGTGCTCGTTCCCGTTCTTAATAGGAGTCCTTGGGGCACACGACGATCCGTCACGTGCGTATATTTCACGTGCGTCTACTTCACAAGCTTCCCTGGCACATTTGTCAGCTGGAGAGGCTGAGAAACACCTTTTTCGTTTTTGCTGTCGGAGTATCTGGTTAAGGGGACTCAAGCGCTTGGTTTCAGCCGGTGAATTAGACACACCGTGCGATTTCTTTTTTCCTCTTTTGGGAGGCGGAGTCGAGCTCTGTAGAGCTGGATTCCATGGCAATTGCGCTCCTACAACAGATGCACCGGTCATGCGAAGAAATATTTCATCTTCTTGGAAATTGGCTTGTCTTGCGATACTTTCTGCTCCCTCTGTGGCAGTTGAGTTCTGGAGGCAATGATCATTGTCATTTATTAGCGTATTACCATAGCTAAACGTTTCTGCTCCTCGGCTTTCAATGTCAGTGGATTTGTTATCAGGTATCGGAGATTTTGCTCTCAATCTGCGCTCAATCGTATCAACACGAGCAGACTTTGGGGTGGTTTTTGACGATGACTGGAGTGACTTAATTCTGGCATCAACAGTCACCTTGGCGCTTTCTGAGTCCGAACCAATCGCCACTACCTTTTTTTCTTCTGATGGCAAGTGCACTGGAGATTTTGAAAGGGTCCTCATGGGAGTGAGAAGCACCACACAGTCGTCCAGATGGCAAACTCTTACCGGGGTGGTAGGATCCGTCAAATTAGTTCGAGTCGACTTTGGAGAGACCGTAACAGTGGGTTTTAAGTCTTTTCGGTTGCATAAAGATTGCTCTAACGTTTGTTGACAAGTCTCATTGCTGTCACGCTTGCATAGCAATCCCGGACAGCTACGGATAGTGGGTTTGATGTTGTTCTTTGCAGGCGTTTTTGCATTTTCGTCGACGCCCTGAACAGAGTCCTCCAGTTTGGTGAATTCTTTTCCATTTCGATGTGGATGGCGAGGAGAAAACGGAGAAAGTTCTGCGAGAACCGCTGGAGAAACATGCAAGGGGGACTTCATAGATTTACGAATTGGTGTAAGACGAATAACGCATTCATCCATAAAGTAATCCTTTGATGGAGTTTGCTTTACATGCTGCGCCAGAGTAAATTTGGGAGAAGTCACCATGTTGTCTGAACAAATATCAGATTTTTCTTTCGTGGGCGTTTTCATAGAGCCTTTTTGCGAGAGAGCATCCAAACAATTACCATTTCTTATTGGAGAAGTACAGTTTTTACTATCAAATGACCTGGATCTCCTGCCAAGCGGCTTAGACTTTCTTTTCTCAGGAGACAGAAGTGCAACTCTGGCATTAAAGCGCTGTTTGATAAGTCTTGGGGAGGACCCATGCGATGTTGGAGCTGTAACTCGGACATCCGAAATGTTATCTGATTTCTCTTTCCTCGGGGTTTTCATGAATTCCTCCTGTGAATTCGCGTCCAAGGGAGTGTCCTTTTGTGGCGGTTGTGTATTCTCAGATAAGCTGGGCTTTTTAGTGAGGGGAATGACTTTTCGTTCCTCATGGGCTTCTGGAAAGGGAACGGACGAAAATCCAATACAGGAAAATGAGCGCTTTTTAAAGAGCCTCGGTGAGGACCTTGTGGCTGTAGACGTGAATTTATGTTTGGGTGTTGTTGGATTCTGGTGACTTAAGGTACTTTCCTTCTTTCGATCACATTCTTTAGATGTGGTCAGTAAACTGTGTAACGAAAACTTCTTTTTCTGCCGTGGAGAAAATCGCAATGGTGAAAGAGCTGGAGAGGACAACTTCTGAGTTGCCTTTTTCACAACGGCTCCCTGAGTAGAAATGGAATCCAATCCCTCTGTAGGTCCTTTCTGTGGCGAGTCACGGGAGTACACTCCACTGAAGGACCTAGTTCTTGTCAAAGGGCCTGTACTAGCAGAGCGCCCATAGAATGACTGACTCCGCTGGAAAGTTGCCAGCGGAGGCTTTCGTGGACTTCTTCGAGGGAGACCTTCTCCTGCAAAGATTTGTATTTCAGTTAAAAAACCATAACTATATGACGCCGCGGCGTTTATTTAATTTTCAGAGTTTCTGATGCAGGGTTTTTTCAAAAGCATATTTCCTAAATTAAAGACAAAAATTTCGGAAAATCGTTATAAACATTACGTAACACCGAAGTTCGTGTAAAGTTGCAAAATCTCGTTTTTTCGACAGAAATATCCAAGGATTGTGTAGATTACCGTACTTTATATTCTCTTTTATCATAAACCTCGAAATAACGCCACATTTCTCAAATTAAGCGCGGCGTTTACTGCTAATTTCCGCTGTGCAGAGATGAAAAGAATTACGTGGCGCCTCAAGAATACTTCAAAATCTTAACATTGCAGATAAATGTAATTTTGCACGTAGCAGTCAACACCTCAAAATATTGCTTTGAAGTACTTTTAAGACAATTTACCTGCTTTTAACTCTTTAAGGGGCGACTCTTCTAAAATATGCACCTCTGTATGAGCTCTAGAACGTTTTCTGGAATCAGAGAACATAGAACGTTCAGGGAAAATTAAATTTCCATAGTAAACTACACAATGTCGATGCTGAGTTCCCGAATAAATAGATTTCGATCATGAGTTTTTGAAATCAAGACTATAGAAAACAGTTTGATTATGTTTCTAAAAATCAACGAAAACAATACTCAAAATAAATCCAAACATATGGATGTTGCTTTTTGTTTATTTACCTTTTTGGCCCGTTTTTAAACATTCTACCCAATGTTTCCGTACCAAAGAGAGGTAAGATTGTCAAGCGGTTTAAGCCATTTTATTTCTGCTTGGTGGGCCTGGGTTCAAATCCTGCTCTGTCTTATATTACTGGGTTTGATTTGGGTCGTTCGGAGTTCAGCTCTTTAGTCATGTTTCTTACTTATTATTTGGGTCATCATTTAAAAACTACTGGGTCACTTGTGATTGAGTCACGCTCGATAAGCATTTTTTCTTTTATCTTTGTTCACCATAGAGAGAAGGGAGTATGGGACATTCCGCGTATGATCTGAGTCGTACCAGAGTCGCCTTTACGCGGCAAGAACGACCAAACCTTAAGGGCCGATTATTTACACGAGGTCTGTTACCCCAAACAGCGATTTTACGAAAGCAGTGGGCCTCAGGGATTCTCTCTGAGACGGTTGATTTAATTAAATAAATTTTCCTTCCACTATTGGCCTTCGGCTTTCTTGACACTGCTCACCGAAAAAAATGTTGAGAAAAGGTTCGGCTACATTGAAAATGGCTTAGAACGCGGTTTTGTTAAACAACGGATAAACTTTGTTTAAATAAACGGCCCTTAGTGTTCGCCAAATCAAATTGCTTTTCGGATGCCGCTAGCCGAAATGTCATGAACCATTTGGCATGGTACAAGGACACTACAGCGTTTTACAGGGCTGGTAATAGTCGTCTTTGTTATGTAATGGAACTAAAGCAACTGACCTGGCTCGATCCTGTTTGTACCATAATGCATTAGAGACCTGTTTATGGGCAGGAGTCTCCTGAACCGTGGAGCTTGAAAAAGAACCTGTCAAACAAATAAATATGCACCGCCGTTAATCTCTAAAAACTTAGCTCTAACCTCAATATCAAATTTGTCTGGGATACTTCGGGCCGATCATGCGCCTTGAGATCACGTCAAGGGTGTGGCTGGGCTTGCACGTTTTCCGATCCAGCCATATGAGAAGAAGCAGTTAAGGATAAAAAGGAAAACTCGCGTGATGTGCTGTTGAGGCGAATTGCAAGAGTTTTGTAATTTTTTTCAAATAGCAACTTCCTTTTCTCCGCATAAACATGTATTGAGCGCCGGCAGAACTTCACCGTTGGATGCATGGTTTTGATTTCTCGGCTGGCGACTTGGAATAGTTAAATAAGGGTCTATGATAGCATGATTACTGTACATACCCACAGTATTCCTCCGCTGAAATCGTCGCTTTGCGTGTTTCTTTTTCTCTCCTACTGACAACTTCCTTTTCCTTGGCACTCTAGCGGTTGAGTTATTTTCATCACCTTCTTTTGATTCAATGAAGAGATTTCGTCGAACTTGTTTTACTGGTGTCTTCTGAACCTTCCCTTTTTTCTTTTCCTTCTGGCTTCCACCTAGAAATGTAATAATACAACGCGTCCTCACTTCTAACGGTATCTAACAAGTACATCTAAAGCCTGCACAGAAGAAAAAGATAAAGAAGTAGAAGGGAAAGATGAATGAAATGGAAGAAATCCTAAGAAATCAGTAATGATATAAACCAAGCTTTCCGAACCACGAATGCACAAACCATACGGAAACATAAAGTAAATTCAAGTCGTGAAAGTTTCAAATCAAACTTGTTGTTGCAAATCTTAAATTTCTTCTTTTGCTTTTTAATACCGTTACATATGAACAATTCTGTTAGGTTTCCTTCAATGTATCCATCTTCAGTCTAAATAACTTGATTATTTCGTCCTAAGAAACTATGTTTGCCTCGGGAAAAGATAATACTTGTATAGATTTTTTACCTCTTGAACTAAGAGACACGTGCGGTTTCGCCTTCAGTGCCTTTTCTTTTTCTTTATCCTTTGGTTTTGCCTTTCCCGGTACAACAATCTCTCTCCTTTTACCACCAGCATCTGAAACGCTAGAACGACGGGTGATAATACGACATCCACTGCTCCTTGTAAAAAAAAAAGAAGAAAACTCGTTGTTAACTGAATGAATTTATTTCATTTTGCCCTGTGTCTGTCAAGAAAAAGAAAAGGACATACAAGCCACAGGCGAGGATTTCGTATCACATTTCGGTGTCTTTCGTGATTCATAACTGAAATGAAGCAGGAGAAATAACATCTATCTGCTTGATGCATGGAGCCTAGTTTTGTTTTCTAGCTCGTTAACAGCTTCTTGTTGTTTTTTCCTATTTTTTCGAAGCCTTAACTTTCCCAATCTGGAAAAAAGGTTGGAAAATATTTTCAAAAGTGGGTGCCATGTTAAACAAAGCGACGAAAATAATGTTTGCACGTCGCCAGGCGAAAATCTCTGTGTACAAATATGGATTATAGTGCTTTATGTTTTCAGCTGACCTCCTGACCCCCTCCTTTTGGAAAAATTAGTTTTTTTTGAAGGTTCAAATCAGAAATGCGAGATACCTGCAGATGTAAAGCAAAACGTAAAGTAGAATATCAACAGTTCCTTTAAAAAAGACTTCAGGTCGAGCGTTGAAGACATCTAACAGAACTTATTTCTATTGAGGATGAACTGAGCGAGGAAGTAAGGTCTGGTTTCTGGTCGAAAAACTCACTTCAAATGTTTACATTGATGTGTGTCAATGGATTGCCAAGTCCGTGATTTATTTTCAATTCTTTTAAATCAACTTCAATCCGAAGTCTATAACAAAATACATTTACATGCCAAGAATGGTAAGTTACCTGGGTTGATTAGAGTCTTGTTTAGCGCTAGAGACAGAGTTGATTTGGCGTCTGATTGGCGATTCATCATCACTCGACCATTTAGAAGGCGTAGACACTTCTCTGGGAGGGCGCATCATCAAACCTTCGTAAACAGCACAGAGGAACTTGGCGAGTTTCTGTCTGAACCTGAAGTTTGTGAAGCGTGCAGGCAGAGTTAGTCCAACAGGGTTTTAAGATAAAAAACCAATGAACTGCATAGAACACATTGTCGACATTACAACTGCCAAGAACTAGTTAAAAAATATGCCAACTCAGTGGAGTATGGGAAACGGAAGAGGAAAGGGCAGGAAACGGTAACTTGTTGGGGGCAGTAAGCGGGAAAGAAAAATGAAAATACAAACGTTGGCTATCCAATAATCTGAAGTGTCTGACAAATGAAAACAAACGAAAGAGCGAAAAACGGGAGCCAAAGGTGCAGGTGGCGAAAAGGTAAGGAAAAAAGAGATGGAAGTTTTTACCTCCTCTCCAACACACATCAATCACAACGAGTGGTAAGATTAAAGCAATGGGTTCCAGTGGTTTATTTGTGATATTCAATTAAAAATTATTCTGATTGCGAATGAACATTCTTACCTAAAAAGAAGTACCTCACGAAGGAAAATAGTCAGGAACTTCAGGTCCTTCATAAATGAGATGGCTCTGAGGAGTACAGTGACCTACAACAGGGTTCGAATGAGACTTATTTAACAGATCAAGATCGCTGGGGTATGTATCCCAGTTATTAACTGTCAACAAATTAAGAATGTCACTCAAAACCACTCTTGTTCTACATGATTGACCTCCCTAAAGAGTAAGTGTTATTAAAACCACTAGAAAAACCAAACATAATACTTTCACAGAGGCAGGATACCAGTTAACCCTTTAACCCCTCAGAGCGATTAGTAACTAATATGACTCCTACCAGTATTACCCTTAAAACAAACATTGAGCCCTTGAGTTCATGAGAACAAAGGAAATGATGACCAACTAAAGAGGCTGTTGATTGTTGAGCAAATTCTCTTTTTCAGTACTAAAGGAAATGTATAGAAAACAGTGTGGAGAAAACATATACTGATCAATGTTAGGGTGTAATGGAATAAAATGAAGATAATTTGGCTTTAACAACTAAGTTGATAATATAAACTGGCCAACTTGGATGATAAAACCCAGTCATCTTGTTGTACCCCCCACCAATTCTGCATCACAGTTTCTTTAGAAGCTTATCCCCTTCAATCATTTAATAGGAAGAAGAATATGGAAGAAATTTGCTCCGTTGTGCAAGGTACATGCTGAACACAGCGGTTTATGCACATATTAACCTTATTTAAGATATAAAATAACAACCTCTTCAACAAGGGAGCTGTTTTCATCAGCTTTTATGAGAGCTGCAATCTCCAATCGAAGCAGGATCTGGAGCTGGTACCTGATACAAAGGCAAGGTGTAAAAGGACATCAGAAATTAAAATTTATGCTGCCAAGTTGAGGTTTCTGTGCTAGCTTTTTAAGTGTAATCAATAGTTTAACGTCTTTACAATATTTTCATTACACTTAAGATATCATAATTCATACAATTACTGTAGAACAGTCTGAGGAAACCAAGTGTTTTTCTTAGAATTCAGCACACAATTAGTTTGTTCTCAATCAAAATTCCAGAGTAGTAACTCAAAAACACATGTAATCCATTGAATGCATTAATGTTTTTTAATCATTTGTTTTCAACTTTTATCAATTTCTTTAACTACATGGTTTGATTGGTTAATACAAAGCTGTGCTCTAAAAAAAATCCCTAAGTGCCTGATGGCTCATTTCTTAAAAGTCTGGGGTGCCATGATCTTGACCCTTTTATTCCAGAAGTGACCAAGAACTAATTTCTCTTTATAACATCAGTACATTATCAAGCACATAGGTGATGAGAATAAAGAAAAGTATCAACATACATACATAATTTGATTCAACAGAAAATTCTCAAAACTAACATTATGGGAAACGTGGGGCAGACAGTAATGAGAATGACTGTAGAAATCAAGAAGGTGAAAGTTTTAAACATTTTATTAGAGCACTATTGAAAAGTCACCCAAGGGGTTGTCTCCTGTCACCCCTTTGTGCTCACTTCTTTGTTTCTTTAAAGTGGGAGGCATAACACCTGCTCAAGGATACAATGTAGATTTAAAAGATAAAAAAAAAGCAGCTGCTTACTCTCTAAGTTGCTGCCCTTGTCTAATGACATCACTACATCCTTCATATTTTTCTCTTAGTGCTGATACTGTGAAGAGTACATGCTCCTCTAAAAACTGTGAAACAAGTGCCTGGGAAAGAAAAAGAATTACTTTTCTTAGACCATACTGCATTTACCTTCTTGACAACCCCTACATGAATAAAAACAATTAAGTTGTGGAAGTAATGGAACCATTACCAAACAAGTTTGCAGTTGCTGATCCTGGTAAAGCATAACAATAATAAAGTATTAATATTATCAATAACTATTTGTTCTTTAGCACACTAGTTCTCTTCAGCTCATCATGGGTATACAAAATGTCTTAAACATTTTTAAAGGTAAAAGCTCATGTAAGTGTGTAAACATACCTTCTGTCTGTTATCATCCTCATTCACAAAAAATTGGGAAACTATGGTCACTATGTTTGTGATTTCATGAAGAATATTTGCTCCCTAGCAAAATCAAAAAATGTAATGAGACTAATAATAAACATTTTTATTTCAATTTTTTCAAATATTCTTGAACCACATGTGCATTCATTCTTCATTAAAAAAAATTGCATCCTTACCTCCAAAATAACTTTGTTGGTTAAATCACAAATGGTCATTATCAACTCAGCTTCATCTGCAAAAATAAAAAATTAATGTTCATTTTTATGACAAAAAATATGACCACAATACCACAGCCACTCCAGAAAAAATAATCTTTGAATGCAAAGCCCACGGACAAGATACTGACTTCAAAATTATTGTCTATTGAACAAATATCTCCAGAAACAATGATGAAAAAATTCCCTACCAAAAACATGCAGTTCCAGGTAATCACTAGTCTGAAAATTATGAAAAAACCTGCATAACTGCTTTATGTGTATGCCTCATAACACCTAATCATTGGAACAATGAGCAAGATACAGCAGAGCATCATTTCAAATGTGTAGGGAATTTCATGAATCAAGATGACTTCTCTCAGTTATTTAGAAATTGTAAGTGAGATGTCTGTTCAAAGGTCAATAATTTGGTAGCCACTGTTATATACTGTACCTTTCAGATTACATGGGACTTGCTGAATTCCAGTGCTATCATCAGGCACCTGGCTATCATTGTCAGTGAGAAGGACATCAGCACTATTATTCTCAACTGCAGATTGACTTTCATTTATATCTAACTTGCCCCTCTGATTATCCACATTTGTTTCCTTTCTCAAATTCCTTCTGCAGAAATAAAAAAAAACAAGAGTTGATACTAGAATTACAAGTTCCTTTCAAAATGACTGCTTTTCAATTGAGAGTCAATCACATGATATGTCATTAGCAAAAGGAAATTATGTTTCAAATTGACTATAGTTTGGCAATCGATAAATTACCAAAGTGTCATGCATGAGCAATAATTCATTTGAACTTGAAGAAACATACAAAGTACATTTAATCTAAGACATGATGATAATAAATTCATCAATCATTGTCAATGACATTATATAGAAGTCAATAAGGAAAAGTAATCATTAAACCAGCCCAAAAACAGGCCATGAAAATATCTGGATTTTTTTCAAGGGTGATTCCAATAATATCATTCACTCAAAGGTGCTGCTTCTTACAAGGCAAAAGAATAGTATTACACATGTTTGAATAACTGATTGGGTAAGCCACCAAGCCTAGAAGTTTCAGACAAAGCACCCATTCATACAACTGTTACAAGTAAAAGTTTATGTACCTTATTACATGTACTTACTTCTGCTTCAATGAGGTACTCTCCAACTCTGATTTCTCTGCAGCACACTCCTTCAGCTTCTTTGATAACTGACTTACACTGGATGATGCTGATACTGAATGTGTTTCTTTCTTATTATAAAGATCCTTCAATTCTTTCATTAGAGCAGCTTCATCATCAACATAATCCTCTCTCTCCTCTTCAGACTTCCTATCCCTGTCAATCACAATATTTTGGTCAATATTCATCATTAATAATGAACAAATATTCACCAAAGTGGAGCTGGCTAGTGGTGGATATATATCTACCAAGCAGCAGAGCAGCAATCCACTGCTAACCAACAACACTGGGGTAAATACTTGTCTTGGTATATACAACCGAAAAAAAGTTATTTGAACTCATTTGTTCTTGCAACCATTACAGTTCTTCAGGCACAAATCCTGCATGAGTTGCTCAGATATTTAAAGTTTGAGTAGCTAATCAGGGCACACCTTTGACGCTATCCACTGTTTCAGTGCGTAATGTCATTGTATATACCAACAATTATTTTAACTATAACATTTTGCCAACAAGCAATTATGGATTTCCAACTTAAAAAAAACAATGTAGTGTAGGAATGGTGAAAAGTGCTGCACTGTGACCCCTCTACTGTAATAACTGCACAGGACTACAGTGTGTGCCATTTTGTAATCCATAATGTACCTTCAAAATTATTAACCCTTTAACTCCCAAGATCTGGTTATAAATTCTCCCCTCTACAGCTGCTTCACATTTCCTGGTAAATTAGCTTGAATATTTGGTGTTAAACCAAGATACAACTTCTACCTGATTAGTTTGCATATTCTCAATTACCTGTTTGCTGAATAATGTATAGATAATCCAGGGAGAAGTTATATGTTCATCATTTATGGATGTTAAAGCATTAAACTATAGGTACCTACTTCATTGACAACATAAATTGTAAGTGCAATACAATACCTTTTTAGTTCATTCAAAAATGAACCAATCATGTTTTCCTTGACAGGAGAGGTACCCCAAGGATAAAAAGATATTGCGTCAAATTCTTCTACTTTATTTCTGACCGGATCTAAAGATTTAATGCAAATTAAGCTATTTAGAAAAATATGTAAATGTTGGTAATGAATTTCATTAACAATTTATCTCCTAAGAATGATAAGAGTCTTATTTCTCCTCACATCATCATCACTGGATTGAACACTAGGATCATAACAATAAATAAAGTGAAAGTCAATTAAAGAAACTCTTGATTGATAAATAATTCTCAATATTGTTGATACTAAAGGAAACGTATGGAGAACTCTGTGGAGATAATGCATACTGATTTTAGGTCCAGTTAAAGGGTAAGATTAGTTCTCTTGCATGTCTATGTTTCAGCTCTCACTTATTCACAAGAACATACAGTATCTTCAAGGAATCCATAATTTCCATTGCTAGTTATATTGCCAAATATGAGAATGTTTTAGAATAAAAATAAGGAATGCCAAAACCTGAAGCTTTGGCAACAACTTGTCGTCATTGTCATAAGCAAATGACACAAGAATTGGTCACAATATTACATAGAAATGGAAGGGTGAAAAGAGGTTGGAAACAATGAATGTATCTAACAAAATAAACAGTTCTACTAGAGTGGAGTCTGTGTATTCCACAATGAAGCATTTTGCTATTCTCATGTAATTTTATTTCTTTGTGTAGTGTGTGTCATTACTAATTCCTTAATTCACTTATCTGCATTTGATAATTGTCATATGTTATCCCTAAAACATCATGATTTCAAAATATTGCCAATCATTATTCTTAAATTTGTTATTTACACTCTTTTGATGCAAAGCAGTCCCAACTGGGAGTTTCAAAATCACACTGTGGTATGACTGCACAGAAAAGAGTAGCAAGTTATTACAACATGTACTTTCATCTCACCTTGTGATCCAGTAAGCCCAAGAAAGACTGCAGGGTAAGAAAGTGATCCAGTTGATTTAGGATCATCTTGGGATCTATAGTTACTGATCAATTCTGGGCAAGCCTCCACAGTTATCAATTTTGTTCTGTCTAAATTTGAAGAATTGCCAAGCCACAGAAGAAGCTTTTCAAAAGCTACAAGAAATTCTGAAGCAATAACATTTATCACACCACAGACAGAGGTCAAAGGTTGGAGGACTCCAGTGACTGGTAACCCACTATCACAATCAAGAAAATCAATAACCTGCCCGAAAAAAAGACAAGTTGTAAGACAAAGGGTTAGAACTACATTGTATCTTTAACCCTTTAACTCCCCTGATCTGATTTTTAGTTCTCTCCTCTAACTGCAACATCTTTCCTTTTAAATTAGTAAAGAGAATTTGGTGGTAGATCAAGATGACAACTTCTACTGAACAAGTTTGAGTATTTTCTATTATTTTTTCTAGGAGAAATAAGATGCTGGATAATGTATGGATATTAAGGGAGAAGTTCATCATTTCTGGGAATTAAAGGAATCAGTCAGAGTTATCAACCCTTAGGCATCAGAATTTTGGGGGCTTTTACTTTTCTGGATTTTGGAGATCTGACAAAATATGCCTCTGCAAAAAAATAATAAAATAAAAAAAAATACTGCAAAATCAGAAGTCAAACAGATAAACTCCAAATGAGATAAACTTCTGCAGCTGAGGCCCAATAAATTGGTCATAGGGGAGAGAAGTGATATAAAGGGTGTTAATTGTTATGTATGGCACAGTTTTTGGTAAGCCTACTTTTGACAAGTATTACTACCTTAAAGGAATTTAGTGAGTTATCTTCAATAATTACATGTAAAATGCATTGTTAACCATTAGTCATTTAAGTTTAAAGCATAGCATAAAGTTGCCAGAATTTGTATTTAGTGGAAATTCTGTTACATGTATGTCAGGTTCAAAAATTTGTTCAAACAAAATACAGAAAAAAATTTCAGTTTTTATAGTACAATTTCTTTGGGGATTTACATTTCCAATGCTGTATTAGTGGGAGACCCAAAACACATACAAATGTGCATATCAAATGAACAACTTTCAGCAATTTAGGAAACAGCACTTTATACAATTTGAACTTAAGTAACACATCATTTATTGGAAAATTTTCATACCAGTAATTTGTTCTCTTTTGCCAAAGAAAGTAGAAGTGCTTGGTACCACCCAGAAATAAGCTTCTGAGAGCACAAAGAGGAGTCTGTACTGTTGTCCAAACCAATACAAGAGTAACCTTTGGTGGGGTGAAGCCATGTTGGAGAGACACAAGTGTGGCTCACTACCCCTCTGATCCAAAGAAGGTTCAAGTTGCTTGAGTCATTATTTGATGGTGACTGTTTTCTCTCCATATCCGTAGTTTGATCAGTTAATAAAGAGTTATCATGAGAATTTCTCAAGCCTTCAAGTCCTTCCACTGACCGAAACATAGAGTGAAGTTTCACAGCACAATGCACCTTATCTTCAGGACCTGAAGTAGGTCAAAAAGAGGAAAGAAATTAAAACAAATGCAGAGACAAAAATATGATGAGAAAATGAAGTCATTGATAAACCTGAAGAAGGTGAGATTTTTATAGATTCTAGAGCACATCAGGGCTTGAACTTGGCAGTGGTCTACTAGCCAAATACTGGTAAATTTTAAACTTTGGCTGGTAGATTTTGCTCATTTACAAGCAATCTTACCAGTAAATCCTGACGATGTACTAGCCATTTGACTATTAAGTTCAAAGTTAAGTTTGAGCCCTGCACATATAGAAAAACTACTTGTGATAAGCTTTACCTATATGGTAATCAGGAGACTACAGTCTTTGAGTTTCAGAAGGAAAAGAATAAATCTCTGAATAAAAATTGTTATCACTTTCCAGCTTTTGGAGATTACCACAAGGATCTGTCAATAATATTGTAACTTTTCAGAAGCCACTACTGAAGAAACTAAACAACAATAAATTCTGATGACATTACCCAAAGAACACAGTAATCCTGTACCATCCATTTTTCCTTTAGCCCACTGTTGTGAAAAATCCTCCAGTACTGATGGCTTTGTTGACTTCTTGCACAAATAAGAATCCAGTACAGTTTTAAAAGGAAGTAGGTGTCCCATAATTGATTTGACTTGCTTGAAAACTGAAACATCTTTTCCAGATCGAGGTTTTAAGTTAGATCCAACAGAGAAATTGTTCCCTGTATAAATCACTGCTGAAAGAGGTATCAGGCACCCTCCAAGCTGTTCCACTGTTACCTCTACTGATGTTTTAACACTAGTGTTCTAATTCACAAAAAGAAATAACTCGTGTAAAAATACAAAAACAGCAAACAGATCTTAAAGAGTCCAAATCCACATGCTGGATTAATTAAGGTTCAGATTATTTCCAATTGGCTGACAGATGCCTCCATGACTCAGGCACTTACTGTAAGTAAAGTAAGCCTTGATATGGGCCCAAGTGGCCCATGGGGCCGGTGCCTAACTCCGGTTTTCTTAGCATAAAGCGGCTAGGAGTATTACTACTCCTCCCTGGATGGGATGCTAGTCCATCATGGGGTTACCCCCAGCACATTTGCTGGTACCCATTTGTACACCTGGGTGAAAAGAAGTACTGTGAGAGTAAAGTGTCTTGTCTAAGAACACAACACAGTGACCCCAGCCAGGGCTCAAACCTGGATCACCCGATCCGGAGTTGAGCGCACTAACCATGAGGCCACCACGCCTCCACCAGGCACTTACTGACTATTCATTTATTCATTTTTGGGCTTTCGCTTTAGAACTGAACTCATCAACTTGTCCTTGTTCTTAATTGTCTCAAATCTTTTAGGTTGATCAGGATAACTTTCATCTAAACTTTCAATGAAACTTGACTGAATAAAAGAAGGTTTTGTGTGCACATCACCTTAAGTTGGTTAACCCTTTAACTCCCAGATCAAATTTCTAATTCTCCTCACTGTCAACCATACAATTCTAATAATGCTGGTACAGAGAATTTCATATTGGATCAACTAATTATCACCAAATTTATATTTTCTTTATTCTCATCGCTTATCTGGTTGATATTGTATTGATATTGTAAGGAGAAATTCTGTCTTGGTCACTCATGGGAGTTCAGGGGTTAAAAAACTGCATGCCAGCTTTGCAACAGATAAAAGACTAAAACAAGCCTCAGCTTGGTCACTAACATTTTCTAACACTTCAGCCAGTTTGATTGTTTCCTGTTTTTTTTTTTTTTTACTGGGTCTTCATTGGCTCCTGGTAATGTTTAACTTCATTCTGACTGGCAGTTGCAGTTACTTTGGATTTCACCTCTCTACACTTAATAAAAATTCTTCTAACAACCCAGCTAGCCATATAAGAAACAGGCAGGAAACAAGACCGACAGTTTAGTTTACTAGTTTGACAATACTTTGAAATCAAACCACTAGCCAATGACACTGCAAAGACAGCACATTCATCTAAGGAAAAATTCAGTGTAACCATATACTAATCCGAAAAAAAGTATTACTCTGAGAGGCAAACGCTTTTTGCGACTGTTTTCTTTCATCAAATAATCGTATGCATCATGAAGTATAGGGTTATACGGAAATCTTGCCCAGTTAACCGAGTAGCTGCTAATAGATTTCTGAGCGGTATTATGGTTGTAGAAGAAGAGAAATTTGTCTATGCCTATGAATTCTACGCTTTATCATAGGACCTGCTATTAGAAACTGCCTTGTGTGTCATTTCTGGAAGAATTACCGCAAAGCTTCCTTAACTGGCATCATCTTAAATCACATCAAAACCGATGTAAAAAAATAGACATGTACCTCTTCTTGCTGGTAGTTGCTTATGTTCACCCAATGTAAACAAATGCGCCTTTCCTCGAATTCCTTGTACAACACTGAGGGCATCAAAATACTTTTGAAACCCTCTACAGTTCCAAGGAAAGACAAATTTTCACCAGTGAATTCCGAGATTGAGTCATCATCATAAGGACAACCGCTCAACAAAAAGATAACATTATGTGTATCGGTTCTGTTGTCAAGGTAAAAGAGCATGTTGTTATTTCCACGAGTTCTCCTAACAGGGGAGCTAATGTCAGGCCTTTCCCACTGAAAATCGTGAACAGCATTTTTAAAAACAAAAGAAATACATCTAGCTCCTCCCGCAGGTTTCGAAAAGGTTGTAGTTTCTGCATCGTCTTGTTCCTTCGGTTCAAGTTCGTTTTCTTGCCATTGTTGTGCGAAGGATTCGTTCAACCTCTTCGTCACATGATCTTCAAATTCCTCAAACGCTTTAACTAAAAATTCTTTGAAGTCGTGTCGTTCAAACTGATGTGAAAGTGATCTCGAGTTGAATATTTTGTATCCCCATCGTAGATTAGATCGCTTTTCTTCCCGATAATCACTAAAGTACGTTAGCAATCGAAGTACGCACAATCGAATAGCCTTCGCAGCATGGTCGGCGGAGTTGTTCGATCCCCAAAATGAAGGATTAGAATCGATGAGAAATACAATTTGCTGGAAACTTTCGCTTGAGGATTTATCTGTCATATCCTTTCAAATATTGACTCTTTTTCTTTTCAAAACGAAAATACTGTCACTGGCGAAACTATCTCAGTTCTTGTTCATGAATGCAACGGGAGTTGGGAATAGAAAATTTCCCGCCATTGGGTCACATGATCACACTGTTGATAACTATCGGCACAGGTTACCCAAGCTTTTACGATTCAGCATGTTTTTAGGCTCTACGCTCTGACGAAGGGCAAACGCTTGAAACGTTCCCTTATTCCTATTTACGGTGGCCAATTTACACTATCAACTCAGTTAATAAAACCAAATTATCTTGTTTCAAAGCTGTTTTGTTAAACACGGTTTAAATTTTTCCCTCCGTAGGAGCTGCTGACACCAATGCTTGTCGGCTTCACATTTAGCATATTGGACATAAAAGTGAGTGAGTATTTAATCCTATGGAAAATTCAGTTTTTCAGTTCCCTGTCACTGATTTTCTTGGAGGAGTGAATGGGGTGTAAGTCAGTAAGGCAGGTCGAAACGATTAATTAAAAAGGTTATATGATTGACTCGGTACCATTCAGAATGAAGTGCCCTGCAATTTCTTGCTATAAGCAGTGGGGGATCTAAGGGAGGAGCCCCCCCGCCCCCCCCTGCCGCCGCCGCCCCCCCCCCCCACCTTTGGCCAACCCGAATAAAGAAAAGCCGGCAGGGCAGACGAAAAAAAACCAGGCCCCCCCCTTAGCTCAAAGTCTGGATCCGCCACTGATGAGTATCCGCATTTTTAACAATTTCAGTTTGGCTTTCGTGGAAGCAGTTTCTGGACGACTTGTAGGGGAAAGAAATTGACCTGTCCAGTTCTAGTGCTAAGTTTCCTACCTCGTGAGTGAAGGAGAAGAGAAAGCAAACCGCCTACAAAGCCACTTAAAATGTTTGCACACAACTGGAACATTAGAGAAATCCAAAGGAACTTTTATTAAACAGCTCATAGCTGCTTCTGCATACAGAGGCAGGTACTGTTGTCAATATGGAAAGAGAAGTTGAAAATTAAGCAAACTAAATAAAAGGAAACAATTACGTTTAAATTCAATGTTGTTCAAACTAGAGCATGAAGTAATCCAGTTATCATTAATAACCTGGATAAATATATTACTCCTTAGGAGCTAAAGTTACGACAAGAGTGAGTCCTTTGTGTCACGAAATGAAAGTTAAAATAATCTGAGTAAAGCAATGAGTTTGTCAACAGCTACATAACAAATGTAACGTTAGCAAGTCATGTTTTGTCAAGGTAAATTTCGGGCATACCTTAAGTATGATTTGCAGTCGTTGGACCGAGCGACATGTCTCTTCAGTCTCAATGACCATATCTGAAAATTCTTAGCCGATTAATAGTAACATGGCTCATAGCCCTTTTGAGCTACCAATTGTTGTTTATAAATCGATGCTCGAAAAAGCATAGGTAGAAAAACATTGAACGATCTAGAAGTCGTATGTAATTAAGTAAATGTATGAATTTCTGGTTTCAAATTGCTTTCTTGATCATAAACACTCTCATCATAAGTGGGTAAGCAATGAAAATAAAGCTTATTAAGTAAATCAAGGAAAAATCTACTTGCACATTGAGTTGAGTCAAAAAATAGGTCTGCTGCAGTCGATACAATGACACAATTTGGGTATTTGAAAAATATGCAAAAATGCACTATAAAGATGAATAAAGCTTAATTACTCATTACTCCAAAGGGAATCATCAAGCTTTCGTCATTTTCTTAAACAAATAAAACAAACATGTTATCCGGTAGTGGCAGTCAAAGTTTCAATCAGGCTGTAGAGAATTGAAAAATTTGGAAACAAAATATAAATCTTTTCACTAATGAAATCTTTATATCCTAAACTAACTGTTTGTAGTAATCTATGAGAGAAGGATTGCCCACTAATACTACTAGCAATTGCCTGTAATGAAAAATTTAACTGAAATACCAAAGATCGCAGTTATTGTTCAATGTTTCGAGGATTTACTTGCACCTTAAGTGAACGAGGCTTCAAGACAAATCCAAACTCTCCATCCATGTTAAGTGGCACGCTGTGTTCCGGAAGCTGTAAATGCAGTCCTTGCAGGAGACACCCGAGAAACATAAACAGCTGCGCCTTAGCGAGGGTAGCACCAGGGCAGCGCCTTCCACCGGTTGAGAATGGAAGCAGGAAAGCCTGCTGGTCCAACAAGAGTTGTCCCTCGGTGTCAAGGAAACGGTGAGGATTGAAAACCTCTGGATGGTCGAAGTATTGTGGATCGTGATTTACAGCCCAAAGATTTACCACCACAGTCGTTCCTTTAGGTACACGGTAACCTGCGACTTCTGAGTCTTCTGTAGTGTAGTGGGGAATAGAAAGGGGAAGAACGGTAGCCATTCGTAATACCTCTAAGACAGTGGCATGTAATAGGGGAAGTTTTGCTCGATCCTGAAGAGAGGGAAGGCGATTCACTCCTATCACGCGTTTCAGTTCTGCTTGTAAGTCGTCTTGCAGACCAGGTTTCGAAAGGATATAGAGCAGCGCCCAGCTCAACGAGGTGGACACGGTCTCAATTCCGGCTCCAAAAACGTCGGCTAAAACTGTAACCGCCAGGTCTTCTAACGATTCGCTGCGAGCTTTCTGTTCGGTTGATTTAGAGGTTTTTGGGTCAGGCTTTCCAGCATTTACGAGATCCTCTCTAATAATTTGATCCAAAGACGCTGCCACATTGACACCAGCTTCTTTGATGCTCGCATGCCGCTGCAGTGTGTAGATGCTTCTTACAAAGTCAAAGAGCTCTCTGACAGAATCTTTCAGAGTTTGGCATTGCTTTTTGAAGAGAAAATGAAGCCAAGGGAAGAAATCTATTAAGTTTATGACCCCATTGTTCTCAGTAAAGTCAGCTGCTTTCTTCAAGAGGCTCTGCAAAGCAGAACTGTAGTCCTCTTCGAAATTATCTCCAAAGACAAATCTGAAAGCAAAGTTAATGACCATAGATTTTAGGTGTGGAGTCAAGTCTTGAGCCTCTGAACTGCCATCCGTCAAAAGGTTGCAACGCATTCGCTCAAACTCTTGATGTGACAAGCTATTAAAGCGGTTCACATCAGTGAAAACAGAATGCAGGGCACGAATAGCCATTTTCTTTTTTTTCTGATGCGAAGGGCCAAAGTCACCAAAGGCTATGCTCTCGCTCTGATGAGGGCTAATTTTGAAACTGTGAAAGGGTGGTCTCCCCGAGAAATGGCCAGCCCTTTTTGACAGTGCTTCTTTAACGACATCTTGGCTGTTCAAGACGATTACTTTTCTCCAACCAAGGCGAATAGAAAATACCTTTCCGTAGTCTTTGGCCATCTTCGATAAGGCGAGATGCGGTGAATCGCCAAGTTGAAGCAGGCTCCCGATTAGTGGCAAACCGAACGGCCCAGGAGGAATGTCTTTCGGAATTTTGGACCATCCCCAGATGAGCAGCAGGAAAGCAGCGATGCAGGCGACACTGAAAAAATAAAACAACGGATTTTCTCGGAAGATCGAGATTTCGTCCATGCCAGGTAGCTCAAGAGAGTCAAGGGTGGTTATTCAGCAGTTTTGTGGCAAGTCTTGTTCCCCCGCTTAATTGCGGGTGGTATTTATATAACTACTCTGCGTAACCTTGCCTATTTGTTTACCTAAAAAATTGCCAATGTCAAGGTCGCGAGTCACACTTGAGAGGCTCTATTTATCTAACAAACAGATGGAGCGTGTCTAGTTAAGGTCTGCATCACGAAATCTACCTCCTCCACATCTAATTATTGCTCAAGTTGTAGACGCTTATTTCATGGAATATTTTGGAATAAAATATCTATAAAGGAAAACGACCAAATTAAATAACCGTGCGCTGTTTTTCAGCCCCCCACCACCACCTCCCGTCCCGCCTGCTCTATTACTATTGTTACAATGAGTAACTACAGATACACAAAAGACGAAAACTTTGTAATCAGTTTTGCTGTTCCTGCGGTTGCAAAACTTGAGCAAACAACATTCATTAGTAAGGAAATGAGCAGCAAGCCGACTCGTCTGTATGATAATCCGCCGTACTTCCCAGTTTCACAAACGAGCAATCATTTGTTACTTCCGTGACGTTACAAACACACATCAGTCATATCGTCACCTTGGGTCTCTTTCATCTGACACCGACAGCAATTTTACGGGTTGACGGTAATCGTCAAAAATACCGCAGCTTTCAACCTTGAAGAACAACCTGTATTTGTCATCCAAGGTTATAAATAAAACCTGATGAAAATAAAAAGTTTCTTTGATATCATACCATAATCAAGAAGGGGGTTATTATAAGGATCAGATTAAATTTGATCAAGTTACTTCATTTGAGAGTTTTCGTGCGGAATCTATACACTTGTTTTGGTGCAAGAACAATCCTTGAGCAAAAGAAGATTAAGTTTCTTTTAATAGTGCTTCCGAAAACAAAGTCGTTAATGGTACTGAGCTATAAATATCTATTTTCATGATTTTATTAACCTTGACTGCAAAAGAGTAAGGTAACTACGTAAATGAAAAGGTTTGCAATACAAGCGATTTTACAGCCAAGGTCACAGTTGGAAATTAATCGCTCATAATAAATACTGTTACAAATCAACTATTAGACAATGAATATTGCTTTGGACCCTGACTGTCATAAAGCAAAGAATGGATATTTGTTTTCCTATGTGGGCGTCAAGATTGACTCTTTTGTGAGGGATCACCTAACCCTGAGGTAATTTGTTTTCAAATTGACAACTATTGGTATTCCGTTAAATCAAGGACACGCTTTCCTCACGGAATAAAAACAAAAGAATTTTGTTACTCTTGAAAACAGCAATCCACGGTCTTCAGCTGGATATTTTAAAGTTCTTCTATACGACTAAACTGCAGCGGAACACGAGATCTTTACGTCGTGGAATGCGGAAAGATTCATTACCAACTTGCGATACCCTCACTGCAATACAGCCCTTTCATTTAATTATCACGAGATGTTTAGAAATTGAAACCAGTCTGAAAAATCCCAAGGTCACAAACACATCCACGTGGTAAGTTGCGCTTTCAACAGACGCCGAAATACGTCATCAGGCAGACTTTCCAACTGGCTAACCAATTCCCTATTTTGTTGACTCACGTCAAAGTTTCGCAGAATCCTTCGCACACAGTGCATAATCAACTTCAAAATGGACACAATATGGGTAACTGACCACACTGTGGTAAATATGTAAAATGAACCTTCAGTTAGGTTAAAACTCGTCCTATTTGTAGGGAAATAATAAGTCGCAAGATTGAAATATACGTAGTAAAGCTTAATCATGTCTTTTTCCCCTGTAGTTAATTCTTCTTATTATGCCGAGCAGGTTGCGTGACATCAGGGAACCTTCTTTAAAAACTTGACAGTTTCAGTATTGGTTGCGTGAGGCTGATTCCACTGATGCTTCATTCTTTTCTATTGAGCTTTGTTTGGCTTCTATAATAATAAACGGTCACTGAAATTAGAGGTGCCTTCTGCGTTGTGAGATGGTTCGTTCTCCGCTTACGGTTTTAGCAGCTTTGATCTTTTAACCTCATTCAAGTTCTTACCCCTTAATACATTGAGGGGGTTATCAGCTTTTTCTCCCATCTTCTTTTTTCCCTGTTTAGGTTATTACTCGTGGTTTACTGGTGTTTTATTTAGAATTTTCGTAAGGGAAATGCCTCATAAGTTATAGAGGCTTGTGTATGTCTATGACATGAGTGTTCAGATACGTCATTCTAAAACCGGTTTGATCTGAAAGCTTAGAACCAAAGACATTAGTCGAGGCAACCAAATCAATTAGACAGCAGTGTTGACATACCCTGATCCGGTCCAATAACAAACCGCGCTGCCGGAAACGACAAACAATTACCGAATTCAAGAGGGTGTGGGAAATAAAACCTTACATACTAAACATCATTTGTGTTTCTAGATCTATCTCTTTAAGGTTGATATTATTGACAGAATGTAAAACATGACCATTAAATGTCAGTCAGTCTTGGCAAGAGGTTGTGGTTTCATCGAATACAGAAGAACCCCGCTAACTCGAATTCCCAAAGGAAACGAAAAATGGTTCATATCATTCGAGCTCCAGTTTTAAGTTAAACTTAATTACACTGCAACAAAGGACATCAAAGCGTAATGGATTCGCAAGCCAAGTACAACTTTCAAAAGCCAGTCCTAAAAATTGGTATGGAATTTTAGAGGTCGGGTCTTAAAACAAGATGGAAAACGGCATACTTTTCTCTGCAGTAGGATCAGGACTTTGAGAAACGGCTAACGCACCCCTTTCAATAATCCTGAGGAGAACCCCCTCCCACTGGGGGATACTCACGTCTTGAACCTACCCGCAGGGTCTCTCTGGTCAGTTCTGCCTGCCTATCGTTCTCCTCTTGTTGCTGTCGTTTCATACAAAAGAAAGAGCAATTTTTATTTAATCTTCTGCACGTCATAGTAAATTGAACTGTGCATAGGTCTCTCTATGGGTAGAAAGTAAAAAATGCTTGAAAAAACAAGGACAAAAGCTCACCATTAACTTGTTTAAAGCCGTCGATTCCTCTCGCTGTTTCTTATGTTCTTTTCTTTTACCCAGCTCTGCTCTTAGGTTTTCAAGTTTCGACTCACTCCCCAGCGATCGAAGACGTTCTACTGTCATGAAAATGAGAAGCAGGATGACGAAGTAAGTACATGTAGAGAACTAAATTCCATCGAAAACGAAGATCAACTACCTCCCCTGCTACGATGTGTCTTACACTTATGCAAAGGTGCGATATGAGTCCAAATGGCTAAAACCCTGCAAGATGAATGACAACTCCTCAATTGATAAAATCAATGCCACAGTTAAAACAGTATCCGATCAAATATTCCGAGTTGTAAATAAAGTTAATGACTTCTCATTTTATCCCGGTGAATTAATTCACCGGTGATAAACTCACTGTTTCTCAATTATTAGTTTTACGTCTTATTTCATCATGAATGAATGCATTCATGGGGGGAACTTTGTTTACATTATTATAGCAAGGTATTGATAAGCATACCACTGTCAATGATCTACCCAATTTTTCGCCCAGCAAAATTCAAAGATCTTTTTACATCATGAATGAACGCATTCATGGGGGGGGGAACTTTGCTTGCAATATTATAGCAAGGTTTTGATAAGCATACTACCGTCAATGGTTTACCCATTTTTCGCCCAGCAAAGATCTTGTATGTGTTTCTATTATACTGGAATTTAACCAGATGTCATTCTTTACTCGTTCAAGGAAACATATTTGAATTATACATTTTCAAAAATTAAAAAACTATTTATCTTACACTCTTCGCTGAGTTCGGTATTTTTGGCTTTTTGTTGTGTTATGCTCTTGTGGACGGGGAGATTTCTCTTGTATTCTGCCACTTGATGGGTATATCCCGCCATTTTTGCCCTATATCGTTTGTACAATCTACGACAAAGGAAGTTTTAACTCAAATTAAACTCGCGCTGCGCGCTCGTTCGATTTAGAAATCTCTCGTATGATTTCAGACCTAACTTGAAAGGGCACGAAAGATGACTCAGTTCTGATTGATTAAGATGAATGCAGTTTTTTCAGGTGATTTCGATGCAGAATAGAGTTAATTCAGTGCAAAGTAGTAACAAACCAGACTGAACAATTTCTTAAACTGTTTAGCCGGATTTTGAACTTTGTTGCGTCTTAAAGATGTAAAAATATTGCACCCGAAATCATGTGATTACCTATGAATCAGTACAATTATCATAATAAACCCAATAGTGACTCGATCAATCGCATTTTCTTTGGCTCCTTGTGATATTTTCTTTTTATCTGTGTGTTTGGCTGTTGTGATTACTTTAGTTTTGGTATTACGAGAATCAATCGAAATGTTCTCTAACGAACTCCAGATCAGGAGATTCCATATTTTGACATGAAACTATTTTCTCAAAAACTCTTTCACGTGCCGGAAAGTGGTTAAGTTATTTTGATTCATTGCTTACTCTCTGTCCCTCTCCAGTTTATCATTTGCGATAGCAAGCTCCTTTGTTAGTTTCCTCTCGGATGCAACAAGGGCTGCAATATCTAAGAAGCAAGCACGACAGCACGATAGATAGGTATAAGCACACCATTGTAGAAGGTTCAGGAGGTAACAACTTTTTAGACGTGTTCTAAATTTTTTTTACAGCTAAAAAAAATTAAAAAAAGGTAAAAATTGTTATTTTGACCAAACGCACAAAGAAACTAGTAGGGTTAGATCATGAATAACAGGTGTGATTTTGGTGGTCTTTGAACAAATTATACCTACTTATGAAGAAAATAACTATGTTCTGTTGCTGCTTATCTATTCCATATTGCACTCGCGACCATATAATTGCCTTTACCGTTCATTACCATCATTATTCATTTCTCACAGTATTATTGTTGATGTTGTTCTTGCTACTATCATCATATAATTTTATATTATTATTGTTATCATCATTATTCGTACTCTTATTATTATTTGTTTTTATTGAAAAGAAACCCAGTTTTTTAGCACTGAATGTTTACCTAGATTTAAACAGTGCGAGAAGACCCAAAGTGTTGTCATGGAACCCCAAATAAACCCCTGCAGCGACGCAAAGTCAAGTTTAAAACACAAAATACCTTTGTCAAGTTCTTCACACCATGCCTTCTTTTTGGAAACCTCTTCGTCCATTGAATAGATTTTTCTCGAAACAGCTGCAAGGTCTGACTTCACAGAGTTAATCTTTAATTGAACTAGTAGAGTTAAGATTATTAGCGACTAGTTCAAGATACCTTCGAGAACAGTGCTTGATTGTCAGTAAAACAATTTCTGATTCAAATCTGAAAGTAACGCAGAAATTTTTACCTTGGTAGCAATTATCCTGATTGTGCCAAATATGAATGAAGCAAACAAAAATACAATAAAGTTACACCGTGAATGCTCAAAAGGGTAGTAAACTACATTGAATGAATTTCATAATCAATAAAGCTTCACTCGAATAAACCTTACGCGTCGTTTCAATTACCTTCAGCCGATCACGAACTTCCTGTCTCTGACTAAGCTCGTTAATCTGTTGCCTCTGAGCGACAGCTACTTCTCCTGCCAAATCTGGAAGGGTGGCTGCCTCTGTACGACTTGCATTTATGGCGTCTTCAGTGGGAAAATCTTCATGTCCGCTTGTTTGCCCTTCCTTTGAATTTTGCATTAAATGGTCTACTATCCGAGTAGGTTTCGGTGGACTAGAAAGTTCCATGTCTGTCTGATTCAATGGAAGTTTTCTTAGAGGAAAAGAAATTTATGTATTTTGTTCAGAGTTTGCAGATCCAGATAATTCCCCGCCAAAATACAACGCGGTGCACCACACACACTTCTTATCTCCAGGCTTCCGCTCGGCCCGCGCTACAATCTCGATCTAAATGTTCTTTCTTTAGATTGAACCAATATATAAAATAACTTTGCGATGAGTAAAGGTATATGACAATTTTGCGTACGTGAGCGTTACGATCTAGGGGCCTCTGAACATAAAATATACAGATTTGAACTAACATCACTTTGCGAAAGCAAAGTATTATTAGAGGGTCTAAATTAGTGCTCAAGAAAACCAAATTTTCAGGTATGAAAATATCAGAAACCAATGAAATACAAATCAAGCAGTTTGATTGATTCAGTGACAATCCTGTGGCCAACACTAATTCTTATGAGAGCTGCTTTTGCGCTTCCAGTGAGTGCTGGAAAGGATACTGAAAGCTCAAGGCACTAAGTAAGACGGGGGAACTATCACTAACCTAGAGCATCACTAGCTCCGATCACTTACAACAAACATACCTTTAGTTAACTCTATTTTCTCCCATTATTCCCAAAGGGAACTTCGAGCCGTGAACCTATTTAACCCCTCAACGCCTAAGAGTGACTCGCACCTAATTTCTCCTGACAATAGCAACACTGAATCACACATTAATGTCATAAGAAGAAAGGAAATGATCACCAATTAAAGAAACTCTTGATTGTAAGGCAAATTCTCCTTGTTAGCACATTAGTAAATGTACATAGAACAGTATGGAGAATATGCATACTGATGTCAGGGTGTAAAGAGTTAACAAACAAATTCCATGTTGCCGTGCGTCTGTTCAGTGAAAGATCACAGATGACGTCAAAATATGGTATGAATGAGCACGTGGCGACCTGTGTCACTGATGTTCTTGCCACAGTAGTACGCCTTCCGTGATATAAGCATTAAATCGATTTGTCTCATATTATAAGAATCGTTAATAGTGATGTCATATAACGCTTGTCCATCAATAACCATGATAAAGAACCAATCAAAATGCGTACATGATTAAGGTAATTATGACTATTAAGTAATTAACAAAACTGAATGTTTAGATTCTACGCACCCAACGATTACGCGGCTAAGTCTAAATACGAGACTGACGCGTATAACTACTAGAGCTTAGACCAGTTTCCGTTGCTCTGACGACCAGGAGTATTGCTAAGTCTCCCCCCCCTCCCAGAAATGCGTCAGGCTTTCTCCCAGCAGTTCACAGGTACACATTTAAACTCCTGAGTGGAGAGATATATTATGGGATTGAACAAATCACATTGACCAACCCAGATTTCCAACCCTGGTATTTCGTTAAGCAACCGTATCCTTCATATGTACCACAGCGACAATTTACAATCAACAACAGTCGAGTCAGTGGCAATCATTATCGAGTTTTTATTTAGATTCCCTGACAAAACAACATGTGCGTGCTTTCTTCTAAACCCGTCCATATTCATTCATTAAAGTTTCCATAGAATTACGTCCAAAACAAAAATTCATTCACTTCTTCTTTTTCGTTTTTGCTCGGTTAAGTTCTTGCGTAATAAATATTGATCATAAAGTTGGTCCTTTTAGGATTTTAAAGTATATTCATTGCAAAATAAACTATTTTTAATTTATCTCACGGTAAACAATATTCAATCAAGATCTTATTTCGCTGACTTCATTTCTTACCAAGGAGTCCACGAAACAAGTTCGTTCTAAGTCATTGTAGGTCTCTAATTTTTGACGCTATATCTTTTTTACAAATTCGTCACATCTGCATAATTCGAGATAAAAGTAAAAACCTGTACATTCAAATTCGTATCTCGTTGCACTTTCCACAACTTATAGGGTATTTACTGTAAAACTAAGAAGCGCAGTCGACGCCTTTAAAATTGCTTAATTGTAAAAAAAATTGTCAATAACCACAATAACATTCAACTTAATTTGCAGGAACGTTACAATTCGAGTATACAAGACAATGATATTGTCATCTGTTTCAATCTTTGCAAACCCCACCCACACCCTTTCCTTTTTGGTTTAATTTCTTTACCTTAGTAGTGTTTTTCAAAACTAGCAAATGTTTTTCGAGAGGTTTTCTTTCTATTCAAAATGCATTTCGATTGAGGGCTGTGAAAATCAAAATCAAAATCTCGACAGCCAATCAGAACAGAGCTAAATACAAAGCGGAGCCAATACAACAAGAAAACACAAGAAAACCGCATTGCGTGAGAAAACAAGGGCGACCAAGTTGTGATTGGTTGTGGTCCTACATCTGATTGGTCGAGAGGATGGCAAGAGCGTTCTAAACCAATCACAGTGCGTAGCATAGCAAAACCAAAGCAACCCGCGTCATTTTAAATACTAAATTGAAAATTGCTAGTTTGCAAGAGGTTATTCTATTGTATTCTACAGTAAGCCAAAGTCCGTTGAAGTAGCTTCTCTGAGCTGACATCCAAAGGCTCAAGTAAAGGATCAGGAGCTTTTATAGAGGAGAGTCGTGAACTGTAATTCTAATAAGTACTGTAAAATCGTTTCTTCTTTCTTTGCTGATTTGCTTCACTCACGTTCACTCTCATTACGGCTTGTTTAGTAAGCGTTTTTTTAAATCGATTTTTGTGTAAAAATGCCACCAACCTTGCGGGGCGAGGCGAGCAGAGGTCTTAAAGCTTTATCACTAAATGTTCCAAGGTGTACTTAATAACAAAATTATGTTGGTTCCAAATTAAGTTTTCATCTCCACATGAAAAATGTTCCGTGTTCCGCGAGGAAAATCCTCGTCGACTGTTGACGATATCCATGACCTGGGTTTCCCTTCAAGGACCGTTAAAGTGTACTCCATGTTCTCCACTCACAAGGTGATGGGTTTGTCCTTACACGCGTTTTGACAGAATGAGCTGATTTTTCGGAGAAACTTCGGGTATTCACGTTTTGATACAGCTCGCACTACCGAAGGTGGAGCCCAACCTCCCGGGTTTACTGCAGAAAAAAGAAAAAAAGGCAATTACATCACAAAACACAAAGTTAAGACGTAACGATGATTTGTGAACGATGGGAGTTTTTAAGCCAAAATTACTACAGGTTATCATCTAGAAATTCGTTCAATCGACTCTCATACCATTTGCAGTGTAGGTAATTTTGCAGGTTACATGATCTCGAGTAAGCTTCTCCCCCTCAGCTCTTGGTTCAATAAACGTCTGACAATACAAACCCACAACGATCGAAGCGCGTACAAACTTGTTCATCTAAAGTGAGAACAGTCATACATTAGACAATAGCCAGGAGAAAACATTTGTGATGGGACTTGAATAAAAGCGAGCCACATGTAGTTATCATTCCAGATATACTTGAAAAATTTCGAAGCAGTAGTCAACACAATACCATTTGGTTGAGTTAGTAGACTAGGATGAGTTTCAATCAAGTGTTTTAAGTACTACGGGATTGCTGTAGTCGTGCAATACTTTGCTCTGTGATTGCCCTAGAAGACTAATTTAATACTCGCTTTTTCTTTTTTCAACCAATCAGATACAAAAAAGAAAAAAGCAACCGCCAATTGCTTATTCGCGGTTTCCCGCGCTTCGGGCAGCTTGCCAGTGTTTACTGCGCGTTCTCGTTGACTAACGATAATGTTAATTCCTGATCTGAGACTCATCTGACTTGTCACTGTTATAACCTGGGTTTTCACCTTTCGACTGCCAATTGAGGATTTATCTAAAAACCCAAACGAAAGCAACCACAGGTTTCAGAGTAAATAAATGTAGACAACTTTATGAACGAAACTTTGGTGATAGTTTGGAGCACAAAAACTGAACAACTGTTTCAAATAGTTTAACGTAAAAAATTTCGGCAACAACAAGTACCGGAGCATCCTGATGTTCCATTGAATTGTTACAAACAATCCACGGCCGTCCAACTTCGTTTTCTACTCTTTCACCAGCATCGCTTAACGGAATTTCCCGAATATGAGAAAGAAAAACTGTATCTCTCTGGGACGATGGCCACACCCGCTTGAAAATCTGATGCATTATAATCGAACTCTCGCTGAGTTGTTCCAAAACTTTTGAAGACTCCAACGTGCCTGTACATGAAATAAAACAACAAATACGACCTTGCTTAATTAACTGAACACCTCAAATTCCTCTTAATGCTCTAACTTTTACTGGTAAATATTTGTTCCAGGATTATCCACAAGTTGGGGGAAAAAAAAAGTTTTGCTTATTATAAAAGATTGAATCAAATCTTATTTTCTGTAATTAATTTTTAAGGGCTGTTCGAATTTTTTTGTACCTGTAAGTAACTTTATCTATAACCTCATTAATCTATGGAAGTGTATCAAAGAAAAACTGGACAGTTGTGATAGTATTATTCTCATCATTACCATCTTATCATTATTATGATGAGTATCATTACAGTCATTATTCCTATCAATATCATTTTCTTATAATCAATATTATTATTATTGTCACTACCATTATTATTGTTATTATTGATGTGTTTCCTTACTTCATATATATCTTTTTATTTCATTATTATTATTATTATTATTATTATTATTATTTGTAGCAGGACTTTTAGGACGCTATGTTTTTATCGTTGTTGGCAGATTTTAAAGAGGAATTAGTGGAAAAATGTTAAATATTGGTAGTGATTGCTAATAGTAATAGTAATAATAATTAGTAGAGAAACATTTTCGTGGATTATAGTTCAAGAGATATTGAGACATGATTTTTTCTTTTCTTTCTAACAGATGTTAAGGTACAAATTTAATTCTTTTTAAGTGAAGCACTGTACATAGGTCTTTTTTATGAGTATTGAATAATGATTAAAATTATGATTAAAATTATGATTATTATTACATCATTATAATTATCGTGAGTAGCTGCTACAGGTTGTACTTAGAAGAGTGAATCCTAAGCTTATCATGTAACATGTAAATGAGTATTAATACAACAAAATATTAAAAACTGTGGATATAAAAGTTTTCTTCTTTATGTGCTGCAGACATCTAATTTTATCAACTGAATAGTAACACCAAAATGAAAATCCTATACACGTAAGTTTCATAAAGTATTCTTTACTGACACGTTGTAGTGCCCCAAACGCCACTATCACCCCAAACCACAGCGAGAAGTAGAATGGAAGATTAGATACTTGTTTTGACCACAAAATATTGATGCTTTATAAGTATACTGCAAAATCACACTTACTCTCCCAATCCATGCGAACATCTTTGTCAAAAAAGTAATGAGCCATCTCCCTGGCCGTGACACCCTGTGGGAAAATAAAAACAAAACTGTCTGTGAAGTGCTACTTATTTGCACGCTTACACTCAAGAGGTTTGATATACTGCAATTGTGGTAAACTACCAGGGGGTCATTATAGTTGTAAATTTAACTTGTCTATACAAACAGGAATCACGCTCTTAAAAGAGCATTAAATCCCACAACTTTCAAAGACTATTTCCAATAATTTTTTAAGGATTTTCTTGATCCTCAGTCATAAACTTTGTTCTCTTTAGAGAATACAAAGATGAAACAACCATGGTATTTCTTGCTTTGTTGTTCTCTGAAAAGTTATTTTCTGTCGTTTCCAAGAAATTTCATAGCTGACACTCAAACCTAACAACTTTCCTAGCCTGTATAATCATATTGTTGAAATCCACAACTTTCCAAGACTCATATGAAACCTATAAAAGCTGATCCAGTGTGAAGTTATGAGGACAACAAGGAATAAAATTGGGAACATTTGAGATATCATCCTCTATGTACCTGCACAACATGGGTAGCCTTCATAGGATCCAGTACAATACCTCCTTCTTCATAATCTCGCCGGTATACCTTTGCCAATAAAAAAATCACATATTACATACTCTTCAAATGAGGGTCTCTGTGTGAGACAGTGCTAAACAGAGGATTAGTTCTAGTCTCAACCAATAATTAAGCAAAACAAGCATCTGGGATACCTTCAAATCTCCATCTTCATACACTAAGTTCCAGTTGTGGTCCACATTTTCCAAAACAATTTGTAAGCTTTCTTTTACATGTTCATCAACCTTAAAAGAAATTGCAGTTTTAAGGCATTCAAGGAGTGTGTTCTTCTTTTGGTCTCTAAGATCCTTACATGTATTTAGAGTGTACTTACCTAAATTTTGGAACAGTGTCAGTTAACCCTTTAACTCCAGTGAGTGACCAAGACAGAATTTCTCCTTACAATATCAATTCAATATCAACCAGATAAGCGATGAGAATAAAGAATAATATCAATTTGGGGATAATTAGTTCATCCAATACTAAATTCTCTGCACTAATGTTAAGAAAATTGTATGGTTGACGGTAGGGAGAGTTACAAATTTGATCTGGGAGTCAAAGAGTGAAGACAAAAACAAAATGCACTACACAATTTACATCTGTGGATGACTTGAAGTGTTTAACACAATTATGAAATAAATTTGCAAGATTGACTACTTGGTGATTATATTGAGCTGATAAATGCAGTAACAAAATATTAAGTTTAGCACTCTCTCACCTCTGTTTTTAGTCTGTGCGGGGGTTCTTCTATTGTAAGCTCAGAAGGAGGCATGAAGGTGCTACTCTGAAAGTCATTCTGAAAGAAAACAAACCAATTTCATTTCAAATTTGAGGAAAAATAAGTAGTTGAACTAAAAATGAGTATGCCAAAGGCCCTAATGAGTTGAGTGGATACCAGTTTGCTGTTTAGAGAAAGAAAGAAGTGTAATTTATTCTTTGTTCACAAAAAATGAGTACTTTATTTTGCATTCTATTGCCTCCAGTGAACTAGTTCATGACAAAAAAATCTTTAGATTACAAAGGACACGGTAAGGATGCACTATTGTAATAATAAATTTGAAGGGAAGTAAATAAAGCAGATTATCAAAACACCAACCATGGTAGCTTCTTCTTCATCCTGGCGATCAAGAGCAGTTTCTATTGCATCATAGAACTCTTCTTCATTCAAAGCACTGTGTGGTCCTTCCTATAACAATATTACAATAGAGGGTGCAAGTCATGTTTGAAATTAAATTAACAGTGGCACAGAAATGACAGAAGGGACCGCAGCATTAAAAGCATGTTTAATGTAAGTGATACATTGCATTATCATTGACTTGACACTCACTTTACATGCACTGCCTTAAAGCAGAATTGCTTGTAATCATGCAGTTTTTACATGCAATAACTGAATGTAAGATTGCATGCAGGTGATAAACTGGAACTTATTAACCACATGAAACAAGCAAAAATATTGGCAAGAGTATCATGTGCTGGGTCTCTGTTATGATCTACTTTGTCAACATCGAGGCATAATCATTCTTACTGTAGATTATTAAGGCAGAATTGCCCACAATCTTAAGTGGTTTGTAAGCATACTTGTACCTGTACATGCAATTAAAAGAATCCACTTCAACACTTAACTGTTACATGTATGCATGGGTCCAATTTAACAACCACAAGAAAGAATGAAGAAACAACTGGACATGACAAATTCCTATTAGCAATCAATCAAATTTCTGTCAAAAATAGATGGACATCACACTCATTGGATAAATGTGTTCATATTAAAGAAAACATTAATTTTGTAGAGTATTCTTCACACAAAAATTAACCCAACAGTGTACATTTACATAACAGCCCATGCAAATGATGTGTACAATGTAACAGCTTTAAATACATGAAACTTAAACCAAATCCTTACCTCAAAATCTGGACCTCCGATGAATGCTTGTTTTCTGGCATTAACAACTGCTGATTTTATAGCTGCTTCTGCTTTCTTACGCTTCTCTATTTCCTTGAAAATGTAATGTACATATACGATATATTTTTATAAGGTCATTTCCAAGCCAATTTGGCTGTCCTTTTTCAGGGTGGCTATCAATTTCTCATGGTAGTATTCATATACATTCATGTAGTTCTCAGGGAAAAGATCGTACTTTGCTCAGCAAAAATAGCTCACTTGCAGGCATACAGTAAGCATGTCTGATCAACTGAAACAGTCAATGTGGAAACAAATCCTAAAATAATTTTGCCATTGATATCATGAAGAATATGAAATAATGCATCTCATGATAAGAAACACAAAATGAAGAGTTAAAGCTCATCTCACAGAAAGATGTATAAGTTACCTTGTCCAATCGTCTCTGCCAGTGATCCTCTCTCTTATTCATGATATCAATACAGTGTTGAAGAGTTTCTAGGATACCAGTAGTAGTTGCTTTGAACGTGAGAGATTCTCCCCTAAAATCCACCCCTTTGGCATTTGCAATTGATAGAACAGCTGGTGGACTGTCTGAGCTGTCAGATGTTGCTTTCCTGTTGGCTAGGTTACCCACCACTTGATTTAAGGTGGCTGGAGTGGGAGTAGTTGAAAGTTCATCCATTTCATCGTCAGCATCAATATCCACTATAGAATACAAAGGTTTGAGTTACACTTGTACTTCATATAGAAAGGCAACAGAGCTTGAGAAACTTTTGAAATACTGAACTCACACATTTCAAAAATTGTAAAATAAACAGCCCTATCAATCAAATCCATATGAAAATTTTGTTAGATTGCAAATCATGATCCATCTGTACTTTTAGTTACAGATGAATTAAATTCCTGACTATCCCTTTAAAATGTTTACTATAATGTCAACCAAACAGGAAAAATCTGTCAAAATTCACAAAAAGAATTAAAGTGATTCTTTAATGGCTCTCTGAGTGAAAAATGATTCAAAACCCAAAAACTTATAGGACCACTCAGATGAAAACAAGTTTTTCTACATTTATGTTAATGATTAGCATACATCCATCATTGCTGCCAAAGAGATCATGGTCATTCCCTTCCATATGAAGAACTTGTTTGTGATTCCCACCAGCTCCTGCACAAGCATCAAAGTAGTTTTGAAGAGTGTCTATCTGCTGGCAGACAATGTCTCTGAAGGTCTCAAGTTCCATCAGCTTTTCACGCAGGCCTCTCCCTTTCTAGAAGTGTAAACAGTTTAAAAATTAAGTGAAAACTTCTCCAATGGATGCATATGCATTAGAAAAGGACGATAAATATACAAAGGTCATAAGAAATTTTGCATCTTACAGGTACATGTATTCATGTTGCAATAACAGTGTAATGTCTTAATCCCAGTTTTAATACCCTACCTAAACGCTAGGTTACAAGGGTTCGTATATTATTCCTTTTTTATGTTCTCTGCCCCTCCCAACCCCAGGCATTTGAGTTTCTGTCATATCCGTAGTTGAATGGAAAATAGGAGTGTTGAAATGTCTCTGGTAGGTAAAAATAATTTATATAAGGCCAAAATTGGATGCTTCACTAATTCCCTAACAAAACTCACCCATGAAGTTTCTCTCTTTCACTGAACCCACCCACCCAATTTTACCAAAGAGGAGGTGATGGAAAAGGAAACATTTTTTTGAGAGTAGCCCCAAAAGAATACCTTTAGGGCTTACGAACCAACATTTCACCCCAAAAATATTATGTATCATGTAAAAGTACATGAAAAGGGTACATTTGTGAGATACAAAAATGGATCATTTCAAAAATTAGTGTATAAACACACAACGTACCTTGAAAGAAGAAGATGATGCTGTTGTTGATAAGCTTGTGACAGATGACAATGAAAGCATAGAGCCGCCTTTTCTGAGACTTGACTCTGAGCCATAGCCAGACTCTGCTGCCTGAAATGACACAAATAAAAAATAAATAAACAGAAAGCTTGTTTGTACTCAGATTCAGCACTGCCTTGGAGTTTATTTCAGATATTATATTGAATGTTCTCACAAGACCAGAGTCTCAATGCTAGAAATAAAACTATCATTTCTTGAGTGTCTCCTCACTGGAGTTGAGTCAGATCTGTGAGACTCTGAAGGGGTAAGTTTAGAATAAATTACAAGTACAGTATACAAGGAAAGTTCTACAGATGTATGCCTTGATGAATTAGAATTAATGTAGTTCTATCTAGCTGGAAAACAACAGCTTGCCCTAGAACTGTAGGGTTCATATACAATGCAGCATGTTCTACAATTAATCTTTTCCGCTTGAAATGTTAGGGGGAAGGGAAGTTTTCTTCCTGAATATTTCTCCAAAGACAAATTGAACGAAACTTTATCTTGAATTAGAACCTTGTCTAAATCTGTTCATGTTGTAAAGCCCCATTGTTTATTGAACATGAACCATTTACACCAACAGAAACCTAAAAAGCTTTTCATTAGCATATCTTAAACATCAGAAAATGCTTTTAAAGTTGTGTGTAAAAATTATAACACAATTAAAAAAAGGTCAAAGCAGTTTCATAAACAAATAAACAGAAGCTGATTCCACAAGTTTACCTTCAAAATAATGAAAGAACAATATCTAATGTTTACCCAATGAAGTTCAAGTAGTTCTAAATAATTTCTGACCAAAAACTAAACCATGAAATTCAATACACATTTACTACCGTCTGTATGAAATGTATTGACTTAACCCACAAATGACATGCTTGAACTTACCTTTACAGCTTCCAGTCCATTAACCCATTTCTGGCGTTCTTCAATGTCTGGTGCCCTCAAATAATACATACAGTCATTGACACTGACATCAAACCTGCATTCATCAAACTCGTGAGGCTGTTAGAAAAAGGAATAGACACTTCATATACAAGATATTCCATTTAATAATTCAGTAACCACAAGCGACTAATTACAAACAAGGATTTTCTCACGCTCTGCACACATCATCAGTTTCTCAATGTTTGTGCAGAAGGTGTTTGGTATAACTGATTAGATTTTTTCCTTGTCCTCTAAGTTTCCTAATTTTTCATTTTCTTTCCATGTCCATCATAAAGAAAGGTAAACTCAAAGTGTTCAATATACATTTACGTTTGCAAATTAAACAAATTTTCAAACCCCACATCGTTATTTAAAAAATAGAACAGATGAGAACTGAGGTAAAGCAAAAGACAAAGATTGACAAAAAAACATGTTGATCCAAAAATAGGTGTGATTGTATCACAACAACAATCAACTGTAACATTCTATTCTGAGGGATCAGTGAGGACACTTCTGCTGATTAATTTCTGTAGATATAATCATGCAATAAACACCTCTTTTGTTATAATCTTTTTGCATTAAACTGGTGCAATTATCTTTTTTGATTTCAAGAAGAAATAACACTCAAGAAAAACCTTGGTTAGAGTCAACTCGTCAAATGCTAAAAAAAGGTAAATTTGAATGTTCAGTGCCTGCATTGCTGACAACTGACATTGAATGACAGAAGCAATAACTTTGCATCATGAAGAGAAACGGTCCATAAGATGACTGAAAATGAATTAACCAATCTTCTCGACTTTAAAAGACAAGAGAATGTACAAAGAGCTGACCCACTCCAAATAACCTATAAACCTTAAACTGCAGCCTCAGTCCATGGCAATAACTGTTTGTCTTATCTTGGCCTTGTCAGCCACGAGCAAGCTTCTAAATGTCTTGACCCCATCCCTGACTAAACCCTGGTTTACAAAGCTAAGCCAAGAATAACACTGAATGACTGAAGTATTTTCCACCAACAAGACTACCATTTGGAGTTTGCAACCCTAAAGTTTCCTTTATCTTTAACTATCATTGAAACAAATCCACCTTCAAATTGCCATAACAATACATACACAACATCTGCTCTGATATGTATTCAACCACATTTACTCAAATTTCTTTCTTTCTGTCTTTTCCTCTTACACTATTACAGCATCTCTATACTCTGCACTTATGTTCCACCTCTACTTAAAACTTTTTTCCTTTATTTTTCCCCCTACATGGCTACACATTAAAGACTAAATCAAATATATCATGTCATGTCTACCACTGAAGTTTGTTTTTGTAATAGAAGTTACATTCTAAGAAACCTCGTAATTCTCAAAAGCAATTTGTGACTAACAGACACAGAAAAACGCAGCTATACACAAAGAAACAGATCTGTAAACACGAACGCAATGGCAGTTGTAATTATAAATATTTCGCCAGTTGAAATTACCCGGATTAATTATAGGAAATCTTTTATTTAAGAAAAACAAAATACATGCCGAAAAACGTTACAGAATGGGTTCAAATTACACAACAATAGAAAAAAAAGCTACAGTAGAATCGTGTTACAGCATGACAAATGCGTGGTCGAGAGTCTGGAATTTGAAAATGCTTTGATGAATAATATTTTAGAGTCATTCAAGTGTCACATTGGCTGCCTTTTATAACAAGAATCCAGGCGGCAAATATTTAGAAACAATATCTTTATACATAGAAAAATTACACTATAATAACCGCTCGGCTGTTGATACGACGTCAAAATAAAGCCAAAACAAGCTGCGTTTTTGTCGCCCTTTGTCGATATCATGAAACATTGCGATGTTCTGACACATATCCGGAGAATTACATTTCTAGGCAGTAGTGGCGATCTCTCGCATCAAGAATCGGTGTGCATTCCACTGGAGTTATAATTCCTTCTATCGTTCGCAATATTGATAATATTGGATTTATAAAATGAACTGCATCTCTTTCGTAAGCTTAGTACGCAATCTATATTTCACTCGCACCACAGAAATATCGAACTTACTTGAATAGTTGCTTTCGCAACACTCATAGATCCTCGACACCCAAACGCTGTATCAAACTCTGACTTGTAGTAGGACAAAGTACCATTGCTTAAGACGACCCATCTTTCTTGCCATCCATGCAGATAGTTAGTCCATTTTGACAAGGTCCCCTGCAATTCTGGTAGTTGAGGCTGCGAATTACTGCAATCTAAGTCGTCATCTTCCTCGTCGCTTAAGCTTGGTGTGTGTTCCCCAGACATTTTAAAACTAACTTAGAAATTTTTGAATCTTCTAACTAATTCTACGGAGGAAACTGAACTGTAGTTCATTTGATATTCAAGCTTTTCGCCGATCCGTGCTCCTCCTACCGAAAGTCCGCCATATTTTGTGTTCAAAGGTTTCGATGTGACGTCATCGCAAGGTACCAGTACCCCGCCACTTAAATATTACATTATTATTATGTTACACCTAGAGCACTTTTTCTCCAATTAAAGAGGCAAACGGGGGGGGGGTTTGTACAATACTCAAATACTGCAAACCATTTGTGCCACAGCCTTCAAGTCTTAGAAATAAAGTATATTCCTGATATTACAACTGTTATGTAAGAAACGAAATCATGTTAGGTACGAAACAAGAGATTATAATCTCTTGGTAGGAAATCATTCTACAAAACCTTATGTTGTTTTAAAGCTGCCTTTCGGGGACTTCATCCTTTATTAACAACTTTTCTTCCTTGTTTATCAATGATATAATTTTTGAGAATATTTTATATTACTATTAATAATTTTTTATTACTGTTACTATAGATTCCAAAAAAGTCTGTTGTAATTAAAAGATTATGTTCACACCGTATCCAAAGAGTATTTGAGAACTATTGATGTCTCATGCCAGCAACTCTTCAAAGTTGGTAGTTACTTAGTACATGTAGACCATTATACACTAAACTCAAATGCGTCTCATCTTCTAGTTCAATAAATTGTTTACTCTTTTTTTGGTTAGCAAGTCTTTGAGGTCACTAAAGATGTTAATTGTCATTATTTTTTTTTGGTTAATTACCGGCAAATTTCTATTAAATACCATGATGTTGACAAGAGCTTTCCTGCATTTTACAAAAGTAGTCACGAAGATCACTTCTTTGATAGTTTTCTCCGTTTTCTCTCTGCAAGGTTACTTGTGTAACATTCATATATGAATCCAGTGGCACCAGTTTTACGAATTTTTTCCACATAATGTAACTTTAAAATCTTCCGACAATATTCAATTCATCTATCACTAGCACGTTTCCATGTCAACGAAGTTAAAAATTGTCAAATGTTTTTCTTGAATCAACTTCATTCTCAACTTTCACCCCAAAAGTTATCTATCTAAACACTAATCACGCATGTGGTTGGTCAGTTTCGGGTTTCGTCTCAGTGTTGGAGGCATCGCTTTCATGATCTTCATTTAGATCAAAGTAAGGAGTGTCCCTCGTCATCATTTCTTCTATTCTTGTCATCAGCTGTTCAAATGATGGTCTCTCCTCTGAATCTACCCTCCAACAGTCTAACATCAACTCGTATCTGATAAGATATAAAGTATTCTGGTGTCAATGGAGACATTGGCGCTATGTGGAAGCTATGGTTTTCAGTGTTTACTGTTGGTCCAGACACTGACGACCAAGCACAGGAAGGAGAATGCAGACATGATAAAGTTCACCTCGAGCTTTAAAACAAATTACAATTTAAAGGCGTCTTCACCAAATACGCTTAATAATTTCATTGAAAACCACATCTTGTTGAATATTTTGGCCATCTTGATGTTACAATGGCAAAATGTTCTTGAAAAAAAGACTTGGTACTTTTTCTTTTCTTTTATGGTTAGCTTTCTTGATAAGTATACAATGTGTTTCACTGAAATAACTATCCCTGAAATCAATGTTTTCGTGAGGCCCTTGTTTCCATGTAGAGTTTCTCATACTGGTACATTATATTTTCTAGCATTGATCTCAATTCCTCTGTCGCAATTGTCAGCCTTTTTTTGAAATTATTCATCTAAGTGGAATTATCTAGATTACTGTTATCATTGATGATAAACTACATATCTCAGCCAGACCTTACCTATAACTTCAAAAGAGATTCGCTCAGTCAAATAGACAAAAAGCAAAACTTCAGTCGAAAAGATTTAGTTGGTGTTGAATTAACGTTAATTGCATGGAACAATTGAAGATTATTTGTTAAACTTACAGCTCATCAGAGCAAATGGCTGGTTTTTCCAATCGATATCCTGACTTAAGAAGTCTTAACAACTCTCTGTTGCTTATTCCAGGGTAGGGGATGCCACCTTGGATGCAAGTTAAATCAGAAGAAGGAAAAAAAGTTCTTAGCAAAATTTTTTTTATAACAACTTCGATAAGTCTTAGACCCCTCGTTAATAAAAGGTTTGAGAAAATACAGATGTAAAATATCGAGTGACATATTTCTCAGCGGCCAGGTCGCTTCTAGCTTTTTTTCCATTTCTCTTTTTTCACAATCCAACGCCTCTCGGGTTCGGAGGTTGTTGATTGAATCATTGTTTTTGCCTTCCCTCCCCTCTCTCTCACATTTATTTGTAACACAGTCCAGCATAAACGACTGAGAATATGTGAAAGTCATATATTTGAACTTGCGGATAAAGACGTGAATATGAAAACAATCTTTGCAGTAATGAACATTACTTGAGTAGTAGTGAAAATAGTTCAGCACAAATAGGAAAATTCAGTTAGGCAGCTGAAACGAACCTATAACTGAAAAACAAGCGTTATAGGTGAGGCAAAAGAGGTTGGATACTTTTTCTGTGATGCATCAGGTGTTGTTACTCACCCATTGTGCATAATTCCCAAAGAAGTACACCAAAAGACCAACTACCGAAAAAAGAGACGAAAATAATTAGTTTATGTTATTTTCTAAGCCTGATGACAAATACCGTCAAGTTAATACAGGGGGTAAGTTTCTAAAAAGACTATAATGCTGCGTCGGCCGGAGAGTATAACGGGATAATAAATTATTATCTACTGAGTTGATAACGTAAATTGACCACCGTTTAGAGTTCAAAAGCTGACGTTGAGAGCGTTAGCCCTTCGTCAAGAGGGATAGTCGAATGGTTAACACTCCAAACGTCAGCTTTTCAATTATTTACGGTGGTAAATTTACGTTATCAACTCAGTTGATAATACTGAAGTATACTGTCAATTAATAGTCTAGTAGGGTGCTTGAACAGAATATGCAGACTATCATGTTCCTGAATTTGACTTCCTGTGGTTGATAAGTCCGATGAGAAAGATGCTCTGGTAAGGAACATGCATTCACATGTGAGAGCAAATTACTGCTTACATTTACATACATTTAACTCAGAATAAAACGTGAAAGATGTACGTCAAGAGACCCCCCCCCCTCCCCCTATAAGTGCTATATAAACTTCAAATACTCACACGTCACTTTTAGAAGTGTACACGCCACTGTCTAGTGACTCAGGCGCCATCCATTTGATTGGAAGTTTCCTCGTGTTCTTTACTTCATAAATATCTCCATACGTGTGACGTAACAGGCCAAAGTCAGCAATCTTTACGGCTCTGTCTTCACCAATAAGGATGTTACGTGCGGCCAGGTCGCGGTGAACAAATCCCTTACTAGCTAAGTACTCCTACTCAAAAAAGAAACCGAAAACATAAAGTATTTACAAACCACGTGCCGTCTATCCTTTCTTTTCTTTTATGGTTTCCCATTGCGGAAAAGGAGAACATCAGTAAACTTATGGTAGCTCAGTTCTTGCTGTCTGAATAAAACCGGTTGTATCAGGTTAAAGTTGCTGAACAAAGTAAATAGATTGCTACGACGGCATGGTTAATTAATTTTTTGATGATTTTGCGATAAGAGAGCTGCTGGTTTTAACGTTATTTCCAGTGTTTAGAATAGAATTGTTTGTGTATCAAGAATCAAACGTTTATCCAAATTTCTTACCCTATTTCATTAATTTTGCCCCGGTTTATATCAAAGAATTTTTCCTCGAAGCTGGGATAATAGGGAAGCACAGTCATTCCTACACTCCTGAAAAGTGTCTGATCGTAACATTTATTTCACTTAGTTCAATTACCTACCATTCCTCTTGCTATCTGCCATGCAAAACAAAGTACATCTTGAACAGTGAAGTCAACTGCCTTCTCACCAGCTTCACTTGTTTCTTGTTGTCGCTCCATGTTCTCCTGGGGCTGCGGCAAGGAACGGGCACTTTCAAATGAAATGCCGATAGTTCCCTCTTCATCAATCGATGATTTCACTCCCTCTCTCCCTTTATCTTCATTTCCGTTTTCATCCTCTACCTTCTTGATGTTCAAATCGTCTCCGCTTCCACTACTAGGCCGAAAATCAGCGTTAAAATCTTCCAAACCAGTGTTTGCACTTACAAAGGGCAATGCAGTGTTTGCACTTACAGTGGGCAAAGTCACATCCACGTGACTCAATTCATTGGACTGTTGGCTCTGTGAGTTTTTCTCTCCTTCGAGGCCAGATGGAAAATCAGTTTGGGGAGTTTTGATGCCAAGTACTTCAGTGTCATTCCTTTTATCGTCTGTAAATGGCTGTTCTACCAGAGTCATTAGAACCTCCGACGTGACGCGGACGTCTTGTTTTTCGGAGACTTCCTTGAATTCCTGCACAGTCGTGAGTTTCTCTCCACTATCGTGAAAGCCTTCGTCCTCTGACTTACCAGTTGAGGCAGCTCCATTTGAACTCGCACTACTGTCTGATAAATCGTCCACAGATTCAAAAACAACACCATCAATGCCGTTTTTACATTTTACCTGAAATTAATGAAAGATGACGTTGGAACAATTCCACTTATCGAGAACAAAACAGTTAAAAAATATGTCAAACAATTTTGAATTGTTAGACCCATCTAAATTCCAAGGCACCGAATTGTAAAAGCGTTTTGGAAACTCTGTTAACGGACAAAAACAGTAAAATGTATCATCAGCATCCGCTCACAACCCAAGTAGTGTTTGTACTTGGTATCTCAAGAAGAGTTATCATTTAGATCAACTTTCCGACTTTTTTCGGACGGTAATTGTGCTTAGCGATGGATCAGTGATCTTTCCAGTGCACCCTGGTTTTGACGGTGCCAAAAATTTTTTACCTGTTGCCTTTTGTTCCTCAGCCACTGCAGAAGATCTCCATGTGGAACATATTCCAGGATTAGCATGATTGGCTCTGATCTGTCCCAGTAACCAATCATGCTTAGCACATTGCTGTGAGTACCAACTCGCTGCATAAACGAGATTTCTCTAACAAACTGTTCTTGCCCTTCCTCACCGGCTCTTTCTGAAAGCAAAATATGATAACACAGCAAATCTTAGTCCTCGATTTAACTAAATAAAGCTTATATTCGCTGAATGACGATGGAGTAATGCATGTTCACAAATATTTCATTACGTTGATCAGAATGATATGACAGTGACGGTAGAGTTACCGTTGTAAATTATTTCACAACAACTGGCGATTCACACACTCGTCTCAATTTTCGTAGAACCTCCTACAACGATTTTGACAAGATATTTCCTTTTCGAATGACCGGCAGGGTAGTAGAATTTAAGTCACTGACGGACGGATCATTCTGTGTAATTTGGTCTGAACGGTCACGACGATCACAGGCGTCGAAAACCTCTGAAGAAAGCTGTCATACTTTTAGAGACTGGTTTCTCGTGATTAGCCGTGTGAAAGTATATTTCATCAGTGATTACGGTCGGTACTCGACGTGTTTGACAGAATAACGTTCGGTAATTTTATCATCTTCCAGTTTTCGTGCCCCAATAAAAGGATTGAATAAAATAGATCCTATAACTGTGAAGTTCTGAGTCACTAACCTTTTCATCGTGATTTCGAATTCTTCAAAAGGCTCGCATAACCGAAATAACGAATATATCATGCAATGATTCCTTACCATGTAAGAGTTTTACGGCGACAACTCTTCCTTCTTTAATATGATCCTCTCTTTCTTCTTTGGGCTTGAAAAACACTTCAACCTTCGGCATTTCTCTTAAGATTGCTTTGTGTACTTTACCAAAGGCGCCTCGACCCAGCTCTTCCATAATGGTTACACGTTCCGGGGGAATCTCTTTTAACAGCAGGAGAACAATGTCCGACATCGATCTAATAAAACATTGAAGAGTCTTTTCTCTTTTGTTCATCAAGATTTCACACATACTCGTATGCGAAACATTAATGGATATACAGTTTGTTAGGGGAGGGGGGAGGTATTATCAAATACATGTTAATAAACGTATGTAAACGATTTCGATCGCATTTAGCCTCTACGAATTCCTTAAATAAGATGATACGAGGGAACGATATTCACTCACGGAGGCAGAAGTTCTCTGGAAAATGATAATTAACAACATTTTACAGTTTGGGATTGGGTTAGCTAACACATTTCTAGAATAAAACGTTTTCCAACCTTCTTGTTTTGTGGCCTCGAATTTTCCTCTTTTTTCTCCTTTGTCTGATCATGAAGCAAAGGATTCCAATGGTTAAGAGAATAAATAGCCCACATCCTACAAATACAGCAATGCTGAGGGTTCGTCCGCGAGAAATGTCAGTGATCTGAGCAGTTTTTATACGCCATTCTTTTGAGGTATTACTTTCTCCCAGTTCATTCCAAGCAGTCACTTTAAAAGTGTACTCAGAGTTACACTTGAGCGACGTGAGACTCGTTGAAGTAGAGTCCATGGTAACATTAATGTGATGCCAGTACTCATCTTCACCCAAAGATTGCACCTCTCTATAATATACTGTATACATGGTCAGCGGACAGCCGTTGTCTTGTGGAGAACTCCACTTGAGGTTCACATCACATCCAGACATCTGAACTTCTTTACTTTTTATAATCGGAGGAAACGGTTTATCTGAAGCAATAACGACAATTAAAGGTTTTGCCTGACATAATATCAGATTCCAATGTCTCGATGTATGCGGATGACAATCAGGTCTTTCTAGCACATGAAACAATGAAAAGAGTGGAGAAGATACTGGTTTGACAATGGAGAGAAGATGACTAAATGGTATCAAGATAATCTTTTAAAGGTCAATTGCGATAAATACCAAGCTATGGTTTTGGGAAATCCAAAAGGTGAAAGGAACGCTGATCTGGATATAAGTGGCGAAAAAGTTGAACAGTCACAATCCATCAAGATCCTAGGTGTAACCCTAGACGAAAACCTAAACTTTAAAGATCATTTACGTAGTGTGTGTAAGAAAGTTGCCGGTATGATCGGAGTTTTAAGAAGGCTTAAAAATCTTATCCCAGTAAATGCCAAGTTACTTTTGTACAAATCAGCTATCATGCCACACCTTACTTATTGCCACCTAGTGTGGCATTTTTGCACGGCATCTGATAATCGTAAATTGGAGCGTCTACAAGAAAGAGCCTTAAGATTAGTGTATAATACTACTGCCGAGAGTTATGACGCCTTACTAAAAAGAGCTAAATTAACTACTTTGCAAAATAGGAGGTTGCAGGATATACTAATTTTGATGTTTAAAGTTAAAAACAAATTAACAACGAACGAAATTGCGAACATTTTTAATATCAACGATGAGAATACTAATAATAAGGGATACAACCTAAGAAATGCAGATTTTGTCTTACTTCGGTTTAAAAGTGTTACTTATGGAAACATTCTCTTAGATTTCTTGGACCACAATTGTGGTCAAAATTAAGCAAGGAAGAGAGAAATATTGGAACTTTGGTAACTTTTAGGACAACTATACGTAAGAAGGATGTAACATAATTTCTCGAAGGATGTGGGAGTGAATGTCGCTTATGCTTAGGTTAACTTGACGTACGCATATTTATACATCTTCATTTTTAGTGTACGGGCTCATATATTACATTGTGAATTCAGCACCCTGCTACAAAGTGTTATAGAGTAAAATTGTAACTTAGTTTTAAAGTGTAGAAGAGTACTCAGTCTGAATAATGTTATTTTCCTGCTTTTAAGATTCATAGTTTTTAATTAGATTTTTTTTAGTCTTAAAGGTGTCCCCAATTAGTGCCAATAGGCACTAGAACGATTAGACACTTAAATAAAGGTTATGTATGTATGTATGTATGTTAGGTTATCAACGCGTACTCAAAAGAATCATGTATGAACTGAATAGCAATCACAAGTCGGCGTTCGGCCTTACGAATGACCGTTGTGTTAAGACTGAAAGATAAGTTCTCTTTAGTTAAGGGAACCGCCTAAACGTTTCTTGCGGTCTCGAATTCCAAATGCTTCGCCAAACCATGTACAACGTGTTAAGAAGCAAAACTGTCTACTCTTGTTGTGTACAGTTAACATCTAAATAACGTGTATCCCATTACATGCAGCCTTCGAAGACAAAGCTAGGAAATCAAACGAAGCCAATGAACTGTTGAAATACTAGTTGATTTGATATTTCATTGAAAACCTTTTCATTTTTGCGAAATTTTTTACTGAAAATTATTCAGTGTTCTCACCTCCAAACGTTCTCACTCTCCAAAATCGGCCGTGCTTTAAAATTGCTGTAAGTGGAGTCTCTGCTGAAGAGTTCCAGGCTGTTACAGCTATTTCATGCTCGTTTTGGCATCCAAGATGAAGATCATAACTTGTTTCATTCCTCGACACGTTTACTGCTTTCCAATGACTTTTGCCCTCTGAAAGCATTTCTCTGTGATATATAGTGAATAAAGAAGCAGTACACGGCTTCCAACGGACAACTACAACACTTCCTTTCACTTGGTTAGTTCTGTTGACAATGGCTGGGTACCCTTAGGAAAACAACATTGAAAGGAATATAGGAAAACAAACAAACAAACAAAACAAAAATAAAACAAGCAAAGAAAGGGAGCAGGTAAATCTCCAGTTGTGAGTTACAAGGGATGGGTCAGGAAACGTAATGATGATCATGAGAAGTAATCTTAAGGAAGAGAATAAATAGGTAGAACGCAGAGTTCTCCATACCATCCCCTTATGTATTGAGGCTCGTGGAATCTGATAACCAACAGTGGAGTTATAGTTTCAGCTGATAATCGACTCCTAGAAAGTTTTTCACGATCACTCGTGCTTTCCACTTGTGCGAGGCCATGCTTGTGTAATTGCCTTCTGTTTTGCTTTTCTTTTGTTTTTTAATTTATACAATGCAATAAGTGTCAAATAATTGTGGAAAAAACGTGGTTGGTATGACGCGGTGTTTCTTCCTGGCTAAGAGACTCGTCAAATACTTTTCGCAAATTTCGTGCGAACTTGTCGAGCATCGCGCTCAAAGTCCCGACCGCGAAGTCAAGATGTTAGTAGTCTGGCCCTCTATCACAGAAGGATTTCCAACTTTGCCAACAATTTCTAAATTATTTTAGGAAAAATGTAGATAGAGAAATACTACTGCGATACCTGTGATGGATTTCACTCGCCAGGACTCTGAGAAGTTACTTGCTCCCACGTCATTCCATGCAGACACTTTGAATTCATAATCTGTGCCACATTCAAGTGGTAGACTACTGCAGCTCAGCTCATTTGTATCCGACGATGTATTGATACGATGCCAAGCGCTTTCTTCATTTCGTGATTTGATAGCTTTGTAGTACACTGAAAACATACTCACTGGGCACCCCTTGGCATCGGGAGAATTCCATTTTATGGAAGAGTTGTGAAATATTTCCTTTTCTTTGTTTTTAATGACGGGGTGAACAGGAGAAGCTGTGATGAACATGACCACGGAGTTAAGACAACATATATTACAATCTTAAGACATTGTCATCACGCTTTTTGTAATTTATACTTTTAACCTGAGTTTGCGAGCTTAATTGTGTCATCTGCGGCTATAGTGAGAAATTGAATTGAAGCTTTATTTATTGACTCGTCAAAACGTTGCTCATGGAGTATAAATTATGAATTGTCCAATCAGCAGCTTAGTTACTGGGCTGGCTGACACATGGTTTGAACAATGGAACAGTGCAAAGTACTTTTCTCCCGCTTTGCCCCAGATCTTTGTCGTCCACCTTACCTTATCGTGTTCACGTTCAAAGGAGTAACACTTCTCATTCCGTGAGGGAAAATAACTGTTTACATGTTCACTTAATGAAATATGAGGTGATTTCACCCAAGCAGCATGGCACAATCTCATACGGAGGAACTAATTTTATTATTGAAAAAGGTCACAATTTTGTGGAGTTAAGGCAGCGCATTTGTTCTACTTCTTGCCCTCTTTAAAAGCTATTTTTTAGACTATTCACGCTTTAATTCCTTTTTGAAAGAAAAGTTGTCATACTCTGATTCTTAGATATCAATAAACATAAATCTGAATAGTTGATGTTGTAAAACATTTGATGGGTCTGGTCCTTTATCATAGTATGTTCATACCAAAATATTACATCCAAAAAGCTCAAAATCAAACACTGACGCACCTGCAGGTGTTTTTGTTCCATACACTTCCACTCTTAGAGCTTTGTGTAAACGGTAGTCAACTGGCTGGAACCGAACGATCCGAGCCCTCGTCACTTCTACCAGAACATGTTTCACTATTTCATTCTGGCCGCCCCAGTTGCCGCTGAAAATCTATGGCAAAATTTAATTAGAAATTAACTGAAACTCAGTTTTCCTTCTCGAAATAGGATCAAAGATTCATTGAATCATATCAAAATTTAGCTCTCTCTCTCTCTACCATAACCTACTGCAAATCTGATTTGATTCTTGTTCGTTGAGGGTAAGACAACTTACAAACTTGATCCAATTGAGAATGAGCTGATATCACCTTTGGGTCACTTATAAAAACAGTTTTCATTATAAAAAAATGTAACCGTACACTAGTTGATACATCGAAAGAAATAATTTTCGTTATTACCACTCCACTGGGAGACTTGAGGCTATCTTACTCAGGCAACTATAGAATATCTCTATAACGAGTTTACTATTTTTTAAACCTTTTCCGAGTTGTTCTCTTTATAGGTGATCCAATTCCTTAGGAACAAATGCAGCTTATAACTTTTGGTCCACTGCTTTCGACGTGGATGTCCTTGAGTAGCTACAGCGCAAATAAAGAACACATCTCCAAGCTCAACTTCCAGGTAATCGTTAGTATTGTTGTTACTGCTAGGTAACCAGGCTCCTAAGGTATTCCTGAGGCGTGCTTTATATGGTTCATTGTTCGCAAGAAACGATGAGGCTGTAAAACGTTTGTCCGAGTGTATGTTGGAGTTGGCCAGATTAACTGCCTGTGTCTGACATGCTTCAAAAGGAAAAAAACAGATAAGGGGAAACATAATAAATTGGAATCCTTATCAACGGCCGCATCCCCACTAAGGACAGTCACCTTTCTTCTCTTATCTCGCTCTCGAATTTTGCTGTTGGGAAAAAGCTCCACTGTATTAAGAAGGGATGAGATAAGAGTCAAAAGGATGTTTTTCGCCGTGTTGTAAAATGCTTCGCTTTCCCAAAAAGAACGTTCGACTTAAATTTGTACTAAACCCTTCCCTATTTCCACGAACCAGCTTGAAATAGCTGGAATGAAGATCAATGCCATGTGGGAAAATCAGAGTTTTGCTGTGTCTCAGGCTCGTGTCAAGTCGATTAACATCTTTCTCCATATAGAATGAAATAACTCTTATCAGTGAAAGTGCAAATTAGACAAGTAGTCACGACAGCTGCTTACCATTGCTTGTCCCTCTCTCGGAATAAACCTGCACCTCGCATAAGGACAGTGTTCTGTTAGCGCCTGAATATTCAATAAAAACAAATTTTCCGACAAGTCTGGGCAGACAATATATGGTGAGTCGTTGAGAAAAGTGTGGAAATGTTTTGGAAAGAGGTTTTCCTTCACAAAGCAAGTTTGAACCTCTTCTGTTGTCACTGTCATAACCTGTTGGAAATGAACCCAGAACACGTTGTTATTTAACCTGCAATCCACTTGGCATTACCTTTTTTTCGAATTTTTCCTCCCCAAGTACCAAGTTCAAATTTATCGGGGTTCAGGCATTTGTATGCATTTCTTTGATTCTTAAATTCTCTGTGAAAAAGACATACAGTAACCGTCAACAAAACGTACATTCTTGGGGCTCCTGTGTTAATGTTAACTTCTTCCTTGTTCTACAGCTTCATCTATGGAGGGCTTTTATAGAGCGGGTTCTCACGAGAATAACTCTAAGATAACTTAATTTTCTTTCGTGATTCCCTGAACCCACCAATCCAGACTTGAAGTCCTTCCATTTGATTTTTGTATGTAACGATGACCTTAGCCACAACCCGCGATGCTCCTAAGTCCACTCTCCACCAGGGGTCCTGCTGGGACTGAGTTGTAGCACAGGAGTGAACATCTCCATCCACAGCTTTGTTAGCGGTATAATTTGACCTTGTAGAAGACTGAGAAGCAGACTGATACAAGACAAGATCTAGCCAAAAGAACGGCAACTCACTTTAAGCTTACAGATGTCCTTATTACTTGCTATCAAAGAGTTTATACTTTAGTATTCAAAGAAAATGACTTTTATTTAATTTATTCTGTAACGCTGCTTTTAACGGATCAAGGTTGGGAATCTCACAAATAAATCATGGCGTTACACTCAAAGTCACGAATTGTTGGACATTGCGAAATATCAGAGTTATGCTTGATATTCTGTCCTTCTACCTGATACCATATTTATTTCTATACAAGGAAAGGTGATGTGAACAGTCACATTGCTGAACATCATCGACTTACGAGCCACACTATTGACTAGGACTCCGCGCAGTGCCTAACCTACAGTTCTAACTAATTTCAACAGACTCCCCCCAACAAGTGTCAACTATAACGGCACCAGGCAAACGACTTATCTACGACATTAACATTACAAACGAAGCGAGCAGAATGACCTAACTTTACCAACGGATCGAAACCGACCGATCACGACCGTCCTACGCCATTTGAATCTTACAGCCAACTATGTCACAGAAAAATTGACCAATCAGTGTATAAGACCCGGAGTTAGAACAGGCTAATAGAGTCAGAATTTTTGTCTCATTCCGACGTTTCTCAGTATTGGGTATTCAACTGTGACTGTCTTCCTAAAAAATTGATTAAATGATCAGGAGTTTTATTACAAAGGAATGAGAGGTATGATTCATGTTCTGCAACGTGAAATGTAAACTTTCTTACTTGATCTGATTGTGGAGAAAACTTCAACTTCACACAGGACCAACGGTTTCGACGATCCAGGTATCCTGATAGATAAATATCTGCCTTACAGCGTCGTATTACATCGAAAAAACTTTCCCTTTCCTTGAGGGACACTTAGATCACTGGCGCAAAGAACATTTCCTTAAAGTGAGAATACAAGGTAATACAAAAACGAACTTCTTTAAAAAATCATTCTTCACTAAGACCACATAGACGAGCACATAGACTGTATACCTTTCGCCAACCGAAGTAGAGATCTGCGCGCTAGTCTCTAATCCGTGGGACGTGGGAAAATGGGCCATCCCTAATTTGAGTACTTACCTACTCTTATCTCGGCACCGTTTAAACGATCCCCACAACAGTCTCCACTATTAAGTATGAAAACCTCTGAAACAGGCAGCACTTGTTCAAGGTCGACTCTCCAAAACGGATTACGAGGTAATAATGCTGTGTTTGCGCAATGGTATCTGTCTGCATTCTTTACTCCGTCCACTGCTTTTCTTGGATGATTCGCATCCTTAGCATCAGAATATAAACTCGACTGAAAGGCTGGCTTTTCTAAGGCAAGATTATCTGAAAATACAAGCAGCTTTATTATTAAGTGTCTCAGAGTATCGGAAGATGAACAGAATTGAAAGATGCTAGAAAAAGGGACATGCTCTTTTCCCCCAAATGTCCAGGAAGAGCATGGCACTGGCGTCACTTTTTTTTTTTCAATTTTTGTGTAGAGTGGCTGTTGTCAAGCTGTCACGTGATGTCACTGAACTATACGAAAAAAGCACAAGATTTTACAAGATTATTTGCTTTTGGATTTTTGAAGCGGTTGGATTTGCAGTTTTTTGCTAAGTTTCCGTTCCCCTTCATTGTAACGTATTGTCTCTAGTTATCGAAAAAAAAAATAAATAAAAAATAAAAAAAAAATCATAGGTTGTTTATTTGAAGGTTTTCCCGCACTGACCGAGGTTTATTTGGCATTTTCTCACCGGCAAAGTCTTGCTCGAGCGAGTTCGAGCTGGTATTATTGTTAGGTCTTGTGGATATTTTCAAACAATGTAACGTGTATTGGTAAACTCAATAATTATGGTTGAAGTCAGTCCAAATGGTCTTTCAATGCTTGTACTATTTACCTTGAATGGTCAAACTACCTCCTCAGTCAACAGAACGAGGTGATCTTGTATTATTATTTCTGATTTTTTTAAAAAAAGTGCCCGAACCGGTCTTTTGTATTTACTAGTACGGTTTGTACCTAAGGCGCTGTCGCTCTTTTATCATTATAAACGTATGTTGCTTTTTACCTGCTGCCAGTGGTATTCCATATATTTCAACCCTCATACAACAGTTTCCGTAGTGTTCTTGAGGAATGAAACGTAAACGCTTAGCAACAAGCTCACTGCACAAAATTTGTTTTACTATTTTATTTCGGTTGGAATTTCCTGAGAAAACCTGTAGATGCAAGAAATATCAAATATCAAACGTGATTTGCGCATTGTAAACAGACCGCCAGAGGTAAATGAAGAAATTGACGTTATACCTTTACCTACCCCTTGAAAAGTTTCTCTCACCCAAACGAAGGTTACCATTTTTCTTATTCAATTTACGAAGCAGGACGCTATCGACATTGCTGATCTTAGTAGTATGCAGGACGTGTGTCATATATGAACTTTGTAATAGGCCTTGCTCACCATAGAGTCTCTGCGGCTCTGTGGTAGAGCATCAGAGCACGGAATCCGAAGGTCTGAGGTTCGATTCCTTGTGGGGACTCAGAATGTTTTCTTTGTCCCACGCTGGTGACAAGACAAAATAACAACTTTCTCTATTTCTTTACCGGGCTCAGAACTTACCATCTTTCTTATTCTATTTAAGGTAGGTACATTTTTTCTTGGGGGAATTTTGGTATTTTTTTTTCTGAAAAAAAGTGTTGGCCCTCCCTTGCATTTTAATTAAAAAAAAACTCCTGACCCCCCACCTCCAGGTGACTGACAAAAGTGCGACCCTCCCCTCACTACTACATGCTATGTTCTACGCCGTAAAAACCTCAGAACATTTCGTTCGTGAACGCAAAATGTTTGAAATGAACTATATCTCGATATTGAATGTGTGCGAGCTGAAACAAGAAAATGTGAACAATCAGTGTGAGATATTTACGTTTTATAGCTGAAGTTTGAACAGGGAAGTATAAACTTCAAAAATTTTGTAAGTCCTTCTCCAGCTACACCAACCCCACGACCTTATCCCGATTACATCAAACTTCCCGACTTTGGCTACCTACCTACCAGGTACGAAAACACCTACGAGTGGCCGCAAACCTGATGATTATCAGCCTTGAGCTCAAATAAAACAGATATTTCAAGAGGGTAAGCTCAGAGCAGGGGATAAAAGGCAATCAAAGAGTTTTCTGAAAAATACATTGTTTCAGAAATGCTTGTTACAGATTATATTGAGCATCTAACTGACATTGAAATGAGAAAAGATAGGCAGCCAACAGATAATGACAGGAAGCATGCAGAAAGAAAGCAGCAGGAATACAATGACATCGACTGGGAAGATCTCTATCACTGAAACCAGTTGTCACCCCTAAGTGTAGGTGAACTTGAACTTTGTATTAATCACCACAATATTGCATTTAAAAAAAAGAAACAGAAAGTAAGGGTGGTGAAGGCACATATTGGCAGTAAGATTTTGACTTCTATTGTACAGGAAAGTCAGAACAACATTCAGCCAGCCTCTGACTCAAATTCAGAGTCTGACAGTGACAGTGACAGTGACAGGGTAGAGCGCATGGTGGGATCTACTAGTAACTCTTCAGAACTAAATTACTCAGGAGATCAAGCAGCGGATAGTCAACATGAGCAAGACGCTGAAGAAACGATACCTGAGTCTAGTAAACGATACCTGAGTCTAGTACGTCTCGATACGGATAGCAAAGGACACGAGTCCGCCGAGAAAACTGTGTGCCATGGAATAATATACATGTAGATATGTAACCTAGAACTTATAATAAAACACCTAATAAAATCAAAGTGGGGAAAAAAAAGAACTTAATCTGTAAGAAAAATGGACAGCAACATCACAAAAACCTCATTAAAAAATTCTGGAAAAGATGTGTGATCCTCCCCTTGAATAGCTTACAAAGAGGTATGACACTCCCCTTTTTGGTGCTCACTTTCACTAATGACCCTCCCATTTGAGGCTTCAGCCCTCCCCACCCCAAGAAAAGACATATGTTCCCTAACAAAACATGTCGCTATAGACATTGCTGATCCTAGCAGTATACAGGACGCGTGTCCTGCATGAACTCAGATTGTTTTCTTTGTCTCACGCTCGTGACAAGACGAAATATCTTTTTCTACCGAGTTAGGGCTTGTTAGTGTTTTTTTTGTCATAACACAAAGCGTGAGACCATATTCCAGTTTTATTCCCAGTTAAAAAGAGGCAATGCATCTAAGAACTAAAGCTAGCGTTCGATGTCAGTCAAATAGGGCAATGAGATCCTTTTGATTAACAGAATCGCTGTTAAGATCGTTTTTCCTTACCTCAGATGCAGATCTCTCATCACAAATACTATTCTAAATACGTTCTAAAGTTTCTCGCCGTTACTTTTGCTCAAGTCTATATAGAATAGCTTGGTTTACCTTGTTCGTGTTTTTTCCTTTGACTCCCATTATGTTTAACCAGGTTATTCAAGCACTTATATCGTGCGCTTGGACAACTTGAACAACCTCTCTATCGTAATGATGACAGTAAATTTTTTAACCAGGAATTATACTCTTTTATTATTTATTAGGTTTCTGAAGGTGACAAACCTTCAATATTCCCGCCTCTTGATAGTCTGTCCAATTTGTTCCATCCCTAGATGACTGAAGCGTGTACTTCCTTACCCACTCGTCCCCTTGGGAGTTCCCCTGAGTTGACACAGCACAGATGATATAAAGCTTTTCAAAGTCAACCTGTAGATATGGCTGACTATCATTTGTTGCGGCACACCATGATGATCCTTTATTGTAGTTCAGTCGACCATTTTTAGCAGGTGTGTTTGCATTTAGTACAGAGGACGAACTGAAATCTCTATCCAGGGTGTATCCATTGCCTAGTCCCACGTCGATGTACTGACATCCTGGAACTGCAAATAAAGAAGTATTATTCAACCTTTACCCAAATCCTGATACAGTTAAACCCCTTTACCTATTAAGCTGATTGTTGAAAGCTACTTATCAGATGAATTCATAGATAACAAAAGAGGATGAGGCATCTTCTTTTGTTAAGAGTAATACAGATACAAGGATAACTTGGTTCAAAACTTGTCCATTCTGTCAATGTCGTATTGATCAGGACTAAAATTTTGACTATTTCTAGAGAGCCTTTTGCAGTGGGCCAGTCGCCTTTAATCAGCTTTTCCGTTGAAGCACGATTGATATAAACCTTTAGGAGCTTAAAATGAGAAGTTTATGTAAATATGCGGAAGGAAAATCGATTTGGAGCACGAAAGATGTGCAAGAGTTTCTGGAGGCGCAGCCGAGAACAACTGTAGCTTCTTAAAACTCGTGCTTCATATCCCGACGTCTCACGTGCTTTTTACATCGATGGACGTACGCTAACGCATGAACTTGTTGTTAATTTGAGAATGTACTACACTGAATGTTTAATGATTATCTCGGCCACACCCAGGAACCTGTTTCCTGATACCAGAAAAGTAATCATATTTTAATTACTATTGCATTATGAACTCACATTTTTCTTTGAAAATCTCAACCCTAAGGCAGGTCCTTCTATGACGCTGGATTGGATAAAATCGAAAGTATCTTGCGTACACTGGCAGTGGTAACTTGTGCTGAGCGATTGAAGGACCGTAACCTATACCCTGAAATTGCTTTGAAGCAATAATGTAATAAATGGAACATAAGTATTTTTCAAAGGAAAAAATACTTCCAAAAATACTTGTTTCCAAATGCGAAAGAAAGGAAAAAAAATACAATGTCAATAGTCTTTATGTGGGTGTGTGTTTGTGTATGAGCCTATATAAAGGAATTAAAATTTGTAATATTGTCATCTCCCTTTCTAAGCCTACGAGGAAAGCCTTTGAGGAAAGCAACGACAAATACGTTTAAACAAAATTTTCAAATTTTTCTCAACGACGAAATTGAAATAAAAAACTTCTTTTCATGCATTACAATGGAATTCTTACCATTTCTTCACCACTTTCATCCCGGTAGGTTTCCCAGTTTGATTCATCTAAGGAATAAGACAGTTTGAAAGCTTTAAACCTTTGGCGACGTATTCCTCTATCTCCTTGGATAGCAACCCCGCATGCTTGAATTATTTCTCCGATGTCAACTTGAAGCCATTCACTGTCACTGTCAGGCTTACCCGAACACCAACCACAGCCTCTGTAACCGTTGAGTCGACCATAGGCCGCCCGGAACAGACCGTCTTGATTGGAGGATGATGTTATCCGATCATCAGGGATTATTTTGGGATCAGCAACACCAACAGGATTCTTAAAACAATCTGTAAAAATATATTTTGTCATGATGATTGAATTCACGTTCAACGAGACAACAAGAGAATATTGAATGGTCTCATTTTTACATAAGAATTGTAAGGTATAAAATAATGAGTTTAAGCAGTTCGTAAAGAATTAACTACGGTAGAAAGTCATTTTTCCGTTTTACCTTTGGTCTTTGCCCGTAAAGACAGAGAAATATTTTGTGAAAATTGATCGCAAAAAGCAACTTTCTCGGTTAAACAGTTGAACAGCGCTTGTTTTTGCTTTACTTTTGTTTAAAGTACACTACCACATGTTTTTACATACCTAGCGATGCGCCTGAAACGTGAAGATATTTAGTACTCTGTGAGAAAAATGATAGAAATCAAACATTAGCAGATGTGAACTGACAACATCAAAATGCGAAGACCCTCCAGCCAGAAGTTATCCTAAAGAGATCAAAAATTTTTCTCAAAAAGCAGAACTGGCTTCCTAATGAAGGTTTTTTTAAACCTGATTACATGTACTTACACATTATATTCCGTATTTTGAATCATTTATTGTAATATAGGTAGAATTAATAGGAATACTCACTAAGAACACCAGGAGTATTAACTGATGAAGAAATAAGGCCATGATCTCTCAAACCTGGAAAACCTGATAAGAACAAATGTTAAAACTAATACCAGTGACTAAAAGGGAAAAAAAACAACAGGAATTTTGAAGATAGTTGAAAGGAAGTAGCAGTGATTTGAATACGATTATGTGCTTGGCTTGCAGTACATTGATGATCCGATATTTCAAACTGCTCTGAAGCCTCTTCAAAGTACTTACTGCTGAGGTGGCGTTAATTGAGAAATGTTAGGACAGCTTTCTGAGAGCAAATATTTCAGGATAGTTCGTAAAAGGAGTGATTGCGACTTATAAAACATAGTGACGTTTTAAGACATTTATTCACAACAATATTCTACGAAAATACTGTGTTGTCAAGTGCAGTAACTCTAGGCTAGAATTCCATTGCTCCCTCGAGTCCGGTATTCGCCCCTCACGGAAGAGGGGCTCATTTTTCGAACAGCGGCTGGTTATCGAGCTCACGCGACTCTTGATAATAACAAGCAACACAGCAGTCTATACAGGTGCCAACTTTGTAATGACAAGGATGTGTGCTTTCAGTCGGTCAGAGCCAAGTTGACTTGTGGCAGATGTTAACAACCACGCAAGCCAGTAAGTCACGGTGTATTAAAAGAGTATAAATTTTTAGATGAAGCTCATAACAAAATGCAAAATCAGCAGGATACCTGCCATTAAATCAGCATTGAGTTTAAAAAACTCTCAAGTTTTCCTCTTCCCCTTTTTTTCTTTTGTAAATTTCTATGAACATTTCAATTTAGTTTTTGCATGTTCACTTGACATTAATCATTTATTCTGGGCTGAAGTTGTCGCGCGGTCAGCCAAAATTGATCCGATGTTTGACCTCTGCCTTAATACATCTAAACCAAGGGGCCCTTTGTTTGACGCTACCATCACGTAACCACGTCAATCATGAATATAACCACATTTTGTATATCAATAACAGATATAAAGAGAGAATGATGAAATTTGTAAAAAATTTCATTTTACAGGCTAATGGCCGTCAAGTGCGTGATGTTAGAACACTTTGAAAGTTTGACAGTTCTAAGAGATTCTCTTTTCTTCACAAGTTTCACAATTATTTTAACACAAGAGTAATATTAAAACTCGCTGTTTAACGCCATTGGTACGAAATCAAAATAAAAAAAAATTACCCAGCCCTCTACATTTCCTGTTTCTAGTTACACCACGACCATCGTTTTATGATTTACAAGGTCATAGGTTGAAGTCATGCAAATAGTCTATAAGTTTCTAAAGAAAATGTGGTGCTGCTTCGTTGGAGAAGTGCAATAAGATAAGTCGGTTTTGATTAACAAACTTGATAGTGTAAATTGGCCCCCGGAAAGATTTTTTAAAGCTGACGGCTCGAGCGTTAGCCCTTCGCATTCGCTCGGCAGATTTCTAATATCGAAGCAATGTCTGATACTTGAGACTGATTTTTGGAGAACTTTCGGCCACCCTTGAAGAAGAGGAAAACGTAGTCCATTTTGGATACCTTATTGACGACAATTGAAAGTATCTGGATTTGTAGCACATATCGAAACATGCTTCTTTAGACAGCTATTTAAATAGTGTTTGTGCAATCATTAAAATGTACCTGTGGTGTATTTAGTACTATAGCAACAAGTACTTGCATCAACATAAGTGATATAGTGTATGACTACTGAATGGTGTAAAGATTCTGTAATTAAGTAAGATGATTGTACTAAGTTATTTGGTAGATGATCGTTAAGTAAAGACAGGGTAAAGAAAGCAATGGGAAAGCGAGTGTCTCCGAACTGGCCACTAAATAATATACAGTACCTTTCCTGTTCGAAACTTTTTCCAATAAGATAAGGTATGCAGTCGACGTGAAATTATGCCTTAATGAATGAGAGGGAGAGTTTTACGTGTCTGGTGTAATGTGTCTGAAGTTTCTGGAAGTAGAGTGTACTAGAATATGTTTTACAGCTGTTTTGTCAAACACGGTTTAAATTTGTTTTCTTTGTGGGAGCTGTTTAAACCGATATTGGTCGGCTTCAAATTTAGCACATTAAAAATACAAGTTACTAACCACTTGAATCCTATAAAAAATTCACTTTTTCCGTTCTCTATTTCTGATCTCCATTCAGCTAAACTTAGCTTAACTTTGCTGGTGTCATCATATCGAGATAACGCACTCAGCCGGTAAGTTTCTCCTAACTTACGTTTGTATTCCCATATAACCTGAAATAGTGACAAGAAGTTGCGTGACTACTAATAGGAATAAAAGGGTCACAAGGCCTTCAGTTATTATAGACAAAGCATTTTTTTATTAACAATCGAAAAATTAAGATTACTGCACTTGTCATCTTGAGCAGGCTATCACTACCAGCCGCTGCTTGAGAATTGAGCCCGCGCTCCACCTTCGATTAGACGTCGCTCATTCTCGTGAGCATCGAAGACTGTGCGAGAGGAAAAAGGCGAAATCGAACTTGAATACTTTTCTTTCGCCTCATAAACCCCCTTGCCAAAGGTCAAATGGAAAGTGTAATTAAATCACGAATGAGGAGATTTTCTCATTTTTTCCACGTGCATACGAAATCGGAAAGAGCAATGTCTCGGGGAACAAATTGGGACCATCACAAAAAACACATAGGATTTAGATATTTAACTTTAGGCAATTACAAAACATAACTCAGGGATGGTTAGCGAGTGACTCATAGAGACAAAGATAGAGTACACAGGAGGGAGGGAGGGGGGGTACGCCATGTTACACTTAGACCACTTTTTCTCCAAACGGGGGGTAAACGGGGAGGGGGGGGGGTGTTTTGTACAATACTCAAACACTGCAAACCATTCGTGCCACAGCCTTCAAGTCTTGGAAATAAAGTATATTCCTAATATTACAACTGTTAAGTAAGATACGAAATCATGTTAGTTACGAAACAAGAGATTACAATCTCTTGGTAGGAAATCATTCTGCAAAAGCTTCTGTTGTTTTAAAGCTGCCTTTCGGGGACTTCATCCTTTATTAACAACTTTTCTTCCTAGTTTATCAATGATGCAATGATGTAATTTTGAGAAAATCTTATACTACCATGAATTATCTTTTATCACTGTTGCTATAGATTCCTTAAAAGTCTGTTGTAATTAACAGATTATGTTCACACACCGTATCCAAAGAGTATTTCAGAACTATTGACGTTTGAAGCCAACACCTCTTCAAAGTTGGTAGTTACATATAGACTACTATACACAAAACTCAAATGTGTCTCATCCCCTGGTTAAATAACCTGTTTACTCTTTTTGGTTAGCAAGTCTCTGAGGTCACCAATGATGTTAATTATCATCATTTTTGTTTTGTTTTTTTTGCTTAATTACCGGGAAATTTCTATAAAATACCTTAATTTTGACAAAAGCTTTCCTACATTTTACAAAAGGAGACACGAAGAACCTTTCTTTGATAGTTCTCCCCGTTTTTTCATCTATGACTGGCAAGTTTCCATGTCAACGAAATTAAAAATTATCAAATGTTTTTCTTGAATCAATATCATTCTCAACTTTCAGCTGAAAATTTATCCATCTAAACACTAATCACGCATGTGGTTGGTCAGTTTCGGGTGTCGTCTCAGTGTTAGAGGCATCGCTTTCATATTCTTCATTCAGATCAAAGTAAGGAGTGTCCCTCGTCATCATTTCTTCTATTCTTATTGTCAGCTGTTGAAATGATGGTCTCTCCTCTGGGTCTACCCTCCAACAGTCTAACATCAACTCGTATCTGATAAGATATAAAGTATTCTGGTGTCAATGGGGACATTGGCGCTATGTGGAAGTTATCGTCTTATTTACTGTTGGTCCAGACACTGACGACTAAAGCACAGTAAGGAGAATGCAGACATGATAAAGTTCCCCTCGGGCCTTAAAACAAAGTACAATGTAAAGGCGTCTTCACCAAATACGCTCAATAATTCTTTTGAAAACCATATCTTGTTGAATATTTTGGCCATCTTGATGTTACAACGGCTTTCTTTTATGGTTAGCTTGATACGTATACAATGTGATTCATTGAAATAACTATCCCTGAAATCAATGTTTTCGCGAGGCCCTTGTTTCCATGTAGAGTTTCTCATAATGGTACACTATCTTTTCTAGCATTGATCTCAATTCCTCCGTCATAATTGTCAGCGTTTTTTTTTAATTATTCAACTTAATGGAAGTATCTAGATTACTATCATCATTGATGTTAAACTGCATATCTCAACGAGACCTTACATATAACTTCAAAAGAGATTTGCTCAGTCAGATAGACAAAAAGTAAAACTTCAGTCGAAAAGATTTAGTTGGTGTTGAATTAACGTTAATTGCATGGAACAATTGAAGATTATTTGTTAAACTTACAGCTCATCAGAGCAAATGGCTGGTTTTTCCATTCGATATCCTGACTTAAGAAGTCTTAACAACTCTCTGTTGCTTATTCCAGGGTAGGGAATGCCACCTTGGATGCAGGTTAAATCAGAAGAAGGAAAAAAAGTTATTAGAAAAATTGTTTTTATAACAACTTCGATAAGTCTTAGACCCCTCGTGAATAAAAGGTTTGAGAAAATACAGATGTCAAATACCACTTGACATATTTCTCAGCGGCCAGGTCGCTTCTAGCCCTTTTTTCCCCAAAGGTGGGTCCATTTCTCTTTGATTCAAATTCATAATCCAACGCCTCTCGAGTTCGGAGGTTGTTGATCGAATCATTGATTTTGCCCTCCCTCTCCTCTCTCCCACATTTATTTGTAACACAGTCCAGCATACATAACAAAATTCAGTTTAGCAGCTGAAACGAACCTATAACTGAAAAACAAGCGTTATAAGTAAGGGTTTGTCTCGGGGTCTGGGGACACTCCCAGAATTCTCTGTTAATGATCTGGTTAAGAAATATCCTGTGAGATGTAAATTGCGGGTAATTTTACTTTTGGTTTGGGTTTAACTTTACCTGCTCTTATCGTGCTATTTGAATCAATCAAGATCGGAGAAACTCGAACCAAATCAAATTGAGGCATGTTACATTTTAGCGATGAATGCTGGCTATTTATGGTGGTAAAAGTGGTTGGATAGTTTTGCTGTGACACATCAGGTGTTGTTACTCACCCATCGTGCACAATTCCCAAAGAAGTACACCAAAAGACCAACTATCGAAAAAAGGGACGAAAATAATTAGTTCATGTCAATATATTAAAGTTCATACGGCAACCAGGTGGACAATCAGACAGTTTGATGCTACTCTGGTTTACAGATTTAATGAATGTAACCGAAGAATTTGGGTCTATGAATTGTAACTTCTTCGGTTACATTCATTAAATCTGTAAACCAGAGTAGCATCAAACTTTGTCAGATACCGTCAAGTTAATAAAGGGGGTAAATTTCTAAAAAACTGTGATGCTGCATCGGTCGGAGAGTAGAAAGAGTGAATTGATTATTATGTACTGAGTTGATAACGTAAATTGACCACCGTTAAGATTTTAAAAGCTGACGTTGCGAGCGTTCGCCCTACCGCAGAAGGACAGTCGAACGACCAACTCTCCTAACGCCAGCATCTAAACTCTTTACGAAGGTCAATTCACGTTATCAACTCAGTTGAAAATGCTGAGTATAACGTCAATTAATATTCTAGTGGTAGGGTGCTTGTACAGAATATGCAGACGATCATGATCCTGAACTGGACTCCTTTGAGGTTGATAATTTCAATGGGAAAGATGTTCTGGTAAGGAACATGCATTTACATGTGAGAGCTAATTACTACTTACATCGACAAACATTGAACTTAAATAAAAAAGAAAGATGAACGTCAAGAGATTGCCCCCCCCCCTCCCCCCACAAGAGCCCTATAAACTTAAAATACTAACACATCACTTTTAGCAGTGTATACCCCACTGTCTAGTGACTCAGGCGCCATCCATTTGATTGGAAGTTTCCTCGTGTTCTTTATTTCATAAATATCCCCATACGTGTGACGTAACAGGCCAAAGTCAGCAATCTTTACAGCTCTGTCTTCACCAATAAGGATGTTACGTGCGGCCAGGTCACGATGAACAAATCCCTTACCAGCCAAGTACTCCTATTGAAAAAAGAAACCGAAACACGCAAGGTCCTTACAAAGCACGTGCCATCTATCCTTTCCTTTCTTCTATCTTTTCCCATTGCCGAAAAAGGAGAACACCAGTAAACTTATGGTAGCTCAGTTCTTGCTGTCTGAATCAAACCAGTTGTATCAGGTTAAAGTTGTTGAACAAAGTAAATCGTTACGACGGCATGGTTAATTAATTATATGATGTTTTTGCGATAAGAGAGTTGCCGGTTTTTAACGTAACTTCCAATGTTTAGAATAGAACTGTCTGTGTATCAAGAATCAAACGTTTATCTAAATGTCTTACCCTATTTTATTGATTTTGCTCCAGTTTATAGCAAATAATTTTTCCTCGAGGGTCGGGTAATAAAGAAGCACGATTATTCCAACACTCCTGAAAAGTATCTGATCGTAACATTTATTTCATTAAGTTCAATCACCTACCATTCCTCCTGCTATCTGCCATGCAAAACAAAGTACGTCTTGAACAGTGAAGTTAACTGCCTTCTCATCAGCTTCACTTGTTTCTAGTTGTCGCTCCATGTTCTCCTGGGGCTGCGGCAAGCAACGGGCACTTTTAAATGAAATGCCGATAGTTCCCTCTTCATCAATCGATGATTTCACTCCCTCTCTCCCTATATCTTCATTTCTGTTTTCATTCTCTGCCCTCTTGGTGTTCAAATCGTCTCCACTTCCACTTCTGGGCCGAAAATCAGCGTTAAAGTCTTCCAAACCGGTGCTTGCACTTACAAAGGGCAATGCAGTGTTTGCACTTACAGTGGGCAAAGTGACATCCATGTGACTCAGTTCATTGGATTGTTGGCTCTGTGAGTTTTTTTCTCCTTCGAGGCCAGATAGAAAATCAGTTTGGGAAATTCTTATTCCAAGTTCTTCAGTGTCATTCCTTTTCTCGTCTGTAAATGGCTGTTCTACCAGATTAATTAAAATGTCCGACGTGACGCTGAAGTCTTGTTTTTCGGAGACTTCTTTGAATTTCTGCACAGTCGTGAGTTTCTCTCTACTATCGTGAAAGCCTTCGTCCTCTGACTTACCAGTTGAGGCAGCTGCATTTGAACTCGCACTACCGTCTGATAAATCGTCCACAGATTCAAAAACAACACCATCAATGCTGTTTTTACATTTTACCTGAAATCAATGAAAGATGACGTTGGAACAATTCCACTTATCGGGAACAAAACAGTTGACAAAATATGTCAAACAATTTTGAATTGTTAGACCATCTAAATTCAGAGATAGCGAATTGTAACAGCAATTTGGAAACTCTGTTGACGGAAAAAAACAGTTAGATGTATTATCAGCATCCGCTCACAACCCAGGTGGTATTTGTACTTGGTGCCACAAGTAAACTTGCGAATTAGATCACCTTTCCGACTTTTTTCGGACGGTATTTGTGTTTAGCGATGGATCAGTGGTCTCTCCAGTGTATCCTGGTTTTAAAGGTACAAAATATTTTTACGTGTTGCCTTTTTTTCCTCAGCCACTGCAGAAGATCTCCATGTGGAACATATTCCAGGATTAGCATGATTGGCTCTGATCTGTCCTAGTAACCAACCATGCTTAGCACATTTCTGTGAGTACCAACTCGCTGCATAAACGAAATTTCTCTGACAAACTGCTCTTGCCCTTCCTCACCGGCTCTTTCTGAAAGCGGAATATGACAAAACACAGCAAATTTTAGTCCTCGATTTAAATATAAATAAAGTTTATATTCGCTGAATGACGATGGGGTGATGCAGGTTCAAAAATATTTCACTACGTTGATCAGTAAATTATTTCATAATAACTGGCGACTCATACGCTCGACTCAATTTTCGTAGAACCTCCTACAACGATTTTGGCAAGACACATCCTTTTCGAATGACCGGTTGGGAAGTAGAATTTAAGTCACTGACGGACGGATCCTTCTGTGTAATTTGGTCTGAACGGTCACGACAATCACAGAAGTCGAAAGCCTTTGAAGAAAACACGTTACCAAATTATGGATTGTTTAAACACGGAAGATCCACGAGGATAAAACCCAGCAGGTGTAGAGGAAAATCTGTCATACTTTTAGAGACTGGTTTCTCGTGATTAGCCATGTGGAAGTGTATTTCATCTGTGATTACGGTCGGCACTCGACGTGTTTGACAGAATAACGTTCGGTAATTTTATCTTCTTTAAGTTTTCTTGTCTCAAGTAAAGGACTGAATAAAAATAGATCCTATGACTATGAATTTCTGAGTCACTAACCTTTTCACCGTGATTTATTCAAAAGGCTCGCACATCCGAAAAAGCGAATATATCATGCAGTGATTCCTTACCATGTAAGAGTTTTACGGCGACAACTCTTCCTTCTTTAATATGATCCTCTCTTTCTTCTTTGGGCTTGAAAAACACTTCAACCCTCGGCATTTCTTTTAAGATTGCTTTGTGTACTTTACCAAAGGCGCCTCGACCCAGCTCTTCCATAATGGTCACACGTTCCGGAGGAATCTCTTTTAACAGCAAGGGAACAATGTCTGACATCGATCTAATAAAGCATTGAAGAGTCTTTTCTCTTTTAATTGTTCATCAAGATTTCACACATACTCGTATACGAAGCATTAAGGGATAGATAGTTTGTTAGAGGGCGGGCTCTATGATCAAATGCATATTAATTAACATATGTAAAGATGATACGGGAGAAACACATTCACTCACGGAAGCAGAAGTTCTCCGGAATATAATAATTAACAACATTTTACAGTTTAGGATTGGGTTAGCTAACACATTTCTAGAATACAACGTTTTCCAACCTTCTTGTTTTGTGGACTCGAATGTTCCTCTTTTTTCTCCTTTGTCTGATCATGAAGTAAAGGATTCCAACAGTTAAGAGAATAAGTAGCCCACATCCTACAAATACAGCAATGCTAAGGGTTCGTCCGCGAGAAATGTCAGTGATCTGAGCAGTTTTTATACGCCATTCTTTTGAGGTATTACTTTCTCCCAGTTCATTCCAAGCAGTCACTTTAAAAGTGTACTCAGAGTTACACTTGAGCGACGTGAGACTCGTTGAAGTAGAGTCCATGGTAACATTGATGTGATGCCAGTACTCATCTTCACCCAAAGATTGCACCTCTCTGTAATATACTGTATACATGGTCAGCGGACAGCCGTTGTCTTGTGTAGAACCCCACTTGAGATTCACATCACATCCAGACATCTGAACTTCTTTGCTTTTAATAATAGGAGGAGACGGTTTATCTGAAGCAATAACGATAAATAAAGGCTTTGCTACGGAGCATTCATAAAACGCAATGTGCATCCGCACCTGACCCCTACGCTGACTTTCATTTGCCGAAAGCGAGGGATTCTTGTAAGTTCGCGTAAGTGTGCCAAAATTCCTTGACCTTGAATTAAATCATTGCTGTTGGAACTTTATCTCTTCCGCGTCAAATTAACAGTGTGGAATCAGTTGCTACATAATATATAGGAATCAAGAAAACATCATTGTCACACGTGCATGAAATTTTCAGTAACAGAAAATAATCCCACGATCTACAACAAAACACGTCGGTGGTTAGTTCTCGTTTAACCAAAGCCGGAATCTCAGAGGGTTTTGTGCACCTGAGCCACTTGTCACAAAATAGAATATTTCGTGACTGACTATCTTAGAGAGGAGCATAAGCACGTCAGTAATAGTAATGGTAAACATAAGTTAGCATGTGAACTTTGTCTTTTTGTGACTATTGCTAAAATGATAAGTTTTAGAGGAGGCTACGGCGAATTCGACGCTTTGGAGTTTGAAGTTCGAACAGCGAATGATTGAAATCATGGTCAAAACATTTTAGATTAATAAAACGTACTCAAAAGAAACATGTATGAACTGAATAGCAGTCACAAGTCGGCCTCCGGCCATGCGGATGATCGTTGCGTTCAAACTACAACGTTGTAAGAAGCAAAACTATCTACTCTGGTTGTGTACTGTTAACAACTAAATAACGTGTATCCCATTACATGCAGCCTTCGAAGACAAAGCTAGGAAATCAAACGAAGCCAATGAACTGTTGAAATACTGGTTGATTAATATTTTATTGACAAACTTTTCTTTTTTGCGAAATTTTTTTTACTGAAAATTACTCAGTGTTCTCACCTCCAAACGTTCTCACTCTCCAAAGTCGGCCGTGCTTTAATATTGATGTAAGTGGAGTCTCTGCTGAAGAGTTCCAGGCTGTTACAGCTATTTCATGCTCCTTTTGGCATCCAAGATGGAGATCATAACTTGTTTCATGTCTCGACACGTTTACTGCTTTCCAATGACTTTTGCCCTCTGAAAGCATTTCTCTGTGATATATAGTGAATAAAGAAGCAGTACACGGCTTCCAACGGACAACCACAACACTTCCATTCACTTGGTTAGTCCTGTTGACAATGGCTGGGTACCCTTAGGAAAAAAAAATTGAAATGAATATAGGAAAAAACAAACAAACAAACAAACAAACAAACAAACAAAAATTAACCCAGTAAACAAAGGGAATAAGTAAATCTCGAGTGTGAGTTACAAGGGATGGGTCAGGAAACGTAATGATGATCATGAGAAAGAATCTTAAGGAAGAGAATAAATCGGCACAACACAGAGTTCTCCATACCATTCTCTTTTGTATTGAGGCTCGTGGAATCTGATAACCAGCAGTGGAGTTATAGTTTAGCTGACAATCGACTCCTGTAAAGTTTTTCACAATCACTCGTGCTTTCCACTTGTGCGAGGCCATGCTTGTGTAATTGTTTTCTTTTTTGTTCTTCTTTGCTTTTTAATTTATACAATGCAATAAGTGTCAAATAATTGTGGAAAAAAATTGGTTGGTATGACGTGGCGTTTCTTCTCGGCCAAGAGCCTCGTCAAATACTTTTCGTAAATTTCACGTGAACTCGTCGAGCATCGCGCTCAAAGTCCCCGATCACGAAGTCAAGATGTTAGCAGTCTGGCCCTCTATCAAAGAAGGATTCCTAATTTTGCCAACAATTTCTATATGGTTTTAGGAAAAATATAGATAGAGAAATACTACTGCTATACCTGTGATGGATTTCACTTGCCAGGACTCTGAGAGGTTACTTTCTCCCACGTCATTCCATGCAGACACTTTGAATTCATAATCTGTGCCACATTCAAGTGGGAGACTACTGCAGCTCAGCTCATTTGCATCCGACGATGTATTGATATGATGCCAAGCGCTTTCTTTATTTCGCGATTTGATAGCTTTGTAGTACACTGAGAACATACTCACTGGGCAGCCATTGGCATCGGGAGAATTCCACTTTATGGAAGAGTTGTGAAATATTTCCTTCTCTTTGTTTTTAATGACGGGGTGAACAGGAGAAGCTGTGAAAAACACGACCACGGAGTTAAGACAACTTATATTACAGTCTCAAGACATTTTCATCACGCTTTTTGTATTTTATACTTTTAACCTGATGATTTTCTCAAGTTTTCGAGCTTAATTGTATCATCTGTGGCTATAGTGAAATACTGAATTGGAGCTTTATTAATTGACTTGTCAAAAAGTTGCTCATGGAGTATAAATTATGAATTGTCCAATCAGCAGCTAAGTTACTGGGCTGGCTGACACAAGGTTTGAACAATGGAAAAGTGCAAAGTAGTTTTCTCCCGCCTTGCCCCAGAACCATGTCGTCCACCTTACCTTATCGTGTTCACGTTCAAGGGAGTAACACTTACATTCCGTAAGGGAAAATCACTGTCTACATGTTCACATAATGAAATATGAGGTGATTTTCCCCAAGCAACATGGCACAATCTCATAAGGAGTAATTCATTTTTTTTTTATGGAAAAAGGTCACCATTTTGTGGAGTTAAGGTAGCGAATTTGTTCTACTTCTTGCCTTCTTTAAAAGCTATTTTTTAGACTATTCACACTTTAATTCCTTTTTAAAAGAAATGTTGTCAAACTCTTATTCTTAGATATCAATAAACATAAATCTGAATAGTTAATGTTGTAAAAAATTTGATAGGTCTGGTCCTTTACATTGACGCACCTGCAGGTGTTTTTGTTCCATACACTTCCACTCTGAGAACTTTGTGAATATGATAGTTAACTGGCTGGAACCGAATGATCCGAGCCCTTGTCACTTCTGCCAGAAATTGTTTCACTATTTCATTCTGGCTACTCCTACCGCCGCTGAAAATCTGTAGAAAAATTTTATCAGAAATTAACTGAAACTCAGTTTTCCTTCTCGAACTAGGATCAAAGATTCATGGACTTATATCAAAATTTAGCTCGCTCTCTCTCTCTCTCTCTCTCTCGCTCTCTCTCTCTCTCATAACCTACTGCAAATCTGATTTGATTCTTGTTCGTTGGGAGTAAGACACCTTACAAACTTGATCCAATTGAAAGTGAGCTGATGTCACCTTTGGATCTCTTGTAAAAACAGTTTTTCAAATAAAAAAATGTAACCACACACTAGTTGATACATCGAAAGAAATAATTTTCGTTATTACCCCTCCACTGGGACACTTGAGGCTATCTTACTCAGGCAACTATATAATATTTCTATAACGAGTTTACTATTTTTCAAACCTTTTCCGAGTTGTTCTCTTTATAGGTGATCCAATTCCTTAGGAACAAATGCAGCTTATAACTTTTGGTCCACTGCCTTCGAAGTGGATGTCCTTGAGTAGCTACAGCGCAAATAAAGAACACATCTCCCAGCTCAACTTCCAGGTAATCGTTAGTATTGTTGTTACTGCTAGGTAACCAGGCTCCTAAGGTATTCCTGAGGCGTGCTTTATACGGTTCATTGTTCGCAAGAAACGATGAGGCTGTAAAGCGTTTGTCCAAGTGTATGTTAGAGTTGGCCAAATTAACTGCCTGTGTCTGACATGCTTTAAAAGGAAAAGAAAACAGATAAGAGGAAACAAACTGAGAACAGCCACCTTTCTTCTCTTATCTCGCTCTCGAGTTTTGCTTTTGGGAAAGGGCTCCACTGAGGGACGAGATAAGAGTCAGAAGGATTTTTTTGCCTTGTTATAAAATGCTTTGCTTTCCCAAAAACAAGATTTGTTTTTAAATTGTACTAAACCCTTCCCTATTTCCTCGAACAAGTTTGAAACAACTTGAATCAAGATAAATGTCTTGTGGGGAAATCAGAGTTTTGCTGTGTCTCAGGCTCGTGTCAAGACGATTAATATCCTTCTCCATATGGAACGAAATAACTCTTATCAGTGAAAGTGAGAATTAGACAAGTATAGTTACGACAGCTGCTTACCATTGCTTGTCTCTCTTTCGGAATAAACCTGTACCTCGCATAAGGACAGTGTTCTGTTAGCGCCTGAATCTTCAATAAAAACAAAATTTCCGACAAGTCTGGGTAGACAATGTATGGTGAGTCTTTGAGAAATGTTTTGAACTGTTTTCGAAAAGGATTTTCCTCCACAAAGCAAGTTTGAGCTTCTTCTGTTGTCACTGTCATAACCTGTTGGACATGATAACAGAACACGTTGTTATTTAACCTGAAATCCACTTAGCATTGCCTTTTTTAAAATTTTTCCTCCCCAAGTACCAAGTTCAAATTTATCGGGGATTTGATTTTTCAATTCTTCGTGAAAAAGACATACAGTAACCGTCAGCAAAACAGACATTCTTGGGGCTCCTGTGTTAATGTTACTTCGTCCCTATTTTACAGCTACATCTATGGAAGGCATTTATAGAGCGGGTTTTCATGACAATAACTCTATGATTAGTTAATATTCTTTCGTGATTCCCTTAACCCACCAATCCAGACTTGAAGTCCTTCCATTTGATTTTTGTATGTAACGATGACCTTAGCCACAACCCGCGATGCTCCTAAGTCCACTCTCCACCAGGGGTCCTGCTGGGACTGAGTTGTAGCACAGGAGTGAACATCTCCATCCACAGCTTTGTTAGCGGTATAATTTGACCTTGTAGAAGACTGAGAAGCAGACTGATACAAGGCAAGATCTAGCAAAAAGAACAGCAACTCACTTTAAGCACAGCTCACTTATTGCTCGCTATAAAAGAGTTTGTAGTTTAATTTTCAATGACTTATTTATTCTGTAGGGCTACTCTGAACGGATCAAGGTTGGGAATCTCACAAATAAATCATGGCGCTACACTCAGAGTCACGAATTATTGGACATTGTGAAATACTAGAGTTATGCTTGTTATTCTGTCCTTCCACCCGGTACCATATTTTTTTCTATACCAGGAAAGGTGACGCCCACAGTCACATTGCTGAACATCATCAACTCACGAGCCACACTATTGGCTAAGACTCCGCGCAATGCCTAACCTAGAGCTCCAACTACTTTCAACGACTGACTTTGGAAAGCTGGTGAACTAACTTGGAACAGACTCCCCTCAACAAGTATCAACTACTAACAGCACCATGCAAACGACTTGTTCACTACATTAACATTAAAAACGAACCGAGAAGAATGACCTAACTTTACCAACGGATCGAAAAACAACCAATCACGACCGTCTTACGCCATTTGAGTCTAACAGTCAACTACATTACGGAAAAACTGACCTAACCCTAACCCTAACGGACCAGGACTTAGAACGGGCTAATACACAGGATAATTCGTTAATGGAAAAGCAATCTTTAAGGTCAGAATTTCTGTCTCATTCCGACGTTTCTCAATATTGGGTTTTCAACTGTGACTGTCTTCCTAAAAAATACGATTACATGATCAGGAGTTTTATGACAAAGAAATGAAAGGTATGATTCATATTCTACAACGTGAAATGTAAACTTTCTTACTTGATCTAATTGCGGAGAAAACTTCAACTTCGCATAGGACCAACACTTTCGACGATCCAGGTATCCTGATAAATAAATATCTGCCATACAGCGTCATATTACATCGCAAAAACTTTCCCTTTCCTTGGGGGACTCGTAGATCACTGGTGCAAAGATCGTTGGTTCCTCCTCTATCTCTAGTTTCATTTCCTTTAGTAATAGTACAAGGTAATACGGAAATCAACTTCTTTGAAAAATCACTCTACGCTAAGACCACATGGACGAACACATTGACTGTATACCTTTCGCCAACCGAAGTAGAGGTCTGCGCGCTAATCTCTATAATCCGTGGAACGTGGGAAACTGGGCTATCCCTATTTTGAGTACCTACCTACTCTTATCTCGGTCCCGTTTAAATGTTCCCCACAGCAGTCTCCACTATTGAGTATGAAAACCTCTGAAACAGGCAGCACTTGTTCAAGGTCAACTCTCCAATACGGATCAGGAAGTGGTGCTCCTGTGCTTGCACAATAGTATCTATTTGTATTCTTTACTCCGTCCACTGCTCTTCTCGGATAATTAACATCCATAGCAGCCAGAAAAATACTTGACTGACGTGCTGGCTTTCCTAAGGCAAGGTTATCTGAAAATACAAACAGGTGCATTATTAAGTATCTCAGAGTATCGAAAGAAGCGCAAGACTGAAAAATGGATTTGCAGTATTTGCTAACTTTTCGTTCCCCTTCATTGTAATGTATTGTCTCTAGTTATCAAAAAAAAAACCGATAGGTTGTTTATTTGAAGATTTTCCGGCACTGTCTGATGTTTACTTGGGATATTAACACCGGCATCGTCTTGCTCAAGCAAGTTCGAGCTGGTATTATTGTTAGGTCTTGTAGACATTTTCAAACAATATAAAGTGTATAGATTAACTCGATAATTATGGGTAAATTCAGTCCAAATGGTCTTTCAATGCCTGTACTATAAAAAATGAATGGTTAAGTTAGTTCCTCAGTCAACGGAACGAGGTTACCGATCTTTAAATTCTAAGCTATACAGTGATCTTGTATTATTACTTCTGATTTTTTTTTCAAAAAATGTCTTAGAACCGGTCTTTTTTATTTACTACTGCGGCTTTTACTAAAAGCACTGTCGCAAGGAAGCACTTTTATCATTATAAACTTAAGTTGCTTTTTACCTGCTGTCAGTGGTATTCCATATATTTCAACCCTCATACAGCAGTTTCCGTAGTGCTCTTTAGGAATGAAACGTAAACGCTTAGCAACAAGCTCACTGCACAAAATTTGTTTTACCGTTTTATTTCGGTTGAAATTTCCTGAGAATACCTGTAGATGCAAGAAATATCAAATATCAAACGTTATTTGTGCATTGTGAGCAGACCACCAGAGGGAAATAAAGAAATTATGACGCTCCACCTTTACTTAACTCTTGAAAAGTTTCCCTCATCCAAGCAAAGGTTATCATCTTTCTTATTCTATTTATAAAACATGACGTTCTGTGGCTCAATGGTAGAGCATCGGAGTGCGGAATGCGAAGATCTGAGGTTTGATTCCCCATGGGAACTCACAGTGTTTTCTATGTCCCACGCTCGTGACAAGACGAAGTAACATCTTTCTCTATTCATTACCGACTTCAAAACTTTCCATCTTTCTTCTTCTATTTATGAATCATGATGCTATAGAAATTGCTGATCTTAGCGGTATACAAGAAGCGTGTCATGTATTAACTCAGATTGGTTTTTTTGTCCCACGCTCGTGACAATACGAAAAAAACTTCTTTCTCTGCCAAGTTAGGGCTTTTTTGTGTTTGTTTTTTCACAACGCAAATTAGACCATATTTCAGTTTTCTTCCCAGTTAAAAAGATGCAACGCATCCAAGAACTTAAGCAAGCTTTCGATGTCAGTGAAATGTGACAGTGGGATCCTTTTAATTTGCAGAATCGCAGTTAAGATCGTTTTTCCTTACCTGAAATGACGGCCTCTCATCACAAATACTGATATGAATAAATTCTAAAGTTTCTCGCCGTTACTTTTTCTCAAGTCTATGTAAAATACCTTAGTTTGCCTTGTTTGTGTTTTTCCCTTTGACTCTAAGTGTGTTTAACCAGGTTTTTCAAGTACTTATATCATGCGCTTGGATAACTTAAACAACCCCTCGTAATGATGAAAGTAAATTTTTTAACCAGGAATAATACTGTTTTATTATTTATTAGGTTTCTGGAGGTGACAAACCTTCAATGTTCCCGCCTCTTGATAGTCTGTCCAAGTTGTTCCATCCCTAGATGATTGAAGTGAGTACTTCCTTACCCACTCGTCCCCTTGGGAGTTCCCCTGAGTTGAAACAGCACAGACGATATAAAGCTTTTCAAAGTCAACCTGTAGATATGGCTGACTATCACTTGTTGCAGCACACCATGATGATCCTCCATTGTAGTTCAATCGACCATTCTTAGCAGGTGTGTTTGCATTTAGTACAGAGGACGAACTGAAATCTCTATCCAAGGTGTATCCATTGCCTATTCCTACGTCGATGTACTGACATCCTGGAACTGCAAATAAAGAAGCATTATTCAACCTTTATCCAAATCCTGATTCCCGTCAAACCCCTTTGCCTATTAAGCTGACTGATAAAAGTTACTTATGAGATGAATTCATTGATAAAAAAAGAAGACGAGGCATCTTCTTTTATCAAGAGTAATACGGATATACGGATAATGTGGTTCAAAACTTATCCGTTCTGTCAATGTCGTTATGATCAGTTGCAACACTAACATTTTGACTTTAATTTCTATTTAGTGTCTATTTGTGGAGAGCCCTTTGTAGCGGGCCAGTCGCCTTAAATCAGCTTTTCCGTTGAATCACGATTGATATAAACCTTTAGGAGCTCAAAATGAGAAGTACATATAAATATGCTAAAGGAAAGTCGATTTGGAGAGTGCGAAAGATGCGTAAGAGTTCTTGGAAGCGCAGCCGAGAACAACTACTCTCGAATCTCGAGCACGTGCGTCATATCCCGATATCCGGAGAGCTTCATACATCGATGAACGTACGCTGACGCATGAACTTGTTGTTAATTTGAGAATGTACTACACTAAATGCTTAATGATTAGTAATCATATTCTAATTACTATTGCATTATTAACTCACATTTTTGTTTGAAAATCTCAACCCTAAGGCAGGTCCTTCTATGACGCTGGATTGGATAAAATCGAAAGTATCTTGCATGTACTGGCAGTGATAACTTGTGCAGGTCGACTGCAAAATCGTAACCTATACCCTGAAATTCCTTTGAAACAAAAATGTATTAAGTAGAACATTATCTTTTTGAAAGCATCAAATAATTCCATAAAAGATTGTTTCCAAATGCGAAAAAAAAAGAAAAAAAAAATGTCAACAGTGCTTTCTCGCGAGGTACAAAGTTTTTATAATTAATGTTAATCGCTATTTGATGGCCATTGCCTGATCGTTTAAATAATGTCTCAAGCTATGTAAGTTTAATTCGTTGTTATTGCAATTTGTGTGTTGTTTTTGTGTGGGTGTGTGTTTGTGTATGGGCCTGTATAAATTTTGTAATACTGTAATCTCCCTTGATAAGCCAAGGTACCTTTGAGGAAAGCAACGAAAAATAAGTTTAAACAAATTTTTCCAATTATTCCCAACGACGGAATTGAAATCAAAAACTTATTTTCATGTATTACAATGGAATTCTTACCATTTCTTCACCACTTTCATCCAGGTAGGTTTCCCAGTTTGATTCATCTAAGGAATAAGACAGTTTGAAAGCATTAACCGTTTGGCGACGTGTTCCTCTTTTTCCTTGGATAGCAACACCACATGCTTGAATTATTTCTCCAATGTCAACTTGAAGCCATTCACTGTTACTGTCAGTCTTATGCAAACACCAACCAGTGCCATAATAAAGTCGACCATAGGCCGCCTGGTACAGACCGTCGTATTGGGAAGATGCTGTTATCCGATTATCAGGGATTATTCTGGGATCAGCAACACCAACAGGATTCTTAAAGCAATCTGTAAAAATAGATTTGTTGTGATGATTGAATTCACGTTCAACGAGACAACAAGAGAGTATTGAGTGCTCTCAATCACTCAGATTTTTCACAGCAATTCTAAGGTAAAATAATGATTTTTAGCAGTTCTTGAGGAATTAACTACGGTAGAAAGTCGTTCTTCCATTTACCTTTGGTCTTTGCTCGTAAAGTCAGAGAAACATCTTGAAAAAATTTGATGGAAAAAAGCAACTTTCTCCGTTAAACAGTTGAACAGCGCTTGTCTTTGCTTCAATTTTGTTTAAAGTACACTACCACATGTTTTTACATACCTAGCGATTCTCCTGAAACGTGAGGATATTTAGTACTCTGTGAGAAAAATGATAGAAATCAAACATTAGCAGATGTGAACTGACAACATCAAAATGCGAAGACGCTCCAGCCGGAGGTTATTCTAGAGAAATCAAAAGTTTTTCTCAAGAAACAGAACTGGCTTCCTAATGAGGATTTTTTTTAACTGATTATCTGTACTTACACATTATATTCCGTATTTTGAATCATTTATTGTCATATAGGTAAAATTAATAGGAATACTCACTAAGAACACCAGGAGCATTAACTGATGAAAAAATAAGGCCATGATCTCTCCAACTTGGAAAACCTGATCAGAATAAATGTTAAAACTAATGTCACTGACTAAAAGGAGGAAAAAAACAAGAGGAAATTTAAAGATAGCTGAAAGGAAGTAGTAGTGATTTGAATGCGATTATGCGCTTGGCTTGGATTACGTTAATGATCCGATATTTCAAACTGCTCTGACGCCTATTCAGTGTACTGGAAAATGCTGACTGCTGAAGTGGCGTTCAATGAGGAATGTTTGGACAGCTTTCTGAGAGGAAATAATTTAGGAAAGCTTGTAAAAGGAGTGATTTCGACTTATAAAACATCATGACGTTTTGAAATATTGATTCACAACAATATTCTACGAAAATACTGTGTTGTCAAGCGCAATAACTCTAGGCTAGAATTTCCCCCTCGAGTCCGGTATTCGCCCTTCACGAGAAGAGGGGTCGTTTTCCGAACAGCGGCTGGTTATCGAGCTCACGCAACTCTTGATAATAACAAGCGACACGGTGGTCTACACAGGTGCTAACTTTGTAATGACTAGGGTATGTACTTTCAGTCGGTCAGCGTCAAGTCGGCAGATTTCTAATATCGAAGCAATGTTTGATACTTCAGACTGATTTTTGGAGAAAAACCCTTGAAGAGTGAAGAGGGGGAAGACGTAGCCCATTTTTTATACGTGTTCAAAATTAATTTTTGGATACCTTAATGACGACATTTGAAAGTATCTGGATTTGTAGCACATATCGAAACATGCATTTTTAGATAGCTATTTAGATAGTGTTTGTGCAATCATTAAAATGTACCTGTGGTGTATTTAGTTCTAAAGCAACAACAACTTGCATCAACATAAGTGATATAGTCTATGACTACTGAATTATGTAAAGATGCTGTAATTATGTTAAACGATTGTACTAATTATAAGTTATTTGGTAGATGATCGTTAAATAAAAACTGGGTAAAGAAAGCAATGGAAAAGTGAGTGTCTCTTAGCTGACTCACTAAATAATATACAGTACCTCCCTCACATCGACTGCATACCTTATCTAATTTGAAAAAATTTCGCACAGGAAAGTTTCCTGTTCGAAATTTTTTTCAGCTTAGATAAGGTATGAAGACGACGTAAAATTATGCCTTAATGAACGAGAGGGAGAGTTTTATGCCGGCGTAATGTGTCTGAAGTTTTTTGTGAGCTTAAGTTATGGATTGCGTACACGAGATGTTGGATGTAGATTGTACAAGAGTATGTATCACAGCTGTTTTGTCAAAGATGATTTAAATTTGTTTTCTTTGTGGGAGCTGTTTAAACCGATATTGGTCGGCTTCAAATTTAGCACATTAAAAATACAAGTTACTAACCGCTTGAATCCTACAGAAAATTCGCTCTTTACGTTCTCTATTTCGGATTTTCATTCAGCTAAACTCCGCTTAACTAAACACGTTTTGCTGGTGTCAATCATATCGAGATAACACACTCAGCTGGTAAATTTCTCCAAACTTAGATGTGTATACCCATATCACCTGAAATAGCGACAAGAGGTTGAGTGAATACTATTAGGAATAAAATAGTCTTTTAGATAGTTTAGATAGTTTACTATAAAATCAAATATATTGCAGCCATAGGCTGAATTGCGTGCTTTTCACAATCATTGATTATATAAGACTATATAAGACTACCTATTACAAAAATACTAAGACCTAAACAAAATTACTAATATAACTAATATAGCTAATATACAGCAGTGGAATAGCTAAAAATCTAGGTTAGCACGCGCGCACATAGCCGGGATAAATGAAAATTTAAAACGGTCAGTGCGAAAGCGCGGCATGTTAAAAACGCGCCGGTGTCTAGTATTGTAAGCTGAAAAATGCCTATCTGGCAGCAAATTATATAATTTGTGAGATGGATTTGAGACAGACAAAAACAGATCCGTACATAATTTCATGCGTCTGTCATAGAGCGAAGCTAAACCGTGCCTGTCTAAAGAGTCATGGTATGACAGTTCTGGTGAAATGATGGATAATGCGCGTCTTTGGACCCTTTCAATGTCATCACTAAGATACGCAGGTAACGCATGATGGAATATTTGTGCACAGTATTCCAGAACAAGGCCTTCAGTTATTAATTAAAGACAAAGCATTTTTTATTAACGATCGAAAAATTACGTTTATTGCACCTGTCCTCTTGAGCAGGCTATTAGTACCAGCCGTTGTTTGAGAATGAGCCCGGGCTCTACCTTCGATTAGACGTCGCTCCTTCTCGCGAGGATCGAAGACTGTGCGAGAGGAAAAAGGCGAAATCGAACTTGAATATTTTTCTTTGGCATCATAGACCACTTGCTAAAAGGTCACATGGAAAGTGCAATTAAATCACGAATGACGAGATTTTCTCATTTTTTCCAAGTGCATACGAAACCGGAAAGAGCAATGTCTCGGGGAACAAATTGGGACCATCACAGAAAAACACAAAGGATTTAGAAATTTAACTTTAGACAATTACAAAACATAACTCAGGGGTGGTCAGCAAGTGACTCAAATACTGCAAACCCTCGGTGCCCCAGCATTCAGTAAGTAACCTTCAAGTTCTGGAAATAAAGTATTTTCTCAATATTACAACTGTTAGTTAAGATACGAAATTATGTTAGGTACGAAACAAGAGATTATAATCTCTTGGTAGGAAATCATTCTACAAAACCTTAAGTTGTTTTAAAGCTGCCTTTTGGGGACTTCATCCTTTATTAACAACTTTTCTTCCTTGTTTATCAATGATGTAATTTTTGAGAACATTTTATAATACTATTAATTATTTTTTATTACTGTTACTATAGATTCCTAAAAAGTCTGTTGTAATTAACAGATTATGTTCACACCGTATCCAACGAGTATTTGAGAACTATTGATGTTTCAAGCCAGCAACTCTTCAAAGTTGGTAGTCACATGTAGACCATATACACTAAACTCAAATGTGTCTCATCCTCTAGTTAAATAAATTGTTTACTGTTTACTCCTTTTTTGGTTAGCAACGCTTTAAGGTCGCTAGTGATGTTAATTTTCATTATTTGTTTTTTTTTTAATTACCGAGAAATTTCTATACGATACCTTAATTTTGACAAGAACTGTACTGTATTTTACAAAAGTAGACACGAAGATCACTTCTTTGATAGTTTTCCCCGTTTTTTCTCTGCAAAGTTACTTGTGTAACATTCATATTTGAATCCAGTGGCACCAGTTTTACGGATTTTTTCTACCCGATGTAACTTTAAAATCTTCCGATATTCAAATTCAATAATATTCAATTCATCTAACACTGGCAAGTTTCCATTACAAATTATCATATGTTTTTCTTGAATCAACTTCATTCTCAACTTTCACCTGGAAAGTTATCCAACTAAACACTAATCACGCATCTAGTTAGTCAGTTTCGGATGTCGTCTCATTGTTAGAGGCAACGCTTTCATAGTCTTCATTCAGATCAAAGTAAGGAGTGTCCCTCGTCATCATTTCTTCCATTCTTGTTATCAGCTGTTGAAATGATGGTCTCTCCTCTGGGTCTACCCTCCAACAGCCTAACATCAACTCGTATCTGATAAGATATAAAGTATTCTGGTGTCAATAGGGACATTGGCGCTATGTGGAAGCTATGGTCTTCAATATTTACTGTTGATTCACACACTGAGGACTAAAGCACAGGAAAGAGAATGCAGACATGATAAAGTTCGCCTCGGGCTTTCAAACAAATTACAATTTAAAGGCGTCCTCACCAAATATGCTCAATAATTTTATTGAAAACCATATCTTGTTCAATATTTTGGCCACCTCGATGCTTCAATGACAAAATGTTATTGAAAAAAAGACTTGGTACTTATTTTTTTCTTTTATGGTTAGCTTGATAGGTATACAATGTGATTCACTGAAATAACTATCCCTGAAATCAATGTTTTCTTGAAGCACTTGTTTCCTTGTAGAGTTTCTCATACTGGTACATTATCTTTTCTAGCATTGATCTCATTCGTCTGTCACATTTGTCAGCCTTTTTTTTAATTATTCACTTAAATGGAATTATCTAGATTACTATAATCATTGATGCTAAACTGCATATCTCCGCGAGACCTTACCTATAACTTCAAAAGAGATTCGCTCAGTCAAATAGACAAAAAGCAAAACTTCAGCCGACAAGATTTAGTTGGTGTTAAATTAACGTTAATTGCATGAAACAATTGAATATTATCTGTTAAACTTACAGCTCATCAGAGCAAATGGCTGGTTTTTCCATTCGATATCCTGACTTAAGAAGTTTTAACAACTCTCTGTTGCTTATTCCAGGGTAGGGGATGCCACCTTGGATGCAGGTTAAGTCAGAAGAAGGAAAAAAGTTATTAGAAAAATTGTTTTCATAACAACTTCGATAAGTCTTAGACCCCTCGTTAATAAAAGGTTTGAGAAAATACAGATGTCAAACACCACGTGACATATTTCTCAGCGGCCAGGTCGCTTCTAGCCTCTTTTTCCCCAATGGTGGGTCCATTTCTCTTTGATTCAAATCAACAATCCAACGCCTCTCAGGCTCGGAGGTTGTTGATTGAATCATTGTTTTTTGCCATCCCTCCCCTCTCTCTCACATTTATTTATAACACAGTCCAGCATAAACGACTGAGAATATGTGAAAGTCATATATTTGAACTGCGGATAAAGACGTGATTATGAAAGCAATCTTCGCAGTAATGAACACTTCTTGAGCAGAAGTAAAAATAGTCCAGCACAAATAGCAAAATTTAGTTAGGCAGCTGAAACGAACCTATAACTGAAAGACAAGCGTTAAAGGTAAGGGTTTCTCTCGGGGTATTTATTGTGACAAAAGAGGTTGGATACTTTTGCTGTGATACATCAGGTGTTGTTACTCACCCATTGTGCACAATTCCCAAAGAAGTACACCAAAAGACCAACTACCGAAAAAAGGGAACGAAAATAATTAAATAAATAATTACTTTGCAAGCCTGATGACAGATACAGTCAATTACTAAAGGGGTAAGTTTCTGAAAAAACTGTGGTGCTGGGGTCGGAGAGTATAACAGGGTGACTAAGTATTATCAGCTGAGTTGATAACGTAAATTGACAACCGTCGAGAGTTTTAAAGCTGACGTTTCGAGAGTTAGCCCTTCGTCGAGAGGGATAGTCGAATGGCTAATACTCCAAACGTCAGCTTTTCAATTATTTACGGTGGTAAATTTTATGTTATCAACTCAGTTAATAATACTAAGGTATACCGTCAATTAATAATCTAGTTGTAGGATGCTTGAACAGAATATGCAGACGATCATGTCCCTGAATTTGACTACCCTGTGGTTGATAAGTCCAGTGGGAAGGATGCTCTGGTAAGGAACATGCATTTACATGTGAGAGCTAGTTACTGCTTACATTTACAAATATTGAGCTCAGAATAAAACGTGAAAGATGTACGTCGAGAGAACCCCCCTCCCCCCTATAAGTGCTCTATAAACTTTAAATACTCACACGTCACTTTTAGAAGTGTATGCGCCACTGTTTAGTGACTCAGGTGCCATCCATTTGATTGGAAGTTTCCTCGTGTTCTTTATTTCATAAATATCCCCATACGTGTGACGTAACAGGCCAAAGTCAGCAATCTTTACAGCTCTGTCTTCACCAATAAGGATGTTACGTGCTGCCAGGTCACGGTGAACAAATCCCTTACCAGCTAAGTACTCCTATTCATAGAAGAAACCAAGAAAAATGAAGTCCTTACAAACCATGTGCCATCTATCCTTTCCTTTCTTTTATGGTTTCCCATTGTGGAAAAGGAGAACATCAGTAAACCCATGGTAGCTCAGTTCTTGCTGTCTGATTTAAACCGGTTGTATCAGTTAAAATTGCTGAACAAAGTAAATAGATAGTTACGACGGCATGTTTAATTAGTTTTTTGATGACTTTGCGATATGAGAGCTTCCGGTTTTAACGTTATTTCCAATGTTTAGAATAGAATTGTTTGTGTATCAAGAATCAAACGTTTATCTAAATTTCTCACCCCATTTCATTGATTTTGCCCCAGTTTATAGCAAAGAACTTTTCCTCGAAGGTGGGGTAATAGGGAAGCACGATTATTCCTACACTCCTGGAAAGTGTCTGATCGTAACATTTATTTCATTTAGTTCAATCACCTACCATTCCTTCTGCTATCTGCCATGCAAAACAAAGTACATCTTCTACGGTGAAGTCAACTGCCTTCTCACCAGTTTCACTTGTTTCTAGTTGTCGCTCCATGTTCTCCTGGGGCTGCGGTAAGGAACGGGCACTTTTAAATGAAATGCCGATAGTTCCCTCTTTATCAATCGATGATTTCACTCCCTCTCTCCCTTTATCTTCATTTCCGTTTTCATTCTCTGCCTTCTTGATGTTCAAATCGTCTCCGCTTCCACTACTGGGTCGAAAATCAGCGTTAAAATCTTCCAAACTGGTGCTTGCACTTACAAAGGGCAATGCAGTGTTTGCACTTACAGTGGGCAAAGTCACATCCATGTAACTCAGTTCATTGGACTGTTGGCTCTGTGAGTTTTTCCCTCCTTCGAGGCCAGATGGAAAATCAGTTTGGGAAATTTTTATGCCAAGTTCTTCAGTGTCATTCCTTTTCTCGTCTGTAAATGGCTGTTCTACCAGACTAATTAAAATGTCCGACGTGACGCTGAAGTCTTGTTTTTCGGAGACTTCTTTGAATTCCTGCACAGTCGTGAGTTTCTCTCTACTATCGTGAAAGCCTTCGTCCTCTGACTTACCAGTTGAGGCAGCTCCATTTGAACTCGCACTACTGTCTGATAAATCGTCCACAGATTCAAAAATAACGCCATCAATGCCGTTTTTAGATTTTACCTGAAATCAATGAAAGATGACGTTGGAACAATTCCACTTATCGAGAACAAAACAGTTGACAAAATATGTCGAACAATTTTGAAATGTTAGACCCATCTAAATTCAGAGATAGGGAATTGTAACAGCGTTTTGGAAACTCTGTTAACGGAAAAAAAAAAGTTAAATGTATCATCAACATCCCCTCACAACCTAGGTGGTATTTGTACTTGGTACCTCAAGTAGACTTACGAATTAGGTCACCTTTCCTACTTTTTTCAGACGGTATTTGTGCTTAGCGATGGATCAGTGGCCTCTCCAGTGTATCCTGGTTTTTAAGGTACAAAATATTTTTACCTGTTGCCTTTTGTTCCTCAGCCACTGCAGAAGATCTCCATTTGGAACATATTCCAGGATTAGCATGATTGGCTCTGATCTGTCCCAGTAACCAATCATGCTTAGTACATTCCTGTGAGTACCAACTCGCTGCATAAACGAAATTTCTCTGACAAACAACTCTTGCCCTTCCTCACCAGCTCTTTCTGAAAGCGGAATATGATAAAATACAGCGAATTTAATTCCTCGATTTAACTAAATAAAGCTTATGTTCGCTAAATGACGATAGAGTGATGCATGTTCACAAATATTTCACTACTTTGATCAGTAAATTTTTTTCGTAATAACTGGCGACTCATACGCTCGACTCAATTTTCGTAGAACCTCCTACAACGATTTTGGCAAGATATTTCCTTTTCGAATGACCGGCTGGGAAGTAGAATTTAAGTCACTGACGGACGGATCATTCTGTGTAATTTGGTCTGAACGGTCACGACGATCACAGAAGTCGAAAGCCTCTGAAGAAAACACGTTACCAAACTGTGGAATGTTTAAACACGAAAGATCCACGAGGATAAAGCCCAGCAAGTGTAGAGAAAAAGCTGTCATACTTTTAGAGACTGGTTTCTCGTGATTAGCCATGTGGAAGTGTATTTCATCAGTGATTACGGTCGGTACTTGACGTGTTTGATAGAATAACGTTCGGTAATTTCTTCTTTCTTTCAGTTTTCTTGTCTCAAGTAAAGGATTGAATAAAATAGATCCAATAACTATGAAGTTCTGAGTCACTAACCTTTTCATCGTGATTTATTCAAAAGGCTCGCATAACCGAAAAAGCGAATATATCATGCAGTAATTCCTTACCATGTAAGAGTTTTACGGCGACAACTCTTCCTTCTTTAATATGATCCTCTCTTTCTTCTTTGGGCTTTAAAAACACTTCAACCTTCGGCATTTCTTTTAAGATTCCTTTGTGTACTTTACCAAAGGCGCCGCGACCCAGCTCTTCCATAATGGTTACACGTTCCGGGGGAATCTCTTTTAACAGCAAGGGGACAATGTCTGACATCGATCTAATAGAGCATTGAAGAGTCTTTTCTCTTTTGTTCATCAAGATTTCACACATACTCGTATACGAAGCATTGAGGGATAGATAGTTTGTTAGAGGGCGGGCTCTATGATCAAATGCATGTTAATTAACATATGTAAAGATGATACGGGAGAAACACATTCACTCACGGAAGCAGAAGTTCTCTGGAATATAATAATTAACAACATTTTACAGTTTGGGATTGGGTTAGCTAACACATTTCCTAGAATAAAACGTTTTCCAACCTTCTTGTTTTGTGGCCTCGAATTTTCCTCTTTTTTCTCCTTTGTCTGATCATGAAGTAAAGGATTCCAACAGTTAAGAGAATAAATAGCCCACATCCTACAAATACAGCAATGCTGAGGGTTCGTCCGCGAGAAATGTCAGTGATCTGAGCAGTTTTTATACGCCATTCTTTTGAGGTATTACTTTCTCCCAGTTCATTCCAAGCAGTCACTTTAAAAGTGTACTCAGAGTTACACTTGAGCGACGTGAGACTCGTTGAAGTAGAGTCCATGGTAACATTGATGTGATTCCAGTACTCATCTTCACCCAAAGATTGCACTTCTCTGTAATATACTGTATACATGGTCAGCGGACAGCCATTGTCTTGTGTAGAACCCCACTTGAGGTTCACGTCACATCCAGACATCTGAACTTCTTTGCTTTTTATAATCGGAGGAGACGGTTTATCTGAAGCAATAACGACAATAAAGGCTTTTTGACGGAGCATTCATAAAACGCAATGTGCATCCGCACCTGACCCCTACGCTGACTTTCATTTGCTGAAAGCGAGGTATTCTTGTCAGTTCGCGTAAGTGTGCCAAAATTTCTTGACCCTGAATTAAATCATCGCTGTTGGAACTTTATCTCATCCGCGTCAAATTAACAGTGTGGAATCAGTTGTTACATAATATATAGGAATTAAGAAAACATTATTGTCACACGTGTATGAAATTTCCAGTAAGAGAAAATAATCCCACGATCTACAACAAAACACGTCGGTGGTTAGTTCTCGTTTAACCAAAGCCGGAATCTCGGAGGGTTTCGTGCATCTGAGCCACTTGTCACAAAATAGAATATTTCGTGACTGGCTCTTAGAGAGGAGCAGAAGCACGTCAGTGATAGTAATGGTAAACATAAGTTAGCATGTGAACTGTGACTGTTGCTAAAATGATAAGTTTTCTAGGAGGCTACGGCGAATTCGACGCTTTGGAGTTTGAAGTTCGAACAACAAATGATTGGAATCATGGTCAAAACATTTTAGATTAACAAAACGTACTCAAAAGAAACATGTATGACCTGAATAGCAGTCACAAGTCGGCGTCCAGCTAGGAAATCAAACGAAGCCAATGAACTTTTGAAATACTGGTTGATATGAAATTTTATTGACAAACTTTTCTTTTTTGCGAAATTTTTTTTTACTGAAAATTACACAGTGTTCTCACCTCCAAACGTTTTCATTCTCCAAATTCCGCCGTGCTTTAATATTTCTGTAAGTGGAGTCTCTGCTGTAGAGTTCCAGGCTGTTACAGCTATTTCATGCTCCTTTTGGCATCCAAGATGGAGATCATAACTTGTTTCATGCCTCGACACGTTTACTGCTTTCCAATGACTTTTGTCCTCTGAAAGCATTTCTCTGTGATATATAGTGAATAAAGAAGCAGTACACGGCTTCCAACGGACAACCACAACACTTCCATTCACTTGGTTAGTCCTGTTGACAATGGCTGGGTACCCTTAGGAAAACAAAATTGAAATGAATATAGGAAAAAAACAAACAAACAAACAAAAATTAACCCAGCAAATAAAGGGAGTAAGTAAATCTCGAGTGTGAGTTACAAGGGATGGGTCAGGAAACGTAATGATGATCATGAAAAAGAATCTTTAGGAAGAGAATAAATCGGTACAACACAGAGTTCTCCATACATCCCATTGTGTATTGAGACTCGTGGAATCTGATAACCATCAGTGGAGTTATAGTTTCAGCTGACAATCAACTCCTGTAAAGTTTTTCACGATCACTCGTGCTTTCCACTTGTGCGAGGCCATACTTGTGTAATTGTTTTTTTTGTTTTTCTTAGTTTTTTAATTTATACAATGCAATAAGTGTCAAATAATTGTGGAAAAAACTTGGTTGGTATGACGCGGCGTTTCTTCTCGGCCAAGAGACTGGTCAAATACTTTTGGTAAATTTCACGCGAACTCGTCGAGCATCGCGCTCAAAGTCTCGACCACGAAGTCAAGATGTTAGCAGTCTGGCCCTCTATCACAGAAGGATTCCCAATTTTGCCAACAATTTCTACATGGTTTTAGGAAAAATATAGATAGAGAAATACTACTGCGATACCTGTGATGGATTTCACTCGCCAGGACTCTGAGAAGTTACTTGTTCCCACGTCATTCGATGCAGACACTTTGAATTCATAATCTGTGCCACATTCAAGTGGGAGACTACTGCAGCTCAGCTCATTTGCATCCGACGATGTATTGATATGATGCCAAACGCTTTCTTTATTTCGTGATTTGATAGCTTTGTAGTACACTGAGAACATACTCACTGGGCAGCCATTGGCATCGGGAGAATTCCACTTTATGGAAGAGTTGTGAAATATTTCCTTCTCTTTGTTTTTAATGACGGGGTGAACAGGAGAAGCTGTGAAGAACACGACCACGGAGTTAAGACAACATATATTACAGTCTCAAGACATTTTCATCACACTTTTTGTATTTTATACTTTTAACCTGGTGATTTTCTCAAGTTTTCGAGCTTAATTGTATTATCTGTGGCTATAGTGAGATACTGAATTGGAGCTTTATTAATTGACTTGTCAAAAAGTTTCTCATTGAGTATAAATTATGAATTTTCCAATCAGTAGCTACGTTACTGGGCTGGCTGATGCAAGGTTTGAACAATGGAACAGTGCAAAGTACTTGTCTCCCGAACAGATCTCCGTCGTCCACCTTACCTTATCGTGTTCACGTTCAAGGGAGTAACACTTACATTCCGTAAGGGAAACCACTGTCTACATGTTCACATAATGAAATATGAGGTGATTTTACCCAAGCAGCATGGCACAATCTCATAAGGAGTAATTCATTTTTTTATGGAAAAAGGTCACCATTTTGTGGAGTTAAGGTAGCGCATTTGTTTTACTTCTTGCCTTCTTTAAAAGCTATTTTTTGGACTCTTCACACTTTAATTCCTTTTCAAAAGAAAAGTTGTCATACTCTGATTCTTAGATATCAATAAAAACAAATCTGAATAGTTACTGTTGTAAAACATTTGATAGGTCTGGTCCTTTACACTGACGCACCTGCAGGTGTTTTTGTTCCATACACTTCCACTCTGAGAACTTTGTGAATATAATAGTCAACTGGCTGGAACCGAATGATCCGAGCCCTTGTCACTTCTACCAGAAATTGTTTCACTATTTCATTCTGGCTGCTCCAGTTGCCGCTGAAAATCTATAGCAAAATTTTATTAGAAATTAACTGAAACTCAGTTTCCCTTCTCGAACTAGGATCAAAGATTCATGGACTTGTATCAAAATTTAGCTCTCTCTCTCTCTCTCTCTCCCGTAACCTACTGCAAATCTGATTTGATTCTTTTTCGTTTAGAGTAAGACACCTTACAAACTTGATCCAATTGAAAGTGAGCTGATGTCACCTTTGGGTCACTTGTAAAAACAGTTTTTCAAATAAAAAATGTAACCGTACACTAATCGATACACCGAAAGAAATAATTTTCGTTATTACCACTCCACTGGGAGAGTTGAGGCTATCTCACTCAGGCAGCTATAGAATATTTCTATAACGAGTTTACTATTTTTCAAACCTTTTCCGAGTTGTTCTCTTTATAGGTGATCCAATTCTTTAGGAAAAAATGCAGCTTATAACTTTTGGTCCACTGCTCTAGAAGTGGATGTCCTTGAGTAGCTACAGCGCAAATAAAGAACACATCTCCCAGCTCAACTTCCAGGTAGTCGTTAGTATTGTTGTTACTGCTAGGTAACCAGGCTCCTAAAGTATTCCTGAGGCGTGCTTTATACGGTTCATTGTTCGCCAGAAATGATGAGGCTGTAAAACGTTTGTCCGAGTGTATGTTGGAGTTGGCCAAATTAATTGCCTGTGTCTGACATGCTTCAAAAGGAAAAGAAAACAGATAAGGGGAAAGATAATAAATTGGAATCCTTATCGACAGCCGCATCCCCACTAACAACAGCCACCTTTCTTCTCTTATCTCGCTCCCGAATTTTGCTGTTGGCAAAAGGCTCCACTGTATAAAGAAGGGATAAGATAAGAGTCAGAAGGATGTTCTTTGCCTTGTTGTAAAATGCTTCGCTTTCCCAAAAAGAAAGTTGGAGTTAAATTTGTACTAAACCCTTCCCTATTTCCTCGAACCAGCTTGAAACAGCTGAAATGAAGATCAATGCCTTGTGGGGGAATCAGAGTTTTGCTGTGTCTCAAGCTCGTGTCAAGTCGACTAAGATCTTTCTCCATATAGAACGAAATAACTCTTATCAGTGAAAGTGAAAATTAGACAAGCAGTCACGACAGCTGCTTACCATTGCTGGTCCTTCTCTCGGAATAAACCTGCACCTCGCATAAGGACAGTGTTCTGTTAGCGCCTGAATCTTCAATAAAAACAAATTTTCCGACAAGTCTGGGTAGACAATATATGGTAAGTCGTTGAGAAATGTTTAAAAATGGTTTGGAAAGGGGTTTTCCTCCACAAAGCAAGTTTGAACTTCTTCTTTTGTCACTGTCATAACCTGTTGGACACGAACACAGAACACGTTGTTATTTGAAAAGCAATCCACTTGGCATTGCCTTTTTTTCAAATTTTTCCTCCCCAAGTATTAAGTTTAATGAATTTATCGGGGATCAGGCATTTCTTTTATTTTTCACTTCTCCGTGAAAAAGACATACAGTAACCGTCAGCAAAACATACATTTTAATGTTACTTCTTCCCTGTTTTACAGCTACATCTATGGAGGGCTTTTTTAGGGCAGGTTCTCATGACAATAATTATATGATTACTTAATTTTCTTTCACGAATCCCTGAACCCACCAATCCAGACTTGAAGTCCTTCCATTTGATTTTTGTATGTAACGATGACCTTAGCCACAACCCGCGATGCTCCTAAGTCCACTTTCCACCAGGGGTCCTGCTGCGACTGAGTTGTAGCACAGGAATGAATAACTCCATCCACGGCTTTGTCAGCGGTATAATTTGACCTTGTAGAAGACTGAGAAGCAGACTGATACAAGGCAAGATCTAGCAAAAAGAACGGCAACTCACTTTAAGCGCAGAGATCTCCTTATTACTTGCTATCAAAGAGTTTATAGTTTAATATTCAAAGAAAATGACTTATGTATTCTGTGGCGCTGCTTTTAACGGAGCAAGGTTGGGAATCTCACAAATAAATCATGGCGCTACACTAAGAGCCTCGAATTGTTTTACATTGCGAAATATCAGAGTTATGCTTGATATTCTGTCCTTCCACCCGTCCATATCAATTTCTATACGAGGAAAGGTGATGTCAACAGTCACATTGCTGAACATCATCGACTTACGAGCCACACTTTTGACCAGGACTTCGCTCACTGTCTAACCTACAGCTCTGACTACTTTCAACGGCTGACTTTGGAAAGCTGGTTAACTAACTAGAAACAGACTCAACTACTAACGGCACCATGCAAACGACTTATTCACGACATTAACATTACAAACGAACCGAGCAGAAGGACCCAACTTTACAAACGGATCGAAACCGACCAATCACGACCATCTTACGCCATTTGAGTCTTACAGCCAATTAAATGATGGAAAAACTGACCAATCAGTTTATAAGACCCGGAGTTAGAAAAGGTTGATAGACAGGAGCATCCGTTAATGGAAAAGCATTCTTTAAAGTCAGAATTTCTGTCTTATTCCGAAGATGCCCACAATTGGGTTTTCAACTGTGACTGTCTTCCTAAAAAAATTGATTAAATGATCAGGAGTTTTATGACAAAGGAATGAGAGGTATGATTCATATTCTGCAACGTGAAATGTAAACTTTCTTACTTGATCTGATTGTGGGGAAAACTTCAACTTCACACAGGACCAACGGTTTCGACGATCCAGGTATCCTGATAGATAAATATCTGCCGTACAGCGTCGTATTACATCGAAAAAACTTTCCCTTTCCTTGAGGGACTCGTAGATCACTGGCGCAAAGACTGTAGGGTCTCCGTGGATCTCTAGAGTCATTTCCTTTAAGTAATAGTACAAGGTAATGCGAGAATAAACTTTTTTAAAAAGTCATTCTTCACTAAGAGCACATAGAATGTATACCTTTCGCCAACCGAAGTAGACTGCGCACTGATCTCTAATCGGTGGGCCGTGGGAAAATGGGCTATCCCTAATTTGAGTACTTACCTACCATTATCTCGGCACCGTTTAAACGTCCGCCACAACAGTCTCCACTATTAAGAATGAAAACCTCTGAAACAGGCAGCACTTGTTCAAGGTCGACGGCCCAAAACGCAACAGGACCGAAACTTCCTGTGTTTGCACAATGGTATCTGTTTGTATTCTTTACTCCGTCCACTGCTCTTCCTGGATAAATCACATCCATAGCATCATAAAAATAAAGCGACTGAAAGGCTGGCTTTTCTAAGGCAAGATTATCTGAAAATACAAGCAGGTTTATTATTAAGTATCTAAGAGTATCGGAAGATGTGCAGAATTGAAAGATGCTAAAAAAAGGGACATGCTCTTTTCCCCCCAAATGTCCAGAAAGAGCATGGCACTAGCGTCACACTTTTTTTTTTTAATTTTTATGTTAAGAGTGGCTGCTGTCAAGCTGTCACGTGATGTCACTGAATTATACGAAAAAAGCACAAGATTTTACAAGATTATTTGCTATTGGATTTTTGAAGTGGTTGGATTTGCAGCTTTTGCTAACTTTTCGTTCCCCCTCATGGTAACGTATTGCCTAGTTATTAAAAAAAAACCGATAGGGTGTTTATTTGAAAGTTTTCCCGCACCGATCGAGGTTTATTTGGGATTTTCTCGCTGGCAAAGTCTTTCTCAAGCGAGTTCGAGCTGGTATTATTGTTAGGTCTTGTGGACATTTTCAAACAATATAACGTGTATTGGTAAACTCAATAATTATGGGTGAAGTCAGTCCAGATGGTTTTTCAATGCCTGTACCATTAAACATGAATGGTTAAAGTAGTTCCTCAGTCAACAGAACGAGGTTACCGATCTTTAAATTCTAAGCTACACACGATCTTGTATTATTATTTCTGATTTTTTCTTAAAACCGGAACCGGTTTGTACCCAAGGCGCTGTCGCTAGGAAGCCCTTTTATCATTATAAACGTATGTTGCTTTTTACCTGCTGTCAGTGGTATTCCATATATTTCAACCCTCATACAACAGTTTCCGTAGTGTTCTTGAGGAATGAAACGTAAACTCCTAGCAACAAGCTCACTGTACAAAATTTGTTTTACTATTTTATTTCGGTTGAAATTTCCTGAGAAAACCTGTAGATGCAAGAAATATCAAATATCAAACGTGATTTGCGCATTGTAAACAGACCGCCAGAGGTAAATAAAGAAATTGACGTTATACCTTTACCTACCCCTTGAAAAGTTTCCCTCACCCAAACGAAGGTTACCATCTTTCTTATTCAATTTACGAAGCAGGACGCTATCGACATTGCTGATCTTAGTAGTATGCAGGACGTGTGTCATATATGAACTTTGTAATAGGCCTTGCTCACCATAGAGTCTCTGCGGCTCTGTGGTAGAGCATCGGAACGCGGAATTCGAAGGTCTGAGGTTCGATTCCTTATGGGGACTCAGAATGTTTTCTTTGTCCCACGCTCGTGACAAGACGAAATAAAACTTTCTCTATTTCTTTACCGGTCTCAGAACTTACCATCTTTCTTATCCTATTTAAGGTAGGTACATTTTTTCTTGGGGGAATTTGGGTATTTTTTTTCTGAAAAAAAGTGTTGGCCCTCCCTTGCATTTAATAAAAAAAACTCCTGACCCCCCACCTTTAGGAGACTGACAAAAGTGCGACCCTCCCCTCACTACTACATGGTATGTTCCACGCCGTAGACACCTCAGAACATTTCGCTCGTGAACGCAAAATGTTTGAAATTAAATATATCTCGATATTGAATGTGTGCGAGCTGAAACAAGAAAATGTGAACAATCAGTGTGAGATATTTACGTTTTATAGCTGAAGTTTGAACAGGGAAGTATAAACTTTAAAACTTTGTGAGTCCTCCTCCAGCTACACCAACTCCACGACCCTATCCCGAATACATCAAACTTCCCGACTTTCACTACCTACCTACCAAGTACGAAAACACGTACGAGTGGCCGCAAACCTGATGATTATCAGCCTTGAGCTCAAATAAAACAGATATTTCAAGAAGGTAAGCTTAAAGCAGGGGATAAAAGGCAATCAAAGAGTTTTCTGAAAAATACATTGTTTCAGAAACGCTTGTTGCAGATTATATTGAGCATCTAACTGACATTGAAATGAGAAAAGATAAGCAGCCAACAGATAATGACAGGAAGCATGCAGAAAGAAAGCAACAGGCCGGAATACAATGACGTGGACCGGGAAGATCTCTATCACTGAAACCAGTTGTCACCCCTTAAGTGTAGGTGAACTTGAACTTTGTATTAATCACCACAATATTGCATTTAAAGGAAAGAAACATTAGAAAGTGAGGGTGTGAAGGCACATATTGGCAGCAAGATTTTGACTTCTATTATGCAGGACAGTCAGAACAACATTCAGCCAGATTCTGACTCAAATTCAGAGTTTGACAGTGACAGTGACAGGGTAGAGCGCATGGTGGGACCTACTAGTAACTCTTCAGAACTAAATTAGTCAGGAGATCAAGCAGCGGATAGTCAACAGGAGCAAGAAGCTGAAGAAACGATACCTAGTACGTCTAGTACGTCTCGATACGGACAGCAAAGGACACGAGTTCGCCGAGAAAACTGTGCCATGGGATAATATACATGTAGATATATAACCTAGAACCTGTAATAAAACACCTAATAAAATCAAAGTAGGGGAAAAGAAGAACTTTATCTGTAAGAAAAATGGACAGCAACATCACAAAAATCTCATTAAAAAATTCTGGAAAAGGTGTCTGATCCTCCCCTCTAATAGCTTACAAAGAGGTATGACACTCTCCTTTTTGGCGTTAACATTCACTAATGACCCTCCCCTTTGAGGCTCCAGTCCTCCCCACCCCCAAGAAAAAACATACATTGCCTTGCAAAACATGTCGCTCTAGACATTGCTGATCCTAGCAGTATACAGGACGCGTGTCATGCAGGAACTCAGATTGTTTTCTTTGTCTCACGCTCGTGACAAGACGAAAAAACATCTTTTTCTACCAAGTTAGGGCTTGTTAGTGTTTTTTTTGTCATAACACAAAGCGTGAGACCATATTCCAGTTTTGTTCCCAGTTAAAAAGAGGCAATGCATCTAAGAACTAAAGTTAACTTTCGATGTCAGTCAAATGGGGCAACGAGATCCTTTTGATTAACAGAATCGCTGTTAAGATTGTTCTTCCTTACCTCAGATGCAGACCTCTCGTCACAAATACTACTCTAAATACTTTCTAAAGTTTCTCGCCGTTACTTTTGCTCAAGTCTATATAGAATAGCTTGGTTTACCTCGTTCGTGTTTATTCCTTTGACTCCCATTATGTTTAACCAGGTTATTCAAGCACTTATATCGTGCGCTTGGACAACTTGAACAACCTCTCTATCGTAATGATGACAGTCAATTTTTTAACCAGGAATTATACTCTTTTATTATCTATTAGGTTTCTGAAGGTGACAAACCTTCAATATTCCCGCCTCTTGATAGCCTGTCCAATTTGTTCCATCCCTAGATGACTGAAGTGTGTACTTCCTTACCCACTCGTCTCCTTGGGAGTTCCCCTGAGTTGAAACAGCACAGATGATATAAAGCTTTTCAAAGTCAACCTGTAGATATGGCTGCCTATCATTTGTTGCAGCACACCATGATGATCCTCCATTGTAGTTCAATCGACCATTCTTAGCAGGTGTGTTTGCATTTAGTGCAGAGGACGAACTGAAATCTCTATCCAGGGTGTATCCATTGCCTATTCCTACGTCGATGTACTGACATCCTGGAACTGCAAATAAAGAAGCATTATTCAACCTTTATCCAAATCCTGATACAGTTAAACCCCTTTGCCTATTAAGCTGAATGTTGAAAGTTACTTATCAGATGAATTCATCGATAACAAAAGAGGATGAGGCATCTTCTTTTGTCAAGAGTAATACGGATACAAGGATAACTTGGTTCAAAACTTATCTATTCTGTCAATGTCGTATTGATCAGTTGCAAGACTAACATTTTGAAAATTTCTAGAGAGCCATTCGCAGTGGACCAGTCGCCTTTAATCAGCTTTTCCGTTGAAGCACGATTGATATAAACCTTTAGGAGCTTAAAATGAGAAGTTCATGTAAATATGCTAAAGGAAAGTCGATTTGGAGCACGCAAGATGCGTAAGATTTTCTGGAGGCGCAGCCGAGTGCAACTGTAGCTTCTTAAAACTCGTGCCGGCTTCATATCCCGACCTCCCGCGTGCTTTTTACATCGATGAACACACGCTGACGCATGAGCTTGTTGTTAATTTGAGAATGTACTACACTGTGTTTAATGATTATCTCGGCCACACCCAGGAACCTGTTTCCTGATACCGGAAAAGTAATCATATTTTAGTTATTATTGCATTATGAACTCACATTTTTGTTTGAAAATCTCAACCCTAAGGCAGGTCCTTCTATGACTCTGGATTGGATAAAATCGAAAGTATCTTGCATACACTGGCAGTGGTAACTTGTGCTGAGCGATTGAAGGACCGTAACCTATACTCTGAAATTCCTTTGAAACATTAACGTAATAAATGGAACATAAGTTTTTTTGAAAGGAAAAAATAGTTCCAAAAATACTTGTTTCCAAACGCGAAAGAACGGAAAAAAATACAACGTCAATAGTGCTTTTTTGCGAGCTATAAAGTATCATACTTAATACAAATCGCTTTCCTGTGACCATTACCTGATTGTTTAAATAATATCTCCCAAGCTATGTAAGTTTAATTCGTTGTTTTTGTAATTTGTGTGTTGTTTTTTGCGTGGGTGTGGGTTTGTGTATGAGCCTGTATAAAAGAAATAAATTTTGTATTTTGCAATCCCCCTTGATAAGCCTAAGTGACTTTGAGGAAAGCAAAGAAAAATATGTTTAAACAATAACAATAAAAAATAAAAACAGAACAAGATAAACAAGGTGGAAAGAACAGTTTTTTTTTCAAAATTTTCCCCACCACCAAATTGAAATAAAAAACTTTCTTTGATGGATTACAATGAAATTTTTACCATTTCTTCACCACTTTCATCCAGGTAGGTTTCCCAGTTTAATTCATCTAAGGAATAGGACAGTTTGAAAGCTTTAATCCACAGGCGACTTGTTCCTCTTTCTCCATCGATAACAAGACCGCATGCTTGAATTATTTCTCCGATGTCAACTTGAAGCCATTCATTGTTACTGTCAGTCTTATGCGAACACCAACCACCGCCTCTGTAACCGTTGAGTCGACCATAGGCCGCCCGGTACAGACCGTAGTGATTAGAAGATGATGTCATCCGATTATCAGTGATTATTCTGGGATCAGCAACACCAACAGGATTCTTAAAGCAATCTGTAAAAATTGATCTGTCATGATGATTGAATTCACGCTCAACCAGACAACAAGAGAATATTGAATGCTCTCATTTTTAAACAGGAATTGTAAGGAATAAAATAATGAGTTTTAGCAGTTCGTAAAGAATTAACTACGGTAGAAAGTCATTTTTCCATTTACCGTTGGTCTTTGCCCGTAAAGACAGAGAAATATTTTGTGAAAATTGATGGCAAAAAGCAACTTTCTCGGTTAAACAGTTGAACAGCGCTTGTTTTTGCTTTACTTTTGTTTAAAGTACAGAACCACATGTTTTTACATACCTAGCGACGCGCCTGAAACGTGAGGATATTTAGTACTCTGTGAGAAAAATGATAGAAATCAAACATTAGCAGATGTGAACTGACAACATCAAAATGCGAAGACCCTCCAGCCAGAAGTTATGCTAGAGAAATCAAAAGTTTTTCTCAAGAAACAGAACTGGCTTCTTAATGAGGACTTTTTTAAACCTGATTACCTGTACTTACACATTATATTCCGTATTTTGAATTATTTATTGCAATATAGGTAGAATTAATAGGAATACTCACTAAGAACACCAGGAGCATTAACTGATGAAAAAATAAGGCCATGATCTCTCCAACTTGGAAAACCTGATCAGAACAAATGTTAAAACTAATGTCAGTACCTAAAAGGAAAAAAAAAACAACAGGAACTTTGAAGATAGTTGAAAGGAAGTAGCAGTGATTTAAATACGATTACGTGCTTGGCTTGGAGTAAGTTGATGATCCGATATTTCAAACTGCTCTGAAGCCTCTTCAAAGTACTTGACTGCTGAGGGCAATTATTTCAGGATAGTTCGTAAAAGGAGTGATTGCGACTTATAAAACATCGTGAAGTTTTAAGACATTGATTCACAACAATATTCTACGAAAATGCTGTGTTGTCAAGCGCAGTAACTCTAGGCTAGAATTCCATTGCTCCCTCGAGTCCGGTATTTGCCCTTCACGAGAAGAGGGGCTCATTTTTCGAACAGCGGCTGGTTATTGAGACCACGCAACTCTTGATAATAACAAGCAACACAGTAGCCTACACAGGTGCTAACTTTGTAATGACAAGTGTGTGTGCTTTCAGTCGGTCAGAGCCAAGTTGACTTATGGGAGATGTTAATAACCACGTAAGCCAGTAAGTCACGGTGTATTAAAAGAGTATAAATTTTTAGATGAAGCTCATAACAAAATGCAAAATCAGCAGGATACCTTCCATTAAATCAGCCCTGAGTTAAAAAAATCTCAAGTTTTCCTCTTTCTCCTTTTTTCCTTTGGTAGATTTTTTATGAACATTTCAATTTAGTTTTTGCATGTTTCACATGACATTAATCATTTCTTCCGGGCTGACGTTGTCGCGCGGTCAGCCAAAATTGATCTGCTTCCGCGTGCGCCGATGTTTGACCTCTACCTTAATACATCTAAACCAAGGGGCCCTTTGTTTGACGCTACCATCACGTAACCACGTCAATCATGAATATAACCACGTTTTGTAATATCAATAACAGATATAAAGAGAGAATGATGAAATTTTGTAAAATTTTCATTTTACGGGCTAATGGCCGTCAAGTGCGTGATGTTAGAACACTTTGAAAGTTTGACAGTGCTAAGAGATTCTCCTTTTCTTCACAAGTTTCACAATTATTTAAACACAAGAGTAATCTTAAAACTCGCTGTTTAATGCCATTGGTATGAAATCATAATAAAAAAATTACACCCCGCCCTCGTCATTTTCTGTTTCTAGTTACACCACGACCATCGTTTTATGATTTACAAGGTCATAGTTGAAGTCATGCAAATAGTCTATACAGGGCTGCTGATAAGTTATGAATAAATGGGTTAAGTTTCTAAAGAAAATGTGGTGCTGCTTCGTTGGGGAAGCGCAATAAGATAAGTTGATTGTTATTAACTAAGTTCATAGTGTAAATTGGCCCCCGGAAAGATTTTTAAAGCTGACGGTTCGAGCGTTAGCCCTTCGCCATTCGCTCGGCAGATTTCTACTATCGAAGGAATGTTTGATACTTCAGACTGATTTTGGGAGAATTTCCGGCCACCCTTGAAGAGGAGGAAGACGAAGCCCATTTCTTACACGTGGTCAAAATTAATTTTTGGATACCTTACCAACGACAATTGAAAGTATCTGGATTTGTAGCACATATCGAAACATGCTTCTTTAGACAGCTATTTAAATAGTGTTTGTGCAATCATTAAAATGTACCTGTGTTGTATTTAGTACTATAGCAACAAGTACTTGCATAAACATAAGTAATATAGTGTATGACTACTGAATGGTGTAAAGATTCTGTAATTAAGTAAGATGATTGTACTAAGTTAGTTGGTAGATGATCGTTAAATAAAAACCGGGTAAAGAAAGCAATGGAAAAGTGAGTGTCTCCTGACTGGCCACTAAATAACATAGAGTACTTTTCCCGTGGGAAATTTGTTCCAATAGATAAGGTATGCAGTCGACGTGAAATTATGCCTTAATGAAGGAGAGGGAAAGTTTTACGCGTCTGGCGTAAGGTGTCTGAAGTTTCTTGTGAGCTGATGTTATTCTAAGATTGCGTACACGAGATGTTGGAAGTAGAGTGTACCGGTACTAGAGAATGTTTTACAGTTGTTTTTTTTCAAACACGGTTTAAATTTGTTTTCTTCGTGGGAGCTGTTTAAACCGATATTGGTCGGCTTCAAGTTTAGCACATTAAAATACAAGTTACTAACCACTTGAATCCTAAGCAAAATTCACTTATTTCTGATTTTCATTCAGCTAAACTTAGCTTAACTAAACACGTTTTGCTGGTGTCAATCATAGGTAAGTTTCTCCTAACTTACGTTTGTATTCCCATATAACCTGAAATAGTGACAAAAGTTGCGTGACTACTAATAGGAATAAAAGGGTCACAAGGCCCTCAGTTATTAATGACAAAGTATTGTTTTATGACGATCGAAAAATTACGATTTCTGCACCTGTCATCTTGAGCAGGCTACTATTACCAGCCGCAGTTTGAGAATTGAGCCCGCGCTCCACCTCCGATTAGACGTTGCTCCTTCTCGTGAGGATCGAAGACTGTGCGAGATGAAAAAGGCGAAATCGAACTTGAATACTTTTCTTTCGCCTCATAGACCATTTGCCAAAAAGTCACATGGATAGTGTTATTAAATCACGAATGAGGAGATTTTCTCATTTTTTCCACGTGCATACGAAGCTGGAAAGAACAATCTCTCGGGGACCAAATTGGGACCATCACAGGAAAACACAAATGATTTAGATATTCAACTTTAGGAAATTACAAAACATAACTCAGGGATGCCTAGCGAGTGACTCATAGAGACAAAAAATAGAGTACACAAGAGAGAGGGAGGGGTACGCCATGTTACACTTAGAGCACTTTTTCTCCAATTAAAGAGGCAAACGGGGAGGGGAGGGGGGGTGGACTGGACTGGTCTGGTTTATTATTATCACATCGCAGTAAAATACTGAATTGCGTAATTATTTACAAGCTACTAATATACAATTATAAATATAATGGTTTAAAGTTCTATTAAAAGGGGGTGTTTCGAACAATACTCAAACACTGCAAACCATTCGTGCCACAGCCTTCAAGTCCTGGAAATAAAGTATATTATTTTTTTTGAGAGGGCACGGTAACGAATCTTGCAATCTGATTGGTTCTTTACCCGGTTAGTATTTTTCTATCTCTGCCCACGGGCCACGGTAACGTTTTCGTGAGTCGCCAAGTACATCCCAACTTTTGTTGCCATTTTTCGTAAATACAGAGCTCGTGTTTCCGGCTGGGCAGTATTTTTAAGCAAACACGTCGGTCACTACCTCAAGCCGATGAATAACTTATGAATCCTCTCTTTTCTCTCTCTCAAATGACTTTGGTTGACAGAAAAATATTGGTTTCAGAATGAATTTGTATAAACAATAGTGTCATTACGTTGCGAGAGCGAGCGAGCGAGCGAAGTTTTAATTTAAGTTCTACAACAAATATACGCTCTCGGTGAGTCTTTCTAAGTCCGTTCAATTTGAACATTTGTACCGTAAATTGTACAAGAGAAACTGAAGGAATTTTTTGAGAAAAGGCCGCATTAAATCCCCTTGTATCTCGTTGGAGTGTGCCATTCGTTACATTATGTAACAATACATTGTTTCAGAAACGCTTGTTGCAGGTTATATTGAGCATCTAACTGACATTGAAATGAGGAAAGATAAGCAACCAACAGATAATGACAGGAAGCATGCAGAAAGAAAGCAACCGGAATACAATGACATTGACTGACAAGATCTCTATCACTGAAACCAGTTGTCACCCCTAAGTGTAGGTGAACTTGAACTTTGTATTAATCACCACAATATTACATTTAAAGGAAAGAAACATTAGAAAGTGAGGGTGTTGAAGGCACATATTGGCAGCAAGATTTTGACTTCTATTGAGCAGGACAGTCAGAACAACAGTCAGCCTGCCTCTGACTTAAATTCAGAGTCTGACAGTGACTAAAGACTAAACGACTCAGGAGATCAAGTAGCGGATAGTCAACAGGAGCAAGAAGCTGAAGAAACGGTGCCTGAGTTTAGTACGTTTCGATACGGACAGCAAAGGACACGAGTCCTCCGAGAAATATATGTGCTATGGCATAATATACCTATAGAAATGTAACCTAGAACCTATAATAAAACACCAGACTAAATCAAAGTAGGGGAAAAGAAAAACTTAATCTGTAAGAAAAATGGAAAGCAACATCACAAAAATTCTGGAAAAGGTGTGTGATCCTCCCTTTAATAGCTTACAAAGAGGTATGACATCCCCTTTTGGTGCTCACTTTCACTGGTGATCCTCCCCTCTGAGGCCCCAGCCCTCCCCACCTTCAAGAAAAACGTACGTTTCCTTACAAAACATGTCGCTACAGACATTGCTGATCCTAGCAGTATGCAGGACGCGTGTCATATATTAACTCAGATTTTCTTTTTGTCGCACGCACGTGACAAGACGAAAAAACATCTTTTTTCTGCCAAGTTAGGGCTTGTTAGTTTTTTTTTCATAAAGCAAAGCGTGAGACCATATTTCAGTTTCATTCTGAGTTAAAAGATGCAATGCATCTAAGAACTAAAAGCCAGCTTTCGATGTCAGTCAAATATGGCAGTGAGATCCTTTTGATTGACAGAATCGCTGTTAAGATCGTTTTTCCTTATCTCAGATGCAGACCTCTCATCACAAATACTACTCTAAATAAGTTCTAAAGTTTCTCGTCTTTACTTTTGCTCAAGTCTATATAGAATAGCTTGGTTTACCTTGCTTGTGTTTTTTTTCCTTTGACTCCCAGTATGTTTAATTTGTTTTTTCAAGCACTTATATCGTGCGCTTGAATAACTTGAACAACCTCTCTGTCGTAATAATGACAGTAAATGTTTTAACCAGGAATTATACTCTTTTATTATTTATTACATTTCCCGCCTCTTGATAGTTTGTCCAAGTTGCTTCATCCCTAGATGACTGAAGTGTGTACTTCCTTACCCACTCGTCCCCTTGGGAGTTCCCTGAGTTGACACAGCACAGATGATATAAAGCTTTTCAAAGTCAACCTGTAGATATGCCTGCCTATCATTTGTTGCGGCACACCATGATGATCCTCCATTGCAGTTCAAGCGACCAATCTTAGCAGGTGTGTTTGAATTTAGTACAGAGGACGAACTGAAATCTCTATCCAGGGTGTATCCATTGCCTAATCCTAGGTCGATGTACTGACATCCTGGAACCACAAATAAAGAAGCATTATTCAACCTTTATCTAAATACTGATACAGTAAAACCCCTTTGCCTATTAATTTGACTGATGAAAGTTACTTATCAGATGAATCGATTAATAGCAAAAGATGATGAGGCATCTTCTTTTGTCAAGAGTAATACGGATATACGGATAACTTAGTTCAAAACTTATCCATTCAGTCAATTTCGTTTTGATCAGTTTCAAGACTAACATTTTGACTTTAATTTCTATTAAGTGTCTATTTCTGGAGAGCCCTTTTAAGTGGGCCAGTCGCCTTCAGTTAAATCAGCTTTTCCGTTGAATCACAATTGATATAGACCTTTCGGGACCTTCAATAAGAAGTACATAAAAATATGGTAAATGAAAGTCGATTTGGAGAGCACGAAAGATGCGTAAGAGTTTTTTGGAGGCGCAGCCGAGAACTGGTACTCTAGCTTTTTGCGTACTTGCGGTCATATCCCGATATCCCGCATGCTTCATACATCGTTGAACGCACGCTGACGTATGAAATTGTTGTTAATTTGAGATTAAAACTACTCTGACGCCTCTTCAATGTACTTGTAAATGCTGACTGCAGAAGTGGCGTTTTATGAGGAATGTTAGGACAGCTTTCTGAGAGCAAATAATTCAGGATAGCTCGTTCCTCTTTCTCCTTTTTTCCTTTCGGTAGACGTTTCAATTTAGTTTTTGCATGTTTCACATGACATTAATCATTTCTTCCGGGATGAAATTGTCACGCGGTCAGCCAAAATTGATCTGCTTCCGCATGTGCCGATGTTTGACTCTGCCTTAATACATCTAAACCAAGGGGCCCTTTGACGCTACCATCACGTAACCACGTCAATCATGAATATAACCACGTTTTGTAATATCAATAACAGATATAAAGAGAGAATGATGAAATTTGTAAAAATTTTCATTTTACAGGCTAATGGCCGTCAAGTGCGTGATGTTAGAACACTTTGAAAGTTTGACAGTTCTAAGAGATTATCCTTTTCTTCACAAGTTTCACAATTATTTAAACACAAGAGTAATCTTAAAACTCGCTGTTTAACGCCATTGGTACGATATCAAAAAAAATTTCACCCCGCCCTCGTCATTTTCTGTTTCTAGTTACACCACGACCATCGTTTTTATGATTTACAAGGTCATAGTTAAAGTCATGCAAGTAGTCTATACAGGGCTGCTGACAAGTTATGAATAAATGGGTTGAGTTTCTAAAGAAAATGTGGTGCTGCTTCATTGGGGAAGTGCAATAAGATAAGTTGATTTTTATTAACTAAGTCGATAGTGTAAATTGGCCCCCCGTAAAGTTTTTTAAAGCTGACGGTCGAGCGTTAGCCCTTCGCCATTCGCTCGGCAGATTTCTTCTATCGAAGGAATGTTTGATACTTCAGACTGATTTTGGGAGAATTTCCGGCCACCCTTGAAGAGGAGGAAGACGTAGCCCATTTCTAACACGTGGTCAAAATTAATTTTTGGATATCTTACTGACGACAATTGAAAGTATCTGGATTTGTAGCACATATCGAAACATGCTTCTTTAGACAGCTATTTAAATAGTGTTTGTGCAATCATTAAAATGTACCTGTGGTGTATTTAGTACTATAGCAACAAGTACTTGCATCAACATAAGTGATATAGTGTATGACTACTGAATGGTGTAAAGATACTGTAATTAAGTAAGATGATTGTACTAAGTTATTTGGTAGATGATCGTTAAGTAAAGACAGGATAAAGAAAGCAATGGAAAAGTGAGTGTCTCCGAACTGGCCACTAAATAATATACAGTACCTTCCCTGTTCGAAACTTTTTCCAATAAGATAAGGTATGCAGTCGACGTGAAATTATGCCTTAATGAAGGAGAGGGAAAGTTTTACGCGTCTGGCGTAAGGTGTCTGAAGTTTCTTGTGAGCTGATGTTATTCTAAGATTGCGTACACGAGATGTTGGAAGTAGAGTGTACCGGTACTAGAGAATGTTTTACAGCTGTTTTGTCAAACACGGTTAAATTTGTTTTCTTCGTGGGAGCTGTTTAAACCGATATTGGTCGGCTTTAAATTTAGCACATTAAAAATACAAGTTACCAACCACTTGAATCCTAAGCAAAATTCACTTTTTTCGTTCTCTATTTCTGATTTTCATTCAGCTAAACTTAGCTTAACTAAACACGTTTTGCTGGTGTCAATCATAGGTAAGTTTCTCCTTTCTTACATTTGTATTCCCATATCACCTGAAATTGTGTCAAGAAGATGTGTGAATACTTATAGGAATAAAAAGGGTCACAAGGCCTTCAGTTATTAAAGACAAAGCATTTTTTTTTATGACGATCGAAAAATTAGGATTACTGCATCTGTCATTTTGAGCAGGCTATTATTACGAGCCGCTGTTTGAGAATTGAGCCCGCGCCCCACCTCCGATAAGACGTTACTCCTTCTCGTGAGAATCGAAGGCTGTGCGAGAGGAAAAAGGCGAAATCGAACTTGAATACTTTTCTTTTCTCTTCTTTTCTTTGCTAAAAGGTCACATCGAAAGTGTAATTAAATCACGAATGACGAGGTTTTCTCATTTTTTCCACGTGCATACGAAGCTGAAAAGAACAATATTTCGGGGACCAAATTGGGACCATCACAGGAAAACACAAAGGATTTAGATATTTAAGTTTAGGCAATTACAAAACATAACTCAGGGATGGTTAGCGAGTGACTCATTGAGACAAAGATAGAGTACACAGGGGAAGGAGGGTAAGTCATGTTACACTCAGAGCACTTTTTCTCCAATTAAAGAGGCAAACGGGGAGGGCTGTTTTGTACAATACACAAACACTGCAAACCATTCGTGCCACAGCCTTCAAGTCCTGGAATTAAAGTATATTCTTAATATTACAACTGTTATGTAAGATACGAAATTATGTTAGGTACGAAACAAGAGATTATAATCTCTTGGTAGGAAATCAAAGCTTCTGTTGTTTTAAAGCTGCCTTTCGGGGACTTCATCCTTTATTAACAACTTTTCTTCCTTGCTCATCAATGATGCAATTTTTGAGAACATTTTATATTACTATCGATTATAATTATTTTCTATCACTGTTACTATAGATTCCTTAAAATGTTGTCCATCTTAACACTAATCAGGCATGTGGTTGGTCAGTTTCGGGTGTCGTCTCAGTGTTAGAGGCAACGCTTTCATAGTCTTCATTCAGATCAAAGTAAGGAGTGTCCCTCGTCATCATTTCTTCTATTCTTGTTATCAGCTGTTCAAATGATGGTCTCTCTTCTGGGTCTACCCTCCAACAGTCTAACATTAACTCGTATCTGATAAGATATAAAGTATTCTGGTGTCAACGGGGACATTGGCGCTATGTGGAAGTCATGGTCTTCAGTGATTACTGTTGGACCAGATACTGACGACCAAGCACAGGAAGGAGAATGCAGACATGATAAAGTTCACCTCGAGCTTTAAAACAAATTACAATTTAAAGGCGTCTTCACCAAATACGCTTAATAATTGTTTTGAAAACCACATCTTGTTGAATATTCTGGCCATCTCGATGTTACAATGGCAAAATGTTCTTGAAAAAAAGACTTGGTACTTTTTCTTTTCTTTTATTGTTAGCTTGCTTGATAAGTATACAATGTGATTCACTGAAATAACTATCCCTGAAATCAATGTTTTCGTGAGGCCCTTGTTTCCATGTAGAGTTTCTCATACTGGTACACTATATTTTCTAGCATTGATCTCAATTCCTCTGTCACAATTGTCAGCCTTTTTTTAAAATTATTCAACTAAGTGGAATTATCTAGATTACTGTTATCATTGATGATAAACTACATATCTCAGCCAGACCTTACCTATAACTTCAAAAGAGATTCGCTCAGTCAAATAGACAAAAAGCAAAACTTCAGTCGAAAAGGTTTAGTTGGTGTTGAATTAAGGTTAATTGCATGGAACAATTGAAGATTATTTGTTAAACTTACAGCTCATCAGAGCAAATGGCTGGTTTTTCCAATCGATATCCTGACTTAAGAAGTCTTAACAACTCTCTGTTGCTTATTCCAGGGTAAGGGATGCCACCTTGGATGCAAGTTAAATCAGAAGAAGAAAAAAAAAGTTACTAGAAAAATTGTTTTTATAGCAACTTCGATAAGTCTTAGACCCCTCGTGAATAAAAGGTTTGAGAAAATGCAGATGTCAAATATCAAATGACATATTTCTTAGCGGCCAGGTCGCTTCTAGCCTTTTTTTCCCCAAAGGAAGGTCCATTTCTCTTTTTTCACAATCCAACGCCTCTCGGATTCGGAGGTTGTTGATTGAATCATTGTTTTTGCCCTCCCTCCCTCTCTCTCACATTTATTTGTAACACAGTCCAGCATAAACGACTGAGAATATGTGAAAGTCATATATTTGAACTTGCGGATAAAGACGTGAATATGAAAGCAATCTTCGCAGTAATGAACATTACTTGAGTAGTAGTGAAAATAGTTCAGCACAAATAGGAAAATTCAGTTAGGCAGCTGAAACGAACCTATAACTGAAAAACATGCGTTATAGGTGAGGCAAAAAGAGGTTGGATACTTTTGCTGTGATGCATCAGGTGTTGTTACTCACCCATTGTGCACAATTCCCAAAGAAGTACACCAAAAGACCAACTACCGGAAAAAGGGACGAAAATAATTAGTTTATGTTATTTTCTAAGCCTGATGACAAATACCGTCAAGTTAATACAGGGGGTAAGTTTCTAAAAAGACTATAATGCTGTGTCGGTCGGAGAGTATAACAGGATAATAAATTATTATCTACTGAGTTGCTAACGTAAATTGACCACCGTTTAGAGTTCAAAAGCTGACGTTGAGAGCGTTAGCCCTTCGTCAAGAGGGATAGTCGAATGGTTAACACTCCAAACGTCAGCTTTTCAATTATTTACGGTGGTAAATTTACGTTATCAACTCAGTTAATAATACTAAAGTATACCGTCAATTAATAGTCTAGTAGGGTGCTTGAACAGAATATTCAGACGATCATGTTCCTGAATTTGACTTCCTGTGGTTGATAAGGCCGATGGGAAAGATGCTCTGGTAAGGAACATGCATTCACATGTGAGAGCAAATTATTGCTTACATTTACATACATTTAACTCAGATTAAAACGTGAAAGACGTATGTCAAGAGACACCCCCCCCTCCCCCTATAAGTGCTATATAAACTTCAAATACTCACACGTCACTTTTAGAAGTGTATACGCCACTGTCTAGTGACTCAGGCGCCATCCATTTGATTGGAAGTTTCCTCGTGTTCTTTACTTCATAAATATCTCCATACGTGTGACGTAACAGGCCAAAGTCAGCAATCTTTACAGCTCTGTCTTCACCAATAAGGATGTTACGCGCGGCCAGATCGCGGTGAACAAATCCCTTACTTGCTAAGTACTCCTATTCAAAAAAGAAACCGAAACACATAAAGTACTTACAAACCATGTGCCGTCTATCCTTTCTTTTCTTTTATGGTTTCCCATTGCGGAAAAGGAGAACATCAGTAAACTTATGGTAGCTCAGTTCTTGCTGTCTGAATAAAACCGGTTGTATAAGGTTAAAATTGCTGAACAAAGTAAATAGATTGTTACGACGGCATGGTTAACTAATTTTTTGATGATTTTGCGATAAGAGAGCTGCTGGTTTTAACGTTATTTCCAGTGTTTAGAATAGAATTGTTTGTGTATCAAGAATCAAACGTTTAGCTAAATTTTTTTGATTTTGCCCCGGTTTATATCAAAGAATTTTTCCTCGAATCTGGGATAATAGGGAAGCACGGTCATTCCTACACTCCTGAAAAGTGTCTGATCGTAAAATTTATTTCACTTAGTTCAATTACCTACCATTCCTCTTGCTATCTGCCATGCAAAACAAAGTACATCTTGAACAGTGAAGTCAACTGCCTTCTCACCAGCTTCACTTGTTTCTTGTTGTCGCTCCATGTTCTCCTGGGGCTGCGGCAAGGAACGGGCACTTTCAAATGAAATGCCGATTGTTCCTTCTTCATCAATCGATGATTTCATTCCCTCTCTCCCTTTATCTTCATTTCCGTTTTCATCCTCTGTCTTCTTGATGTTCAAATCGTCTCCGCTTCCACTACTGGGCCGAACATCAGGGTTAAAATCTTCCAAACCGGTGTTTGCACTTACAGAGGGCAATGCAGTGTTTGCACTTTCAGTGGGCAAAGTGACATCCATGTGATTCAGTCCATTGGACTGTTGGCTCCGTGAATTTTTCTCTCCTTCGAGGCCAGATGGAAAATCAGTTTGGGGAGTTTTGATGCCAAGTACTTCAGTGTCATTCCTTTTATCGTCTGTAAATGGCTGTTCTACCAGAGTCATTAGAACCTCCGACGTGACGCGGACGTCTTGTTTTTCGGAGACTTCCTTGAATTCCTGCACAGTCGTGAGTTTCTCTCCACTATCGTGAAAGCCTTCGTCCTCTGACTTACCAGTTGAGGCAGCTCCATTTGAACTCGCACTACTGTCTGATAAATCGTCCACAGATTCAAAAACAACACCATCAATGCCGTTTTTACATTTTACCTGAAATTAATGAAAGATGATGTTGGACCAATTCCACTTATCGAGAACAAAACAGTTGAAAAAATATGTTAAACCATTTTGAATTGTTAGACCCATCTAAATTCCAAGGCACCAAGTTGTAAAAGCGTTTTGGAAATTCTGTTAACGGAGAAAAACAGTAAAATGTATCATCAGCATCCGCTCACAACCCAAGTAGTGTTTGTACTTGGTATCTCAAGAAGAATTATGATTTAGATCATCTTTCCGACTTTTTTCGGACGGTAATTGTGTTTAGCAATGGATCAGTGATCTTTCCAGTGCACCCTGGTTTTGACGGTGCAAAAAATTTTTACCTGTTGCCTTTTGTTCCTCAGCCACTGCAGAAGATCTCCATGTGGAACATATTCCAGGATTAGCATGATTGGCTCTGATCTGTCCCAGTAACCAATCATACCTAGCACATTGCTGTGAGTACCAACTCGCTGCATAAACGAGATTTCTCTGACAAACTGCTCTTGCCCTTCCTCACCAGCTCTTTCTGAAAGCGGAATATGATAAAACACAGCAAATCTTAGTCCTCGATTTAACTAAATAAAGCTTATATTCGCTAAATGACGATGGAGTGATGCATGTTCACAAACATTTCAGTACGTTGATCAGAATGATATGACAGTGACGGGAGGGTTACCGTTGTAAATTATTTCACAACAACTGGCGACTCACACGCTCGTCTCAATTTTCGTAAACCCTCCTACAATGATTTTGGCAAGATACTTCCTTTTCTAATGACCGGTTGGGAAGTAGAATTTAAGTCATTGACGGACGGATCATTCTGTGTAATTTGGTCTGAACGGTCACGACGATCACAGTCATCGAAAGCATCCGAAGAAAACACCTTTCCAAACAGAGGAATGTTGAAATACGGAAGATCCACGAGGATAGAGACTGGTTTCTCGTGATCAGCCGTGTGAAAGTGTATTTCATCAGTGATTACGGTCGGTACTCGACGTGTTTGACAGAATAAGTTTTCTTGCCCCAAGAAAAGGATTGAATAAAATAGATCCTATAACTGTGAAGTTCTGAGTCACTAACTTTTTCATCGTGATTTCTTCAAAAGGCTCGCATAACCGAAAAAGCGAATATATCGTGCAGTGATTCCTTACCATGTAAGAGTTTTACGGCGACAACTCTTCCTTCTTTAATATGATCCTCTCTTTCTTCTTTGGGCTTGAAAAACACTTCAACCTTCGGCATTTCTTTTAAGATTCCTTTGTGTACTTTACCAAAGGCGCCTCGACCCAGCTCTTCCATAATGGTTACACGTTCCGGGGGAATCTCCTTTAACAGCAGGGGAACGATGTCTGACATCGATCTAATAAAACATTGAAGAGTCTTTTCTCTTTTGTTCATCAAGATTTCACACATACTCGTATGCGAAGCATTGAGGGATATTTAGTTTGTTAGGGGGGAAGGGGTATTATCAAATACATGTTAATAAACGTATGTAAACGATTTCGATCGCATATAGCCTCTACGAATTCCTTAAATAAGATGATACGAGGGAAAGACATTCACTCACGGAGGCAGAAGTTCTCTGGAATATGACAATTAACAGCATTTTACATTTGGGATTGGGTTAGCTAACACATTTCTAGAATAAAACGTTTTCCAACCTTCTTGCTTTGTGGCCTCGAATTTTCCTTTTTTTTTCTCCTTTGTCTGATCATGAAGCAAAGGATTCCAACAGTTAAGAGAATAAATAGCCCACATCCTACAAATACAGCAATGCTGAGGGTTCGTCCGCGAGAAATGTCAGTGACCTGACCAGTTTTTATACGCCATTCTTTTGAGGTGTTACTTTCTCCCAGTTCATTCCAAGCAGTCACTTTAAAAAAGTACTCAGAGTTACAATTGAGCGACGTGAGACTCGTTGAAGTAGAGTCCATGGTAACGTTGATGTGATGCCAGTACTCATCTTCACCTAAAGATTGCACCTCTCTGTAATATATTGTATACATGGTAAGCGGACAGTCGTTGTCTTGTGGAGAACTCCACTTGAGGTTCACATCACATCCAGACATCTGAACTTCTTTGCTTTTTATAATCGGAGGAGACGGTTTACCTGAAGCAATAACGACAAATAATTCATAAAACGGAATGTGCACCCGCAACTGACTTTCATTTGCTGAAAGCAAGGGATTCTTTTAGGTTCTCGTAACTGTGCCCAAATTGCTTGACCTTGAATTAAATCATTACTGTTGGAACTTGATCTATTCAGCGTCAAGTTAACAGTGTGGAATCAGTTGCTACGTGATATATAGGAGTCAAGAAAACATCATTGTAACACGTGTATGAAATTTTGAGTAACAGAAAATAATCCCACGATCTACAACAAAACACGTCAGTGGTTAGTTCTCGTTTAACCGAAGCCGGAATCTCGGAAGGTTTTTTCCCCCTTTAGCCACTTGTCACAAAATAGAATGTTTCGTGACTGTCTCTTAGAGAGAAGTAGAAGCACGTCAGTAAGAGTGATAGTAAACACAAGTCAGCATGTGTACTTTGTTTTTATGTGACTGTTGCTAAAATGATAAGTTTTACAGGAAGCTACGGCGAATTCGACGTTATGGAGTTTGAAGTTTGAACAACAATGATTGACATCATGGTTAAAACATTTTAGATTAACAACATGTACTCAAAAGAACCAATCACAAGCAAGAAGCAATCACAAGTCAGCGTCAGGTCATGCGAATGATCGTTGCGTTCAGACTGAAAGATAAGTTCTCTATCGTTAAGGGAAACCGCTTATACGTTTTCTTGCGGTCTCGAATTTCGAATTTCACCGGCTTGCTTCGCCAAACCATGTACAACGTTGTAAGAAGCAAAACTGTCTACTCTTGTTGTGTACGGTTAACAACTAAATAACGTGTATCCCATTAAATGCAGCCTTTGAAGACTAAGCTAGGAAATCAAACGAAGCCAATGAACTGTTGAAATACTAGTTGACATGATATTTCATTGACAAACTTTTAATTTTTGCGAAATTTTTTACTGAAAATTATTCAGTGTTCTCACCTCCAAACGTTCTCACTCTCCAAAATCGGCCGTGCTTTAATATTGCTGTGAGTGGAGTCTCTGCTGAAGAGTTCCAGGCTGTTACAGCTATTTCATGCTCGTTTTGGCATCCAAGATGAAGATCATAACTTGTTTCATGCCTCGACACGTTTACTGCTTTCCAATGACTTTTGCCCTCTGAAAGTATTTCTCTGTGATATATAGTGAATAAAGAAACAGTACACGGCTTCCAACGGACCACCACAACACTTCCTTTCACTTGGTTAGTCCTGTTGACAATGGCTGGGTACCCTTAGAAAAACGAAATTGAAATGAATATAGAAAAAAAAACAAACAAAACAAAAATAAAACAAGCAAATTAAGGGAGCAGGTAAATCTCGAGTTGAGAGTTATAAGGGATGGGTCAGGAAACGTAATGATGATCGTGAGAAGTAATCTTAAGGAAGAGAATAAATCGGTACAACACAGAGTTCTCCCTACCATCCCCTATGTATTGAGACTCGTGGAATCTGATAACCAACAGTGGAGTTGTAGTTTCAGCTGATAATCGACTCCTATAAGGTTTTTAACGATCACTCGTTCTTTCTACTTGTGCGAGGCCATACTTGTGTAATTGTTTTCTTTTTTGTTTTTCTTTGTTTTTTAATTTATACAATGTAATAAGTGTCGAATAATTGTGGAAAAAACGTGGTTGGTATGACGCGGCGTTTCTCGTTGGCTAAGAGACTCGTCAAATACTTTTCGTAAATTTCATGGGGACTCGTCGAGCATCGCGCTCAAAGTCCCGAGCGCAAAGTCAAAATGTTAGCAGCCTGGCCCTCTATCACAGAAGGATTCCCAACTTTGCCAACAATTTCTACATGATTTTAGGAAAAGTATAGATAGAGAAATACTACTGCGATACCTGTGATGGATTTCACTTGCCAGGACTCTGAGAAATCACTTGTTCCCACGTCATTCCATGCAGACACTTTGAATTCATAATCTGTGCCACATTCAAGTGGGAGACTACTGCAGCTCAGCTCATTTGCATCCGAAGATGTATTGATACGATGCCAAGCGCTTTCTTCATTTCGTGATTTGATAGCTTTGTAGTACACTGAGAACATACTCACTGGGCAGCCATTGGCATTGGGAGAATTCCACTTTATGGAAGAGTTGTGAAATATTTCCTTCTCTTTGTTTTTAATGACGGGGTGAACAGGAGAAGCTGTGAAGAACGCTACCACGGAGTTAAGACAACATATATTACAATCTCAAGACATTTTCATTACGCGTTTTGTATTTTATACTTTTAACCTGATGATTTTCTTAAGTTTTCGAGCTTAATTGTGTCACATGCGGCTACGGTGACATACTGAATTGGAGCTTTATTAATTTACTTGTGAAAAAGTTGCTCATCGAATATAAATTGTCCAATCAGCAGCTAAGATACTGGGCTGGCTGACGCAAGGTTTGAACAATGGAGCAGTGCAAAGTACTTTTCTCCCGCCTTGCCCCAGATCCCTGTCGTCCACCTTACGTTATCGTGTTCACGTTCAAGGGAGTAAAATTTCTCTTTCCGTGAGGGAAAATGACTTTCTACACGCTCACTTAATGAAATATGAGGTGATTTCACCCAAGCAGCATGGCACAATCTCATACGGAGTAATTCATTTTTTTATGAAAAAAGGTCACGATTTTGTGGAGTTAAGGTAACGCATTTGATCTACTTCTTGCCCTCTTTAAAAACTATTTTTTTAGAACATTTACACTTTAATTCCTTTTTAAAAGAAAAGTTGTCATACTCTGATTCTTAGATATCAATAAACATAAATCTGAATAGTTAATGTTGTATAACATTTGATGGGTCTGGTCCTTTATCATAGTGTGTTCATTCAAAAATACTACATCCAAAAAAGATCAAAATCAAACACTGACGCACCTGCAGGTGTTTTTGTTCCATACACTTCCACTCTGAGAACTTTGTGAATATAATAGTCAACTGGCTGGAACCGAACGATCCGAGCCCTTGTCACTTCTACCAGAAATTGTTTCACTACTTCATGCTGGCTGCCACTACCGCCGCTGAAAATCTATAGCAAAATTTTATTAGAAATTAACTGAAACTCAGTTTTCCTTCTCGAACTAGGATCAAAGATTCATTGACTCATATCAAAATTTAGCTCTCCCTCTCTCCCATAACCTACTGCAAATCTGATTTGATTCTTGTTCGTTGAGAGTAAGACAATTTACAAACTTGATCCAATTGATATCACCTTTAGGTCACTTGTAAAAACAGTTTTCACAATAAAGAAATGTAACCGTACACAAATCGATACACTGAATGAAGTAATTTTCGTTATTACCCCTCCACTGGGAGACTTGAGGCCATCTTACTCAGGCAACTATAGAACATCACTATAACGAGTTTACTATTTTTCAAACCTTTTCTGAGTTGTTCTCTTTATAGGTGATCCAATTCCTTAGGAACAAATGCAGCTTATAGCTTCTGGTCCACTGCTCTCGAAGTGGATGTCCTTGAGTAGCTACAGCGCAAATAAAGAACACATCTCCCAGCTCAACTTCCAGGTAGTCGTTAGTATTGTTGTTACTGCTAGGTAACCAGGCTCCTAAAGTATTCCTGAGGCGTGCTTTATACGGTTCATTGTTCGCCAGAAACGATGAGGCTGTAAAACGTTTGTCCGAGTGTATGTTGGAGTTGGCCAAATTAATTGCCTGTGTCTGACATGCTTCAAAAGGAAAAGAAAACAGATAAGGGGAAACATACTAAATTGGAATCCTTATCAACGGCCGCATCCCCACTAAGAACAGCCACCTTTCTTCCCTTATCTCGCTCTTGAGTTTTGCTGTTGGGAAAAGGCTCCACTGTATTAAGAAGGGATGAGATAAGAGTCAAAAGGATGTTTTTCGCCGTGTTGTAAAATGCTTCGCTTTCCCAAAAAGAACGTTGGACTTAAAGCTGTACTAAACCCTTCCCTATTTTCTCGAACCAGCTTGAAACAGCTGAAATGAAGATCAATGCCATGTGGGGGAATACGAGTTTTGCTGCGTCTCAGGCTTGTGTCAAGACGATTAACATTTTTCTCCATATAGAACGAAATAACTCTTATCAGTGAAAGTGAAAATTAGACAAGTAGTCACGACAGCTGCTTACCATTGCTTGTCCCTCTCTCGGAATAAACCTGCACCTCGCATAAGGACAGTGTTCTGTTAGCGCCTGAATCTTCAATAAAAACAAATTTTCCGACAAGTCTGGGTAGACAATATATGGTAAGTCGTTGAGAAATGTTTAGAAATGTTTTGGAAAGGGGTTTTCCTCCACAAAGCAAGTTTGAACTTCTTCTGTTGTCACTGTCATAACCTGTTGGACATGAACACAGAACACGTTGTTATTTGAAATGCAATCCACTTGGCATTACCTTATTTTTCAAATTTTTCCTCCCCAAGTACCAAGTTCAAATTTATCGGGGATCAGGCATTTCTTTTATTTTTCACTTCTCCGTTAAAAAGACATACAGTAACCGTCAGCAAAACATACATTCTTGGGGCTCCCGTTTTAATGCTACTTATTCCCTGTTTTACAGCTACATCTATGGAGGGCTTTTATAGAGCGCGTTCTCATGACAATAACTCTATGATTACTTAATTTTCTTTCACGATTCCCTGAACCCACCAATCCAGACTTGAAGTCCTTCCATTTGACTTTTGTATGTAACGATGACCTTCGCCACAACCCACGATGCTCCTAAGTCCACTTTCCACCAGGGGTCCTGCTGCGACTGAGTTGTAGCACAGGAATGAATAACTCCATCCACGGCTTTGTCAGCGGTATAATTTGACCTTGTAGAAGACTGAGAAGCAGACTGATACAAGGCAAGATCTAGCAAAAAGAACGGCAACTCACTTTAAGCGCACAGATGTGTAGCGCTGCTTTTAACGGATCAAGGTTAGGAATCTCACAAATAAATCATGCCGCTACACTCAGAGTCTCGAATTGTTTTACATTGTGAAATATCAGAGTCATGCTTGATATTCTGTCCTGCCACCCGGTACCATATTTATTTCTATACGAGGAAAGGTGATGTCAACGGTCACATTGCTGAACATCATCGACTTACGAGCCACACTATTGACTAGGACTTCGTGCAATGTCTAACCTACAGCTCTGACTACTTTTAACGACTGACTTTGGAAAGCTGGTTAACTAACTTGAAACAGACTCAACTACTAACGGCACCATGCAAACGACTTATTCACGGCATTAACATTACAAACGAACCAAGCAGAAAGACCTAACTTTACCAACGGATCGAAACCGACCAATCACGACCGTCTTACGCCATTCGAGCCTTACTGCCAATTACATCACAGAAAAACTGACCAATCAGTTTATAAGACCCGGAGTTAGAACAGGCTAATAGACAGGATCATCCGTTAATGGAAAAGCATTCTTTAAAGTAGAATTTCTGTCTTATTCCGAAGATGCTCACAATTGGGTATTCAACTGTGACTGTCTTCCTACAAAATTCGATTAAATGATCAGGAGTTTTATGACAAAGGAATGAGAGATATGATTCATATTCTGCAATGTTAAATGTAAACTTCCTTACTTGATCTAACTGTGGAGAAAACTTCAACTTCACATAAGACCAACGCTTTCGACAATCCAAGTACCCTGATCCATAAATATCTGCCGTACAGCGTCATATTGCATCGAAAAAACTTTCCCTTTCCTTGAGGGACTCGTAGATCAATGGCGCAAAGACTGTAGGTTAATCCTTCATCTCTAGTTTGATTTCCTTCAAGTAATAGTTCGAGGTAATACGAAAATCAACTTTTTTAAAAAGTCATTCTTCAGTAAGAGCACATAGACGGACACATAGACTGTATACCTTTCGCCAACCGAAGTAGAGGTCTGCGCGCTAATCTGTAATCGGTGGGACGTGGGCTATCCCTAATTTGAGTACTTACCTACCATTATCTCGGCACTGTTTAAATGTTCGCCACAACAGTCTCCAATGAAAACCTCTGAAACGGGCAGCACTTGTTCAAAGTCGACGCCCCAAAACGGAACAGGATCCATTCCTCCTGTGTTTGCACAATAGTTTCTGTTTGTATTCTTGACTCCGTCCACTGCTCTTCTTGCATAGTTAACATTCATAGCAATCAAAAAAATACTTGACTGAAAGGCTGGCTTTTCTAAGGCAAGATTATCTGAAAATACAAGCAGCTTTATTATTTATTTTGTCTGAGTATCGAAAGATGCGTAAAATTGAAAGATGCTAAAATAAGGATATGCTTTTTCTCCCAGATGTCCAGGAAGAGCGTGACATTAGCGTCACATTTAAATTATTTAATTTTTGTGTAAAGAGTGGCTGTTGTCAAGCTGTTACGTAATGTCACTGAATTATGTGAAAAAAACAAAAGATTTTACAATATTATTTGCTATTGGACTTTTGAAGTAGTTGGATTTGCAGTTTTTGCTAACTTTTCGTTCCCCTTCATTGTAACGTACTATTAAAAAAAAAAAAAAACGAGGACTTGGGAGTTTCTCACCGGCAAAGTCTTGCTCGAGCGAGTTCGGGCTGGTATTATTGTAAGGTTTTGTGGACATTTTCAAACAATATAACTTGTATTAGTAAACTCAATAATTATGGGTGAAGTCTGTCCAAATGGTTTTTCAATACCTGTACTATTAAACATGAATGGTTAAACTACCTCCTCAGTCAAAAGAACGAGGTTACCGATCTTTAAATTTTAAGCCAACCAGTGATCTTGTATTATTATTTCTGATTTTTTTAAAAAAGTGCCAGAACCGGTCTTTTGTATTTACTAGTACGGTTTTTACTCAAGGCGCTGTCGTAAGGAAGCTCTTTCATCGTTATAAACGTATGTTGCTTTTTACCTGCTGCCAGTGGTATTCCATATATTTCAACCCTCATACAACAGTTTCCGTAATGTTCTTGAGGAATGAAACGTAAACGCTTAGCAACAAGCTCACTGCATAAAATTTGTTTTATTGTTTCCTTTCGGTTGAAATTTCCTGAGAATACCTGTAGATGCAAGAACATCAAATATCAAACGCTATTTGCGCATTGTAAGCAGACCGCCAAAGGGAAATAAAGAAATTGACTTTATACCTTTACCTAACTCCTGCAAAGTTTCCCTCACCCAAACGAAGGTTACCATCTTTCTTATTCCATTTACAAAGTATTACGCTATCGAAATTGCTGATCTTAGCAGAATGCAGGGCGCGTGTCATATATGAACTTTGTAATAGCCTTGCTCACCATAGAGTCTCTTTAGCTCGGGGGTTAGAGCATCGGAGCGCGGAATCCGAAGGTTTGAGGTTCGATTCCTAATGGTGACTTAGAATGTTTTTTTCGTCCCACACTCGTGACAAGACAAAATAACAACTTTCTCTTTTCTATTAAGGAAAAGTACGTTTTTTCTGGGGGGGACTGGGGAATTTCGGTATTTTTTCCGAAAAAAGTGTTGGCCTTGCCTTACATTTTTATAGAAAAAACTCCTGACCTCCCACCTTTCAGCTAGGTGACTAAAAAAAGTTCGACCCTCCCGTTACTACTACATGGTATATTTCACACAGTAGACACCTAAGAAAATTTAGGTTGTGAACGCAAAATGTTTGAAAATAAACATATCTCGATATTGAATGTGTGCGAGTTGAAACAAGAAATTGCGAACAATCCGCAGTGTGGGATATTTACGTTTTATTGCTGAATTTCGAATATGGAAGTCTAAACTTTAAAACTTTGTAAGTCCTGCTCCAGCTACACCAACTCCAAAACCCTATCCCGATTACATTAAACTTCCCGACATTCACTACATACCAAATACGAAAACACCTACGAGTGGCTGCAAACCTGATGATTATCAGCCTCGAGCTCAAATAAAAAAGATATTTCAAGAGGGTAAGCTAAAAGCAGGGGATAAAAAGGCAATCAAAGAGTTTTCTGAAAAATACATTGTTTCAGAAACGCTTGTTGGACAGATTATATTGAGCATCTAACTAACACTGAAATGAGAAAAGATAGGCAGCCAACAGATAATGACAGGAAGCGCGCAGAAAGAAAGCAACAGGAATACAATGACATTGACTGGGAAGATCTCTATCACTGAAACCAGTTGTCACCCCTAAGTGTAGGTGAACTTGAACTTTATTACTGTATTAATCACCACAATATTGCATTAAAGGAAAGAAATTTTAGAAAGTAAGGGTGGTGAAGGCACATACTGGCAGTAAGATTTTGACTTCTACTGTGCAGGACAGTCAGAACAACATTCAGCCAGCCTCTGACTCAAATTCAGAGTCTGACAGTGACAGTGACAGGGTAGAGTGCATGGATGGATCTAATAGTAACTCTTCAGAACTAAATGACTCAGGAGATCAAGCAGCGGATAGTCAACATGGGCAAGTAGCTGAAGAAACGGTGCCTGAGTTTAGTACGTTTCGATACGTACAGCAAAGGACACGAATCCTGCCAGAAAAATATGTGCCACGGCATAACATACCTATAGAAATGTGACCTAGAACCTGTAATAAAACACCAGACTAAATCAAATTAAGGGAAAAGAAAATCTTAATCTGTAAGAAAAATGGAAAGCAGCATCACAGAAATTCTCTTTAAAAAATTCTGGAAAAGATGTGGGACCCTCCCCTTGAATAGCTTTCAAAGAGGTATCACCCTCCCCTTTTGGTGCTCACTTTCACTAATGATCCTCCCCTCTGAGGCCTCAGCCCTCCCCACCCCCATGAAAAAACGTACGTTCCATTACAAAACATGTCGCTACAGACATTGCTGGTCCTAGCAGTATGTAGGACGCGTGTCATATATTAACTCGATTGTTTTCTTTGTCTCACGCTCGTGACAAGACGAAAAAACATCTTTTTCTACCAAGTTAAGGTTTGTTAGTGTTTTTTTTTCATAACACAAAGCGTGAGACCATATTTCAGTTTCATTCTCGGTAAAAAGATGCAATGCATCTAAGAACTAAGGTAGCTTTCGATGTCAGTCCAATGGGGCAATGAGATCCTTTTGATTAACAGAATCGCTGTTAAGGTCGTTTTTCCTTACCTCAGGTGCAGATCTCTCGTCACAAATTCTCCTCTAAATACGTACTAAAGTTTCTCGCCGTTACTTTTGCTCAAGTCTATATAGAATAGCTTGGTTTACCTTGTTTGTGTTTATTCCTTTGACTACCATTATGTTTAACCAGGTTATTCAAGCACTTATATCGTGCGCTTGGACAACTTGAACAACCTCTCTATCGTAATGATGACAGTCAATTTTTTAACCAGGAATTATACTCTTTTATTATCTATTAGGTTTCTGAAGGTGACAAACCTTCAATATTCCCGCCTCTTGATAGCCTGTCCAATTTGTTCCATCCCTAGATGACTGAAGTGTGTACTTCCTTACCCACTCGTCTCCTTGGGAGTTCCCCTGAGTTGAAACAGCACAGATGATATAAAGCTTTTCAAAGTCAACCTGTAGATATGGCTGCCTATCATTTGTTGCAGCACACCATGATGATCCTCCATTGTAGTTCAATCGACCATCCTTAGCAGGTGTGTTTGCATTTAGTGCAGAGGACGAACTGAAATCTCTATCCAGGGTGTATCCATTGCCTATTCCTACGTCGATGTACTGACATCCTGGAACTGCAAATAAAGAAGCATTATTCAACCTTTATCCAAATCCTGATACAGTTAAACCCCTTTGCCTATTAAGCTGAATGTTGAAAGTTACTTATCAGATGAATTCATCGATAACAAAGAGGATGAGGCATCTTCTTTTTTGTCAAGAGTAATACGGATACAAGGATAACTTGGTTCAAAACTTATCTATTCTGTCAATGTCGTATTGATCAGTTGCAAGACTAACATTTTGAAAATTTCTAGAGAGCCATTCGCAGTGGACCAGTCGCCTTTAATCAGCTTTTCCGTTGAAGCACGATTGATATAAACCTTTAGGAGCTTAAAATGAGAAGTTCATGTAAATATGCTAAAGGAAAGTCGATTTGGAGCACGCAAGATGCGTAAGATTTTCTGGAGGCGCAGCCGAGTGCAACTGTAGCTTCTTAAAACTCGTGCCGGCTTCATATCCCGACCTCCCGCGTGCTTTTTACATCGATGAACACACGCTGACGCATGAGCTTGTTGTTAATTTGAGAATGTACTACACTGTGTTTAATGATTATCTCGGCCACACCCAGGAACCTGTTTCCTGATACCGGAAAAGTAATCATATTTTAGTTATTATTGCATTATGAACTCACATTTTTGTTTGAAAATCTCAACCCTAAGGCAGGTCCTTCTATGACTCTGGATTGGATAAAATCGAAAGTATCTTGCATACACTGGCAGTGGTAACTTGTGCTGAGCGATTGAAGGACCGTAACCTATACTCTGAAATTCCTTTGAAACATTAACGTAATAAATGGAACATAAGTTTTTTTGAAAGGAAAAAATAGTTCCAAAAATACTTGTTTCCAAACGCGAAAGAACGGAAAAAAATACAATGTCAATAGTGCTTTTTTGCGAGCTATAAAGTATCATACTTAATACAAATCGCTTTCCTGTGACCATTACCTGATTGTTTAAATAATATCTCCCAAGCTATGTAAGTTTAATTCGTTGTTTTTGTAATTTGTGTGTTGTTTTTGCGTGGGTGTGGGTTTGTGTATGAGCCTGTATAAAAGAAATAAATTTTGTATTTTTGCAATCCCCCTTGATAAGCCTAAGTGACTTTGAGGAAAGCAAAGAAAAATATGTTTAAACAATAACAATAAAAAATAAAAACAGAACAAGATAAACAAGGTGGAAAGAACAGTTTTTTTTTCAAAATTTTCCCCACCACCAAATTGAAATAAAAAACTTTCTTTGATGGATTACAATGAAATTTTTACCATTTCTTCACCACTTTCATCCAGGTAGGTTTCCCAGTTTAATTCATCTAAGGAATAGGACAGTTTGAAAGCTTTAATCCACAGGCGACTTGTTCCTCTTTCTCCATCGATAACAAGACCGCATGCTTGAATTATTTCTCCGATGTCAACTTGAAGCCATTCATTGTTACTGTCAGTCTTATGCGAACACCAACCACCGCCTCTGTAACCGTTGAGTCGACCATAGGCCGCCCGGTACAGACCGTAGTGATTAGAAGATGATGTCATCCGATTATCAGTGATTATTCTGGGATCAGCAACACCAACAGGATTCTTAAAGCAATCTGTAAAAATTGATCTGTCATGATGATTGAATTCACGCTCAACCAGACAACAAGAGAATATTGAATGCTCTCATTTTTTAAACAGGAATTGTAAGGAATAAAATAATGAGTTTTAGCAGTTCGTAAAGAATTAACTACGGTAGAAAGTCATTTTTCCATTTACCGTTGGTCTTTGCCCGTAAAGACAGAGAAATATTTTGTGAAAATTGATGGCAAAAAGCAACTTTCTCGGTTAAACAGTTGAACAGCGCTTGTTTTTGCTTTACTTTTGTTTAAAGTACAGAACCACATGTTTTTACATACCTAGCGACGCGCCTGAAACGTGAGGATATTTAGTACTCTGTGAGAAAAATGATAGAAATCAAACATTAGCAGATGTGAACTGACAACATCAAAATGCGAAGACCCTCCAGCCAGAAGTTATGCTAGAGAAATCAAAAGTTTTTCTCAAGAAACAGAACTGGCTTCTTAATGAGGACTTTTTTAAACCTGATTACCTGTACTTACACATTATATTCCGTATTTTGAATTATTTATTGCAATATAGGTAGAATTAATAGGAATACTCACTAAGAACACCAGGAGCATTAACTGATGAAAAAATAAGGCCATGATCTCTCCAACTTGGAAAACCTGATCAGAACAAATGTTAAAACTAATGTCAGTACCTAAAAGGGAAAAAAAACAACAGGAACTTTGAAGATAGTTGAAAGGAAGTAGCAGTGATTTAAATACGATTACGTGCTTGGCTTGGAGTAAGTTGATGATCCGATATTTCAAACTGCTCTGAAGCCTCTTCAAAGTACTTGACTGCTGAGGGCAATTATTTCAGGATAGTTCGTAAAAGGAGTGATTGCGACTTATAAAACATCGTGAAGTTTTAAGACATTGATTCACAACAATATTCTACGAAAATGCTGTGTTGTCAAGCGCAGTAACTCTAGGCTAGAATTCCATTGCTCCCTCGAGTCCGGTATTTGCCCTTCACGAGAAGAGGGGCTCATTTTTCGAACAGCGGCTGGTTATTGAGACCACGCAACTCTTGATAATAACAAGCAACACAGTAGCCTACACAGGTGCTAACTTTGTAATGACAAGTGTGTGTGCTTTCAGTCGGTCAGAGCCAAGTTGACTTATGGGAGATGTTAATAACCACGTAAGCCAGTAAGTCACGGTGTATTAAAAGAGTATAAATTTTTAGATGAAGCTCATAACAAAATGCAAAATCAGCAGGATACCTTCCATTAAATCAGCCCTGAGTTAAAAAAATCTCAAGTTTTCCTCTTTCTCCTTTTTTCCTTTGGTAGATTTTTATGAACATTTCAATTTAGTTTTTGCATGTTTCACATGACATTAATCATTTCTTCCGGGCTGACGTTGTCGCGCGGTCAGCCAAAATTGATCTGCTTCCGCGTGCGCCGATGTTTGACCTCTACCTTAATACATCTAAACCAAGGGGCCCTTTGTTTGACGCTACCATCACGTAACCACGTCAATCATGAATATAACCACGTTTTGTAATATCAATAACAGATATAAAGAGAGAATGATGAAATTTGTAAAAATTTTCATTTTACGGGCTAATGGCCGTCAAGTGCGTGATGTTAGAACACTTTGAAAGTTTGACAGTTCTAAGAGATTCTCCTTTTCTTCACAAGTTTCACAATTATTTAAACACAAGAGTAATCTTAAAACTCGCTGTTTAATGCCATTGGTATGAAATCATAATAAAAAAATTACACCCCGCCCTCGTCATTTTCTGTTTCTAGTTACACCACGACCATCGTTTTATGATTTACAAGGTCATAGTTGAAGTCATGCAAATAGTCTATACAGGGCTGCTGATAAGTTATGAATAAATGGGTTAAGTTTCTAAAGAAAATGTGGTGCTGCTTCGTTGGGGAAGCGCAATAAGATAAGTTGATTGTTATTAACTAAGTTCATAGTGTAAATTGGCCCCGGAAAGATTTTTTAAAGCTGACGGTTCGAGCGTTAGCCCTTCGCCATTCGCTCGGCAGATTTCTACTATCGAAGGAATGTTTGATACTTCAGACTGATTTTGGGAGAATTTCCGGCCACCCTTGAAGAGGAGGAAGACGAAGCCCATTTCTTACACGTGGTCAAAATTAATTTTTGGATACCTTACCAACGACAATTGAAAGTATCTGGATTTGTAGCACATATCGAAACATGCTTCTTTAGACAGCTATTTAAATAGTGTTTGTGCAATCATTAAAATGTACCTGTGTTGTATTTAGTACTATAGCAACAAGTACTTGCATAAACATAAGTAATATAGTGTATGACTACTGAATGGTGTAAAGATTCTGTAATTAAGTAAGATGATTGTACTAAGTTAGTTGGTAGATGATCGTTAAATAAAAACCGGGTAAAGAAAGCAATGGAAAAGTGAGTGTCTCCTGACTGGCCACTAAATAACATAGAGTACTTTTCCCGTGGGAAATTTGTTCCAATAGATAAGGTATGCAGTCGACGTGAAATTATGCCTTAATGAAGGAGAGGGAAAGTTTTACGCGTCTGGCGTAAGGTGTCTGAAGTTTCTTGTGAGCTGATGTTATTCTAAGATTGCGTACACGAGATGTTGGAAGTAGAGTGTACCGGTACTAGAGAATGTTTTACAGTTGTTTTTTCAAACACGGTTTAAATTTGTTTTCTTCGTGGGAGCTGTTTAAACCGATATTGGTCGGCTTCAAGTTTAGCACATTAAAAATACAAGTTACTAACCACTTGAATCCTAAGCAAAATTCACTTATTTCTGATTTTCATTCAGCTAAACTTAGCTTAACTAAACACGTTTTGCTGGTGTCAATCATAGGTAAGTTTCTCCTAACTTACGTTTGTATTCCCATATAACCTGAAATAGTGACAAAAAGTTGCGTGACTACTAATAGGAATAAAAGGGTCACAAGGCCCTCAGTTATTAATGACAAAGTATTGTTTTATGACGATCGAAAAATTACGATTTCTGCACCTGTCATCTTGAGCAGGCTACTATTACCAGCCGCAGTTTGAGAATTGAGCCCGCGCTCCACCTCCGATTAGACGTTGCTCCTTCTCGTGAGGATCGAAGACTGTGCGAGATGAAAAAGGCGAAATCGAACTTGAATACTTTTCTTTCGCCTCATAGACCATTTGCCAAAAAGTCACATGGATAGTGTTATTAAATCACGAATGAGGAGATTTTTCTCATTTTTTCCACGTGCATACGAAGCTGGAAAGAACAATCTCTCGGGGACCAAATTGGGACCATCACAGGAAAACACAAATGATTTAGATATTCAACTTTAGGAAATTACAAAACATAACTCAGGGATGCCTAGCGAGTGACTCATAGAGACAAAAATAGAGTACACAAGAGAGAGGGAGGGGTACGCCATGTTACACTTAGAGCACTTTTTCTCCAATTAAAGAGGCAAACGGGGAGGGGAGGGGGGGTGGACTGGACTGGTCTGGTTTATTATTATCACATCGCAGTAAAATACTGAATTGCGTAATTATTTACAAGCTACTAATATACAATTATAAATATAATGGTTTAAAGTTCTATTAAAAGGGGGTGTTTCGAACAATACTCAAACACTGCAAACCATTCGTGCCACAGCCTTCAAGTCCTGGAAATAAAGTATATTATTTTTTTTGAGAGGGCACGGTAACGAATCTTGCAATCTGATTGGTTCTTTACCCGGTTAGTATTTTTCTATCTCTGCCCACGGGCCACGGTAACGTTTTCGTGAGTCGCCAAGTACATCCCAACTTTTGTTGCCATTTTTCGTAAATACAGAGCTCGTGTTTCCGGCTGGGCAGTATTTTTAAGCAAACACGTCGGTCACTACCTCAAGCCGATGAATAACTTATGAATCCCTCTTTTCTCTCTCTCAAATGACTTTGGTTGACAGAAAAATATTGGTTTCAGAATGAATTTGTATAAACAATAGTGTCATTACGTTGCGAGAGCGAGCGAGCGAGCGAAGTTTTAATTTAAGTTCTACAACAAATATACGCTCTCGGTGAGTCTTTCTAAGTCCGTTCAATTTGAACATTTGTACCGTAAATTGTACAAGAGAAACTGAAGGAATTTTTTGAGAAAAGGCCGCATTAAATCCCCTTGTATCTCGTTGGAGTGTGCCATTCGTTACATTATGTAACAATACATTGTTTCAGAAACGCTTGTTGCAGGTTATATTGAGCATCTAACTGACATTGAAATGAGGAAAGATAAGCAACCAACAGATAATGACAGGAAGCATGCAGAAAGAAAGCAACCGGAATACAATGACATTGACTGACAAGATCTCTATCACTGAAACCAGTTGTCACCCCTAAGTGTAGGTGAACTTGAACTTTGTATTAATCACCACAATATTACATTTAAAGGAAAGAAACATTAGAAAGTGAGGGTGTTGAAGGCACATATTGGCAGCAAGATTTTGACTTCTATTGAGCAGGACAGTCAGAACAACAGTCAGCCTGCCTCTGACTTAAATTCAGAGTCTGACAGTGACTAAAGACTAAACGACTCAGGAGATCAAGTAGCGGATAGTCAACAGGAGCAAGAAGCTGAAGAAACGGTGCCTGAGTTTAGTACGTTTCGATACGGACAGCAAAGGACACGAGTCCTCCGAGAAATATATGTGCTATGGCATAATATACCTATAGAAATGTAACCTAGAACCTATAATAAAACACCAGACTAAATCAAAGTAGGGGAAAAGAAAAACTTAATCTGTAAGAAAAATGGAAAGCAACATCACAAAAATTCTGGAAAAGGTGTGTGATCCTCCCCTTTAATAGCTTACAAAGAGGTATGACATCCCCCTTTTGGTGCTCACTTTCACTGGTGATCCTCCCCTCTGAGGCCCCAGCCCTCCCCACCTTCAAGAAAAACGTACGTTTCCTTACAAAACATGTCGCTACAGACATTGCTGATCCTAGCAGTATGCAGGACGCGTGTCATATATTAACTCAGATTTTCTTTGTCGCACGCACGTGACAAGACGAAAAAACATCTTTTTCTGCCAAGTTAGGGCTTGTTAGTGTTTTTTTTTTCATAAAGCAAAGCGTGAGACCATATTTCAGTTTCATTCTGAGTTAAAAAGATGCAATGCATCTAAGAACTAAAGCCAGCTTTCGATGTCAGTCAAATATGGCAGTGAGATCCTTTTGATTGACAGAATCGCTGTTAAGATCGTTTTTCCTTATCTCAGATGCAGACCTCTCATCACAAATACTACTCTAAATAAGTTCTAAAGTTTCTCGTCTTTACTTTTGCTCAAGTCTATATAGAATAGCTTGGTTTACCTTGCTTGTGTTTTTTCCTTTGACTCCCAGTATGTTTAATTTGTTTTTCAAGCACTTATATCGTGCGCTTGAATAACTTGAACAACCTCTCTGTCGTAATAATGACAGTAAATGTTTTAACCAGGAATTATACTCTTTTATTATTTATTACATTTCCCGCCTCTTGATAGTTTGTCCAAGTTGCTTCATCCCTAGATGACTGAAGTGTGTACTTCCTTACCCACTCGTCCCCTTGGGAGTTCCCCTGAGTTGACACAGCACAGATGATATAAAGCTTTTCAAAGTCAACCTGTAGATATGCCTGCCTATCATTTGTTGCGGCACACCATGATGATCCTCCATTGCAGTTCAAGCGACCAATCTTAGCAGGTGTGTTTGAATTTAGTACAGAGGACGAACTGAAATCTCTATCCAGGGTGTATCCATTGCCTAATCCTAGGTCGATGTACTGACATCCTGGAACCACAAATAAAGAAGCATTATTCAACCTTTATCTAAATACTGATACAGTAAAACCCCTTTTCCTATTAATTTGACTGATGAAAGTTACTTATCAGATGAATCGATTAATAGCAAAAGATGATGAGGCATCTTCTTTTGTCAAGAGTAATACGGATATACGGATAACTTAGTTCAAAACTTATCCATTCAGTCAATTTCGTTTTGATCAGTTTCAAGACTAACATTTTGACTTTAATTTCTATTAAGTGTCTATTTCTGGAGAGCCCTTTTAAGTGGGCCAGTCGCCTTCAGTTAAATCAGCTTTTCCGTTGAATCACAATTGATATAGACCTTTCGGGACCTTCAATAAGAAGTACATAAAAATATGGTAAATGAAAGTCGATTTGGAGAGCACGAAAGATGCGTAAGAGTTTTTGGAGGCGCAGCCGAGAACTGGTACTCTAGCTTTTTGCGTACTTGCGGTCATATCCCGATATCCCGCATGCTTCATACATCGTTGAACGCACGCTGACGTATGAAATTGTTGTTAATTTGAGATTAAAACTACTCTGACGCCTCTTCAATGTACTTGTAAATGCTGACTGCAGAAGTGGCGTTTTATGAGGAATGTTAGGACAGCTTTCTGAGAGCAAATAATTCAGGATAGCTCGTTCCTCTTTCTCCTTTTTTCCTTTCGGTAGACGTTTCAATTTAGTTTTTGCATGTTTCACATGACATTAATCATTTCTTCCGGGATGAAATTGTCACGCGGTCAGCCAAAATTGATCTGCTTCCGCATGTGCCGATGTTTGACTCTGCCTTAATACATCTAAACCAAGGGGCCCTTTGACGCTACCATCACGTAACCACGTCAATCATGAATATAACCACGTTTTGTAATATCAATAACAGATATAAAGAGAGAATGATGAAATTTGTAAAATTTTCATTTTACAGGCTAATGGCCGTCAAGTGCGTGATGTTAGAACAATTTGAAAGTTTGACAGTTCTAAGAGATTATCCTTTTCTTCACAAGTTTCACAATTATTTAAACACAAGAGTAATCTTAAAACTCGCTGTTTAACGCCATTGGTACGATATCAAAAAAATTTCACCCCGCCCTCGTCATTTTCTGTTTCTAGTTACACCACGACCATCGTTTTTATGATTTACAAGGTCATAGTTAAAGTCATGCAAGTAGTCTATACAGGGCTGCTGACAAGTTATGAATAAATGGGTTGAGTTTCTAAAGAAAATGTGGTGCTGCTTCATTGGGGAAGTGCAATAAGATAAGTTGATTTTTATTAACTAAGTCGATAGTGTAAATTGGCCCCCCGTAAAGTTTTTTAAAGCTGACGGTCGAGCGTTAGCCCTTCGCCATTCGCTCGGCAGATTTCTTCTATCGAAGGAATGTTTGATACTTCAGACTGATTTTGGGAGAAGTTCCGGCCACCCTTGAAGAGGAGGAAGACGTAGCCCATTTCTAACACGTGGTCAAAATTAATTTTTGGATATCTTACTGACGACAATTGAAAGTATCTGGATTTGTAGCACATATCGAAACATGCTTCTTTAGACAGCTATTTAAATAGTGTTTGTGCAATCATTAAAATGTACCTGTGGTGTATTTAGTACTATAGCAACAAGTACTTGCATCAACATAAGTGATATAGTGTATGACTACTGAATGGTGTAAAGATACTGTAATTAAGTAAGATGATTGTACTAAGTTATTTGGTAGATGATCGTTAAGTAAAGACAGGATAAAGAAAGCAATGGAAAAGTGAGTGTCTCCGAACTGGCCACTAAATAATATACAGTACCTTCCCTGTTCGAAACTTTTTCCAATAAGATAAGGTATGCAGTCGACGTGAAATTATGCCTTAATGAAGGAGAGGGAAAGTTTTACGCGTCTGGCGTAAGGTGTCTGAAGTTTCTTGTGAGCTGATGTTATTCTAAGATTGCGTACACGAGATGTTGGAAGTAGAGTGTACCGGTACTAGAGAATGTTTTACAGCTGTTTTGTCAAACACGGTTAAATTTGTTTTCTTCGTGGGAGCTGTTTAAACCGATATTGGTCGGCTTTAAATTTAGCACATTAAAAATACAAGTTACCAACCACTTGAATCCTAAGCAAAATTCACTTTTTTCGTTCTCTATTTCTGATTTTCATTCAGCTAAACTTAGCTTAACTAAACACGTTTTGCTGGTGTCAATCATAGGTAAGTTTCTCCTTTCTTACATTTGTATTCCCATATCACCTGAAATTGTGTCAAGAAGATGTGTGAATACTTATAGGAATAAAAGGGTCACAAGGCCTTCAGTTATTAAAGACAAAGCATTTTTTTTATGACGATCGAAAAATTAGGATTACTGCATCTGTCATTTTGAGCAGGCTATTATTACGAGCCGCTGTTTGAGAATTGAGCCCGCGCCCCACCTCCGATAAGACGTTACTCCTTCTCGTGAGAATCGAAGGCTGTGCGAGAGGAAAAAGGCGAAATCGAACTTGAATACTTTTCTTTTCTCTTTCTTTCTTTGCTAAAAGGTCACATCGAAAGTGTAATTAAATCACGAATGACGAGGTTTTCTCATTTTTTCCACGTGCATACGAAGCTGAAAAGAACAATATTTCGGGGACCAAATTGGGACCATCACAGGAAAACACAAAGGATTTAGATATTTAAGTTTAGGCAATTACAAAACATAACTCAGGGATGGTTAGCGAGTGACTCATTGAGACAAAGATAGAGTACACAGGGGGGAAGGAGGGTAAGTCATGTTACACTCAGAGCACTTTTTCTCCAATTAAAGAGGCAAACGGGGAGGGCTGTTTTGTACAATACACAAACACTGCAAACCATTCGTGCCACAGCCTTCAAGTCCTGGAATTAAAGTATATTCTTAATATTACAACTGTTATGTAAGATACGAAATTATGTTAGGTACGAAACAAGAGATTATAATCTCTTGGTAGGAAATCAAAGCTTCTGTTGTTTTAAAGCTGCCTTTCGGGGACTTCATCCTTTATTAACAACTTTTCTTCCTTGCTCATCAATGATGCAATTTTTGAGAACATTTTATATTACTATCGATTATAATTATTTTCTATCACTGTTACTATAGATTCCTTAAAATGTTGTCCATCTTAACACTAATCAGGCATGTGGTTGGTCAGTTTCGGGTGTCGTCTCAGTGTTAGAGGCAACGCTTTCATAGTCTTCATTCAGATCAAAGTAAGGAGTGTCCCTCGTCATCATTTCTTCTATTCTTGTTATCAGCTGTTCAAATGATGGTCTCTCTTCTGGGTCTACCCTCCAACAGTCTAACATTAACTCGTATCTGATAAGATATAAAGTATTCTGGTGTCAACGGGGACATTGGCGCTATGTGGAAGTCATGGTCTTCAGTGATTACTGTTGGACCAGACACTGACGACCAAGCACAGGAAGGAGAATGCAGACATGATAAAGTTCACCTCGAGCTTTAAAACAAATTACAATTTAAAGGCGTCTTCACCAAATACGCTTAATAATTGTTTTGAAAACCACATCTTGTTGAATATTCTGGCCATCTCGATGTTACAATGGCAAAATGTTCTTGAAAAAAAGACTTGGTACTTTTTCTTTTCTTTTATTGTTAGCTTGCTTGATAAGTATACAATGTGATTCACTGAAATAACTATCCCTGAAATCAATGTTTTCGTGAGGCCCTTGTTTCCATGTAGAGTTTCTCATACTGGTACACTATATTTTCTAGCATTGATCTCAATTCCTCTGTCACAATTGTCAGCCTTTTTTTAAAATTATTCAACTAAGTGGAATTATCTAGATTACTGTTATCATTGATGATAAACTACATATCTCAGCCAGACCTTACCTATAACTTCAAAAGAGATTCGCTCAGTCAAATAGACAAAAAGCAAAACTTCAGTCGAAAAGGTTTAGTTGGTGTTGAATTAAGGTTAATTGCATGGAACAATTGAAGATTATTTGTTAAACTTACAGCTCATCAGAGCAAATGGCTGGTTTTTCCAATCGATATCCTGACTTAAGAAGTCTTAACAACTCTCTGTTGCTTATTCCAGGGTAAGGGATGCCACCTTGGATGCAAGTTAAATCAGAAGAAGGAAAAAAAGTTACTAGAAAAATTGTTTTTATAGCAACTTCGATAAGTCTTAGACCCCTCGTGAATAAAAGGTTTGAGAAAATGCAGATGTCAAATATCAAATGACATATTTCTTAGCGGCCAGGTCGCTTCTAGCCTTTTTTTCCCCAAAGGAAGGTCCATTTCTCTTTTTTCACAATCCAACGCCTCTCGGATTCGGAGGTTGTTGATTGAATCATTGTTTTTGCCCTCCTCCCCTCTCTCTCACATTTATTTGTAACACAGTCCAGCATAAACGACTGAGAATATGTGAAAGTCATATATTTGAACTTGCGGATAAAGACGTGAATATGAAAGCAATCTTCGCAGTAATGAACATTACTTGAGTAGTAGTGAAAATAGTTCAGCACAAATAGGAAAATTCAGTTAGGCAGCTGAAACGAACCTATAACTGAAAAACATGCGTTATAGGTGAGGCAAAAGAGGTTGGATACTTTTGCTGTGATGCATCAGGTGTTGTTACTCACCCATTGTGCACAATTCCCAAAGAAGTACACCAAAAGACCAACTACCGGAAAAAGGGACGAAAATAATTAGTTTATGTTATTTTCTAAGCCTGATGACAAATACCGTCAAGTTAATACAGGGGGTAAGTTTCTAAAAAGACTATAATGCTGTGTCGGTCGGAGAGTATAACAGGATAATAAATTATTATCTACTGAGTTGCTAACGTAAATTGACCACCGTTTAGAGTTCAAAAGCTGACGTTGAGAGCGTTAGCCCTTCGTCAAGAGGGATAGTCGAATGGTTAACACTCCAAACGTCAGCTTTTCAATTATTTACGGTGGTAAATTTACGTTATCAACTCAGTTAATGATACTAAAGTATACCGTCAATTAATAGTCTAGTAGGGTGCTTGAACAGAATATTCAGACGATCATGTTCCTGAATTTAACTTCCTGTGGTTGATAAGGCCGATGGGAAAGATGCTCTGGTAAGGAACATGCATTCACATGTGAGAGCAAATTACTGCTTACATTTACATACATTTAACTCAGATTAAAACGTGAAAGACGTATGTCAAGAGACACCCCCCCCCTCCCCCTATAAGTGCTATATAAACTTCAAATACTCACACGTCACTTTTAGAAGTGTATACGCCACTGTCTAGTGACTCAGGCGCCATCCATTTGATTGGAAGTTTCCTCGTGTTCTTTACTTCATAAATATCTCCATACGTGTGACGTAACAGGCCAAAGTCAGCAATCTTTACAGCTCTGTCTTCACCAATAAGGATGTTACGCGCGGCCAGATCGCGGTGAACAAATCCCTTACTTGCTAAGTACTCCTATTCAAAAAAGAAACCGAAACACATAAAGTACTTACAAACCATGTGCCGTCTATCCTTTCTTTTCTTTTATGGTTTCCCATTGCGGAAAAGGAGAACATCAGTAAACTTATGGTAGCTCAGTTCTTGCTGTCTGAATAAAACCGGTTGTATAAGGTTAAAATTGCTGAACAAAGTAAATAGATTGTTACGACGGCATGGTTAACTAATTTTTTGATGATTTTGCGATAAGAGAGCTGCTGGTTTTAACGTTATTTCCAGTGTTTAGAATAGAATTGTTTGAGTATCAAGAATCAAACGTTTAGCTAAATTTTTTTGATTTTGCCCCGGTTTATATCAAAGAATTTTTCCTCGAATCTGGGATAATAGGGAAGCACGGTCATTCCTACACTCCTGAAAAGTGTCTGATCGTAAAATTTATTTCACTTAGTTCAATTACCTACCATTCCTCTTGCTATCTGCCATGCAAAACAAAGTACATCTTGAACAGTGAAGTCAACTGCCTTCTCACCAGCTTCACTTGTTTCTTGTTGTCGCTCCATGTTCTCCTGGGGCTGCGGCAAGGAACGGGCACTTTCAAATGAAATGCCGATAGTTCCTTCTTCATCAATCGATGATTTCATTCCCTCTCTCCCTTTATCTTCATTTCCGTTTTCATCCTCTGTCTTCTTGATGTTCAAATCGTCTCCGCTTCCACTACTGGGCCGAACATCAGGGTTAAAATCTTCCAAACCGGTGTTTGCACTTACAGAGGGCAATGCAGTGTTTGCACTTTCAGTGGGCAAAGTGACATCCATGTGATTCAGTCCATTGGACTGTTGGCTCTGTGAATTTTTCTCTCCTTCGAGGCCAGATGGAAAATCAGTTTGGGGAGTTTTGATGCCAAGTACTTCAGTGTCATTCCTTTTATCGTCTGTAAATGGCTGTTCTACCAGAGTCATTAGAACCTCCGACGTGACGCGGACGTCTTGTTTTTCGGAGACTTCCTTGAATTCCTGCACAGTCGTGAGTTTCTCTCCACTATCGTGAAAGCCTTCGTCCTCTGACTTACCAGTTGAGGCAGCTCCATTTGAACTCGCACTACTGTCTGATAAATCGTCCACAGATTCAAAAACAACACCATCAATGCCGTTTTTACATTTTACCTGAAATTAATGAAAGATGATGTTGGACCAATTCCACTTATCGAGAACAAAACAGTTGAAAAAATATGTTAAACCATTTTGAATTGTTAGACCCATCTAAATTCCAAGGCACCAAGTTGTAAAAGCGTTTTGGAAATTCTGTTAACGGACAAAAACAGTAAAATGTATCATCAGCATCCGCTCACAACCCAAGTAGTGTTTGTACTTGGTATCTCAAGAAGAATTATGATTTAGATCATCTTTCCGACTTTTTTCGGACGGTAATTGTGTTTAGCAATGGATCAGTGATCTTTCCAGTGCACCCTGGTTTTGACGGTGCAAAAAATTTTTACCTGTTGCCTTTTGTTCCTCAGCCACTGCAGAAGATCTCCATGTGGAACATATTCCAGGATTAGCATGATTGGCTCTGATCTGTCCCAGTAACCAATCATACTTAGCACATTGCTGTGAGTACCAACTCGCTGCATAAACGAGATTTCTCTGACAAACTGCTCTTGCCCTTCCTCACCAGCTCTTTCTGAAAGCGGAATATGATAAAACACAGCAAATCTTAGTCCTCGATTTAACTAAATAAAGCTTATATTCGCTAAATGACGATGGAGTGATGCATGTTCACAAACATTTCAGTACGTTGATCAGAATGATATGACAGTGACGGGAGGGTTACCGTTGTAAATTATTTCACAACAACTGGCGACTCACACACTCGTCTCAATTTTCGTAAACCCTCCTACAATGATTTTGGCAAGATACATCCTTTTCGAATGACCGGTTGGGAAGTAGAATTTAAGTCATTGACGGACGGATCATTCTGTGTAATTTGGTCTGAACGGTCACGACGATCACAGTCATCGAAAGCATCCGAAGAAAACACCTTTCCAAACAGAGGAATGTTGAAATACGGAAGATCCACGAGGATAAAGCCCAGCAAGTGTAGAGAAAAAGCTGCCATACTTTTAGAGACTGGTTTCTCGTGATCAGCCGTGTGAAAGTGTATTTCATCAGTGATTACGGTCGGTACTCGACGTGTTTGACAGAATAACGTTCGGTAATTTTATCGTCTTCCAGTTTTCTTGCCCCAAGAAAAGGATTGAATAAAATAGATCCTATAACTGTGAAGTTCTGAGTCACTAACCTTTTCATCGTGATTTCTTCAAAAGGCTCGCATAACCGAAAAAGGGAATATATCGTGCAGTGATTCCTTACCATGTAAGAGTTTTACGGCGACAACTCTTCCTTCTTTAATATGATCCTCTCTTTCTTCTTTGGGCTTGAAAAACACTTCAACCTTCGGCATTTCTTTTAAGATTCCTTTGTGTACTTTACCAAAGGCGCCTCGACCCAGCTCTTCCATAATGGTTACACGTTCCGGGGGAATCTCTTTTAACAGCAGGGGAACGATGTCTGACATCGATCTAATAAAACATTGAAGAGTCTTTTCTCTTTTGTTCATCAAGATTTCACACATACTCGTATGCGAAGCATTGAGGGATATTTAGTTTGTTAGGGGGGAAGGGGTATTATCAAATACATGTTAATAAACGTATGTAAACGATTTCGATCGCATTTAGCCTCTACGAATTCCTTAAATAAGATGATACGAGGGAAAGACATTCACTCACGGAGGCAGAAGTTCTCTGGAATATGACAATTAACAGCATTTTACATTTGGGATTGGGTTAGCTAACACATTTCTAGAATAAAACGTTTTCCAACCTTCTTGCTTTGTGGCCTCGAATTTTCCTTTTTTTTCTCCTTTGTCTGATCATGAAGCAAAGGATTCCAACAGTTAAGAGAATAAATAGCCCACATCCTACAAATACAGCAATGCTGAGGGTTCGTCCGCGAGAAATGTCAGTGACCTGACCAGTTTTTATACGCCATTCTTTTGAGGTGTTACTTTCTCCCAGTTCATTCCAAGCAGTCACTTTAAAAGTGTACTCAGAGTTACAATTGAGCGACGTGAGACTCGTTGAAGTAGAGTCCATGGTAACGTTGATGTGATGCCAGTACTCATCTTCACCTAAAGATTGCACCTCTCTGTAATATATTGTATACATGGTAAGCGGACAGTCGTTGTCTTGTGGAGAACTCCACTTGAGGTTCACATCACATCCAGACATCTGAACTTCTTTGCTTTGCTTTTTATAATCGGAGGAGACGGTTTACCTGAAGCAATAACGACAAATAATTCATAAAACGGAATGTGCATCCGCAACTGACTTTCATTTTCTTTCACTTTCATTTCTGAAAGCAAGGGATTCTTTTAGGTTCTCGTAACTGTGCCCAAATTGCTTGACCTTGAATTAAATCATTACTGTTGGAACTTGATCTATTCAGCGTCAAGTTAACAGTGTGGAATCAGTTGCTACGTGATATATAGGAGTCAAGAAAACATCATTGTAACACGTGTATGAAATTTTGAGTAACAGAAAATAATCCCACGATCTACAACAAAACACGTCAGTGGTTAGTTCTCGTTTAACCGAAGCCGGAATCTCGGAAGGTTTTTTCCCCCTTTAGCCACTTGTCACAAAATAGAATGTTTCGTGACTGTCTCTTAGAGAGAAGTAGAAGCACGTCAGTAAGAGTGATAGTAAACACAAGTCAGCATGTGTACTTTGTTTTTATGTGACTGTTGCTAAAATGATAAGTTTTACAGGAAGCTACGGCGAATTCGACGTTATGGAGTTTGAAGTTTGAACAACAATGATTGACATCATGGTCAAAACATTTTAGATTAACAACATGTACTCAAAAGAACCAATCACAAGCAAGAAGCAATCACAAGTCAGCGTCAGGTCATGCGAATGATCGTTGCGTTCAGACTGAAAGATAAGTTCTCTATCGTTAAGGGAAACCGCTTATACGTTTTCTTGCGGTCTCGAATTTCGAATTTCACCGGCTTGCTTCGCCAAACCATGTACAACGTTGTAAGAAGCAAAACTGTCTACTCTTGTTGTGTACGGTTAACAACTAAATAACGTGTATCCCATTAAATGTAGCCTTTGAAGACTAAGCTAGGAAATCAAACGAAGCCAATGAACTGTTGAAATACTAGTTGACATGATATTTCATTGACAAACTTTTAATTTTTGCGAAATTTTTTACTGAAAATTATTCAGTGTTCTCACCTCCAAACGTTCTCACTCTCCAAAACCGGCCGTGCTTTAATATTGCTGTGAGTGGAGTCTCTGCTGAAGAGTTCCAGGCTGTTACAGCTATTTCATGCTCCTTTTGGCATCCAAGATGAAGATCATAACTTGTTTCATGCCTCGACACGTTTACTGCTTTCCAATGACTTTTGCCCTCTGAAAGTATTTCTCTGTGATATATAGTGAATAAAGAAACAGTACACGGCTTCCAACGGACCACCACAACACTTCCTTTCACTTGGTTAGTCCTGTTGACAATGGCTGGGTACCCTTAGAAAAACAAAATTGAAATGAATATAGAAAAAAAAAAAACAAACAAAACAAAAATAAAACAAGCAAATTAAGGGAGCAGGTAAATCTCGAGTTGAGAATTATAAGGGATGGGTCAGGAAACGTAATGATGATCGTGAGAAGGAATCTTAAGGAAGAGAATAAATCGGTACAACACAGAGTTCTCCCTACCATCCCCTATGTATTGAGACTCGTGGAATCTGATAACCAACAGTGGAGTTGTAGTTTCAGCTGATAATCGACTCCTATAAGGTTTTTAACGATCACTCGTGTTTTCTACTTGTGCGAGGCCATACTTGTGTAATTGTTTTCTTTGTTTTTTAATTTATACAATGTAATAAGTGTCGAATAATTGTGGAAAAAACGTGGTTGGTATGACGCGGCGTTTCTCGTTGGCTAAGAGACTCGTCAAATACTTTTCGTAAATTTCATGGGGACTCGTCGAGCATCGCGCTCAAAGTCCCGAGCGCAAAGTCAAAATGTTAGCAGCCTGGCCCTCTATCACAGAAGGATTCCCAACTTTGCCAACAATTTCTACATGATTTTAGGAAAAATATAGATAGAGAAATACCACTGCGATACCTGTGATAGATTTCACTCGCCAGGACTCTGAGAAGTTACTTGTTCCCACGTCATTCCATGCAGACACTTTGAATTCATAATCTGTGCCACATTCAAGTGGGAGACTACTGCAGCTCAGCTCATTTGCATCCGAAGATGTATTGATACGATGCCAAGCGCTTTCTTCATTTCGTGATTTGATAGCTTTGTAGTACACTGAGAACATACTCACTGGGCAGCCATTGGCATTGGGAGAATTCCACTTTATGGAAGAGTTGTGAAATATTTCCTTCTCTTTGTTTTTAATGACGGGGTGAACAGGAGAAGCTGTGAAGAACGCGACCACGGAGTTAAGACAACATATATTACAATCTCAAGACATTTTCATTACGCGTTTTGCATTTTATACTTTTAACCTGATGATTTTCTTAAGTTTTCGAGCTTAATTGTGTCATATGCGGCTATGGTGAGATACTGAATTGGAGCTTTATTAATTTACTTGTGAAAAAGTTGCTCATCGAATATAAATTGTGAATTGTCCAATCAGCAGCTAAGTTACTGGGCTGGCTGACGCAAGGTTGAACAATGGAGCAGTGCAAAGTACTTTTCTCTCTCTCTCTTGCCCCAGATCCCTGTCGTCCACCTTACGTTATCGTGTTCACGTTCAAGGGAGTAAAATTTCTCTTTCCGTGAGGGAAAATGACTTTCTACACGCTCACTTAATGAAATATGAGGTGATTTCACCCAAGCAGCATGGCACAATCTCATACGGAGTAATTCATTTTTTTTATGAAAAAAGGTCACGATTTTGTGGAGTTAAGGTAACGCATTTGATCTACTTCTTGCCCTCTTTAAAAACTATTTTTTTAGAACATTTACACTTTAATTCCTTTTTAAAAGAAAAGTTGTCATACTCTGATTCTTAGATATCAATAAACATAAATCTGAATAGTTAATGTTGTAAAACATTTGATGGGTCTGGTCCTTTATCATAGCGTGTTCGTTTCAAAATATATCATCCAAAAAAGATCAAAATCAAACACTGACGCACCTGCAGGTGTTTTTGTTCCATACACTTCCACTCTGAGAACTTTATGAATATAATAGTCAACTGGCTGGAACCGAACGATCCGAGCCCTTGTCACTTCTACCAGAAATTGTTCCACTACTTCATGCTGGCTGCCACTACCGCCGCTGAAAATCTATAGCAAAATTTTATTAGAAATTAACTGAACTCAGTTTTCCTTCTCGAACTAGGATCAAAGATTCATTGACTCATATCAAAATTTAGCTCTCCCTCTCTCCCATAACCTACTGCAAATCTGATTTGATTCTTGTTCGTTGAGAGTAAGACAACTTACAAACTTGATCCAATTGATGTCACCTATAGGTCACTTGTAAAAACAGTTTTCACAATAAAGAAATGTAACCGTACACGAATCGATACACTAAATGAAGTAATTTTCGTTATTACCCCTCCACTGGGAGACTTGAGGCCATCTTACTCAGGCAACTATAGAACATCACTATAACGAGTTTACTATTTTTCAAACCTTTTCTGAGTTGTTCTCTTTATAGGTGATCCAATTCCTTAGGAACAAATGCAGCTTATAGCTTCTGGTCCACTGCTCTCGAAGTGGATGTCCTTGAGTAGCTACAGCGCAAATAAAGAACACATCTCCCAGCTCAACTTCCAGGTAATCGTTAGTATTGTTGTTACTGCTAGGTAACCAGGCTCCTAAGGTATTCCTGAGGCGTGCTTTATACGGTTCATTGTTCGCCAGAAACGATGAGGCTGTAAAACGTTTGTCCGAGTGTATGTTGGAGTTGGCCGAATTAATTGCCTGTGTCTGACATGCTTCAAAAGGAAAAGAAAACAGATAAGGGGAAACATACTAAATTGGAATCCTTATCAACGGCCGCATCCCCACTAAGAACAGCCACCTTTCTTCTCTTATCTCGCTCTTGAGTTTTGCTGTTGGGAAAAGGCTCCACTGTATTAAGAAGGGATGAGATAAGAGTCAAAAGGATGTTTTTCGCCGTGTTGTAAAATGCTTCGCTTTCCCAAAAAGAATGTTGGAGTTAAATTTGTACTAAACCCTTCCCTATTTTCTCGAACCAGCTTGAAACAGCTGGAATGAAGATCAATGCCATGTGGAGAAATCAGAGTTTAGCTGCGTCTCAGGCTTGTGTCAAGACGATTAACATCTTTCTCCATATAGATCGAAATAACTCTTATCAGTGAAAGTGCAAATTAGACAAGTAGTCACGACAGCTGCTTACCATTGCTTGTCCCTCTCTCGGAATAAACCTGCACCTCGCATAAGGACAGTGTTCTGTTAGCGCCTAAATCTTCAATAAAAACAAATTTTCCGACAAGCCTGGGTAGACAATATATGGTAAGTCGTTGAGAAATGTTTAGAAATGTTTTGGAAAGGGGTTTTCCTCCACAAAGCAAGTTTGAACTTCTTCTGTTGTCACTGTCATAACCTGTTGGACATGAACACAGAACACGTTGTTATTTGAAATGCAATCCACTTGGCATTACCTTATTTTTCAAATTTTTCCTCCCCAAGTACCAAGTTCAAATTTATCGGGGATCAGGCATTTCTTTTATTTTTCACTTCTCCGTAAAAAGACATACAGTAACCGTCAGCAAAACATACATTCTTGGGGCTCCTGTTTTAATGCTACTTATTCCCTGTTTTACAGCTACATCTATGGAGGGCTTTTATAGAGCGCGTTCTCATGACAATAACTCTATGATTACTTAATTTTCTTTCACGATTCCCTGAACCCACCAATCCAGACTTGAAGTCCTTCCATTTGACTTTTTTTGTATGTAACGATGACCTTCGCCACAACCCACGATGCTCCTAAGTCCACTTTCCACCAGGGGTCCTGCTGCGACTGAGTTGTAGCACAGGAATGAATAACTCCATCCACGGCTTTGTCAGCGGTATAATTTGACCTTGTAGAAGACTGAGAAGCAGACTGATACAAGGCAAGATCTAGCAAAAAGAACGGCAACTCACTTTAAGCGCACAGATGTGTAGCGCTGCTTTTAACGGATCAAGGTTAGGAATCTCACAAATAAATCATGCCGCTACACTCAGAGTCTCGAATTGTTTTACATTGTGAAATATCAGAGTCATGCTTGATATTCTGTCCTGCCACCCGGTACCATATTTATTTCTATACGAGGAAAGGTGATGTCAACGGTCAACAATTGGGTATTCAACTGTGACTGTCTTCCTACAAAATTCGATTAAATGATCAGGAGTTTTATGACAAAGGAATGAGAGATATGATTCATATTCTGCAATGTTAAATGTAAACTTCCTTACTTGATCTAACTGTGGAGAAAACTTCAACTTCACATAAGACCAACGCTTTCGACAATCCAAGTACCCTGATCCATAAATATCTGCCGTACAGCGTCATATTGCATCGAAAAAACTTTCCCTTTCCTTGAGGGACTCGTAGATCAATGGCGCAAAGACTGTAGGTTAATCCTTCATCTCTAGTTTGATTTCCTTCAAGTAATAGTACAAGGTAATACGAAAATCAACTTTTTTAAAAAGTCATTCTTCAGTAAGAGCACATAGACGGACACATAGATTGTATACCTTTCGCCGACCGAAGTAGAGGTCTGCGCGCTAATCTGTAATCGGTCGGACGTGGGAAAATGGGCTTTCCCTAATTTGAGTACTTACCTACCATTATCTCGGCACTGTTTAAATGTTCGCCACAACAGTCTCCACTATTAAGAATGAAAACCTCTGAAACAGGCAGCACTTGTTCAAAGTCGACGCCCCAAAACGGAACAGGATCCATTCCTCCTGTGTTTGCACAATAGTTTCTGTTTGTATTCTTTACTCCGTCCACTGCTCTTCTTGCATAATTAACATTCATAGCAATCAAAAAAATACTTGACTGAAAGGCTGGCTTTTCTAAGGCAAGATTATCTGAAAATACAAACAGCTTTATCATTTATTTTGTCTGAGTATCGAAAGATGCGTAAAATTGAAAGATGCTAAAATAAGGATATGCTTTTTCTCCCAGATGTCCAGGAAGAGCGTGGCATTAGCGTCACATTTAAATTATTTAATTTTTGTGTAAAGAGTGGCTGTTGTCAAGCTGTCACGTAATGTCACTGAATTATGTGAAAAAAACAAAAGATTTTACAATATTATTTGCTATTGGACTTTTGAAGTAGTTGGATTTGCAGTTTTTGCTCAACTTTTCGTTCCCCTTCATTGTAACGTACTATTAAAAAAAAAAAAAAAACGAGGACTTGGGAGTTTCTCACCGGCAAAGTCTTGCTCGAACGAGTTCGGGCTGGTATTA